AGGATATGAGCTACAGGATATGAGCTACAGGATATGAGCTACAAGGCCCGAGCCACAGGATATGAGCTACAAGGCCCGAGCCACAGGATATGAACTATGGATCATGCTGCAAGTAATATTTATATATGCATTCCTTTCAATGTAATGTGGAAGTCCACATTAGAGCTAAGGAGAAGCGCTGATGAAACTATGTTGTGTATTACAAGACTTACCCCCTTTACCACTGGCGGTATTGGGGATTACATCTAGCCTTTTGAGTATGGAGTTGCGTTTGATTGGTATAGTGGCTGCCTGGGTATGTAGGTTCTTGCTAGTGTTTGTGGGAGTAGATTCTGGCTAGGAGAGGGAGAGGCTGGAAATCAGGTTATCCTGGTGATTGGTTATAGCTTAATTTTGAGGGGTAGGTTTATAGGGTGTATTGGATATGGAGAAGGTTGGGAGCTGTATGTTGCTATAGGCTTTGAGGGTAGTTCTTGTGGTGGTTGAATTTGTCGTTGGAGGCAGTGTACGGGATGTCGGTCTTGGAGGATACATGTCGTATTCCCTCTGCTAAATCTTGGGGTACAGGTATGATGTGCCTGGTGCTATGCTGATATAGTATCTGGCACAAGCCCCGCTTGGTTGATGATGAGTTGAGTTTAGATGGAGCATTAGGGCTTTTCATGAGATCTATTACAGGATTTAGGATAGCCAATACGGCAAGCTGGTGGCTGGGCAGTTCTTATGGTGTTTTAACCAAGACCTTATACGACTTCACGACTCACCATACATGACGTGTTCTGTGCCTTGTTTCGTTTGCTACATTAAACGAAAGCGGGCTATGGACGAATTTGAATTGCAATGTCCGATGATGTCATGTATGGGAAAGAACCTGATATATATATATATCTTCATATAGGTGACACACGTAATGCATGTTAAGTAAAAGAAAATTTAATTATAGTTGATGACAGCCAACTGTGCTGTGGATTTTGGTAGGCACTGAGTACTTCATATTATTTGACTCCATCGCTGTGTGCTAGATATGATAAAGACGCAAAGTAGCGCACATATTGATGATCCACTGTCGTATAACATGGCAAACTTCCTGTTATTCTCTCAGGCGGTATACTCATTTGAGTCTATTCAGAACATCTGCTTAAGGGTGCTTGACGGCTAATCAGGGATATCAATCGCCGACTTTGAAAGTACAGACCTGCTATTGCATTTACATGAGCACTTCTGTACCCTCTGTCTTTTTCCCTCTAAAAGAGGGAGAGCTTGTGACGAAATTGCCAGCAACGAAGTATGAAGCATAAACCCTAATAGTACGTCGCGGCGAATGGAGCCATTTCTTTGTGATTGGCGATGTACGATATCAAATGCTTCGTGTAAAAACGTGTGGTTCGATGGATGTGAGATCGATCCGTGATGAACTGTTGGATGGATGGGGTGGAGGTCTGTGTTTACGAATGACGACTGGTTTGATGTGAATCGGATGTAGTAGGTGAGTTGGATAGTGTTGCACAGCTGAAACCATCGAACAAGAGAACTTCAGTCGATGCGATTGTAGTGGTCCTACCTGACTTTCTTGCTTCGCTTTCTTCTCATGTCGAAACCCGTTCATCAATCAGGTTCGACAGCTTCCTAGCCAGCTGGATGTTCTCTAACTCTTTGCGGCGCGAAGTAGACCGAGAGATACCGATCTCCCGAAGTCTAGTGGGTTAGAATGATATCTAGCATACCTTACAGGCGTTTTTTAAAACGCCACTTTCAGTCTGTCGAGAGGCCGCGTAGCAGTAGCGCTAACTAGCACCAGCTACAGCAGAAGAGGAAGGCCGAATAGACTGGCCCACAGGACAAAAACTGATAGCCACAGTCGTTGACAACTGCATTATGACGTGCACGAGTGAGACAAAGGACGAGGCGAGGGATGTAATTAGGATCGGACTTCTAGCGATGAGCACCATGATGGTAAAGTGGTAAACATAAAGGAGCGCGCAAGCCCATGAAATAATTATGCTCAAGAACAAAAGACTATTAGCGGATTCCTCGCCGAGCACGTGCCTTACCTTGCGACTACGTGCACGTGACGACTCGCTCCATGCAGAACATCCCTAGCGTTCGGCTCAAAGGCAACATGGCATCGGAAACCGGCTGATTCGACAAATATGGTATCCCCTGCCACTCCGCCCAGGGATGGCACTATGATTGGTCATATAACCGATCGCAGAGAATTCTAGGGTGAATTCGCGACCTGACAAAACAACGTGGTAGTGGTTTCAGACCGCGCTGTTCCAAGCCCGCCGCCGCCTCCTCAGCATTTTGCGCCTATCGCGACGCTGCAACTATGCCGAGGGTCACGCAAGCTGACCCTTGGTTGCCCCAAAGTCACTCCCGTGTGGCCGGGCAAGCAGAGGCAGGCAGTGGCCACCCCAGAATCGCCTTCATTTCGCTCATCGCTCGTCCCTCATTTCCCACTTCTCTTACTCTTTCTTCTCTCATCCATCTCCGAATCATATACCCCGTTCCTGGTCCTGTTGGTTGAAGAACGTTTTCGTGTTGGGAAGGTTGCGCCGTGTCGGGAAGGAGATTCTCAGTAAGTCCTCGGCCCAATTCACTTTGCGCGGATATGTCGACCATTGCTCACGCTTAATTCTACGTGCGCCGTGGAGGGGTCGCACGCCTTTCACTTCGGACTGGATCGCTAACACTGTTATATTACAGGTGAAAAGAGCTTGTTCAATAGGTACGATCGATCCTCATGTCTCACTTTCGTGAACACCAATAGCTTGCGACAACAGTCTGACCGCCTGGTTACTGTACCATCTCTACACCTACCCTCAATCTCCCTCGCTCTGCCACAAATCCGTCATATCACGACCATCTATCCGGCAATCGATACTACAGTACTCATACTAACATCACTGGCGTCGCTCAGCTGCACGAAGAAGTAAACAGAATGTCTTCACTTTCTAGAAGGGCTTGCTACAAGTGTGGCAATGTCGGCCACTACGCCGAGGTATGCTCCTCGTCTGAGCGCCTCTGTTACAATTGCAAACAGCCTGGCCACGAAAGCAGCAGCTGCCCTCACCCACGCACGACTGAGAGTAAGGCTTTTTACGTTCACTGGACAGAGAGAAATGGCTGACGAAGCTGCAGCGAAGCAGTGTTATCACTGCCAGGGTCTTGGCCACGTTCAAGCCGACTGCCCTACCCTCCGCTTAAGCGGTGCCGGCACTTCCGGACGCTGTTATGCCTGCGGTCAGCCCGGTCACCTTGCTCGCTCCTGCCCTAATGCTGGTGGTGTTCCGGCTGGGCGCGGCGCTGGAGGTTTTGGAGGTTTCCGTGGGGGTTATGGCGGTGGAGCCCGCACTGCTACCTGCTACAAGTGTGGTGGACCAAATCACTACGCCCGAGATTGCCAGGCTCAAGCCGTCAAGTGTTATGGCTGTGGCAAGCTTGGCCATATTAGTCGCGAATGCACTGCCCCTAATGGAGGACCATTGAGCACCGCAGGAAAGACGTGTTACCGCTGTGGAGGCCCCGGCCATATTGCACGGGAGTGTCCTCAAGCCGAAGTCGACGTGAACGGAGACGGTCTACCACCCGTCATTCCTCAAGCTGCAGTACAACAGCCTGCTCCGGCCATCGCCTAGACGCCATGCCCAAGGAATTTAAAAGTCTTTGTACACTGATTGGAATTGTATGCATTGATATTGATCATTCTTACACTCTTTAAGTTACGAACATATTCTATTTCACATGCCTGCCTTTTCATTCCTATCTCATGGCACCCGGCATACGAAGGACGAAACCCGGAATAATTTCTTTATGTGATCCCGATACCCATGATTTTATATCAACATCTTTTTACACCTCACTCTCGGAAGCGAAGCGGCCGAGTCAATCGGCGCGACTATGAGCTTTCATGTCCACTTGTTGGATATGAGAACCAGAACGGAAGCACGGCGGTCGATGAACAAGACGGAGAGGCGGAACCTTGGCGAGCGTATGCAAGGGCATGATGAAAGTAGAAGCATTGTGGAAGGCGGGACTAGATGGGCGGAAGCGAGTGTCGGATGCAGTGAGGCAGAATAAATGGGCAGACTCTTTGGCAATAGCCGATAACATTACTGGAACAAGTGGTTTGATCATCGTGATCACTGGTAGTTCAAAAAGAAGTCTGTTTTGATTTAACAAGATCAACATCCTTGTGTAGTTCGCGTGTGTGGTTAACTTGGATGTGCATGTAGTCGAGTATCAACACTGAGGACGAGACTTATGCGTTCGCCTCTAGCAACGATGTCTCTCTATTTTAGTCAAGTCTAGCAAAAGCTTCACAGATGTCGTAGGTAAATGGAAGGAGCGATCCGACGCTCGTCCGGTCACCTCAATTTTGGCAGGAAGTGTCAGCCCGTTGGAAATCGCAATTCATGAACTGCTTCTCCAACTCTCCCGTCTCATCTGATCGTACTCAATGCTGACTCAAACGCTATTGCACTCTTGACTCGCCGTTCTTTCCATGTACCGTGCCCTTGCGTGCCCTCTCTTTCTCAGCAATTACATAGTCCTATGCCATCATGCCTGGCTCAACTGCCTCAGACGACTTCGACGATGTGAGCGTCACCCACGGATCCTTCACTGACAGGTAGTCTCATAGACTGAAAGATCATTGATAAGTATTTTAGGAAGGTTTCATTGTGGACATTGATGCTATCCAAGCTCACGGTAAGTCTGCTTAATAGGAGCTTGTGCAGTTCAAGTAGCTAGCTCAATCCCACTTTGCTCATCTCACTTGAATCTTATTTTCAGTGACGTGTTTTCACACACTGTTCCTAACTAGGCATTATTTCTAGGCATCGGAGCAGTAGATATCTCCAAGCTTAAGAGCAATGGATACTATACCATCGCCGTACGTAAACTTGTCCTTACACAGGTGATCTGAACTGACGTTCCACTTAGTCTGTTCATGCAGCGACACGTAGAACCCTGCTCAGGATCAAAGGTTTTAGCGAGATCAAAGTTGAGAAGGTCAAAGAAGCTATCCAGAAATGCCAGGTAGTCAATATCTGCTTCTGGAGGTCGCCAGTGGGTCCTGACGACACAGTGACTGACGTATATCAGCCATCGACGTCCGGCTTCATGACTGCACAGGAGCTCGGGCAACAACGCCGTCGGGTTGTCAAGATTTCTACCGGTAGTAAACAGTGGGATGCTATACTGAATGGGTCCAGTCAAGCTTTCATCTTGAACGTGTCGTCACTGACACGAGGCAGCGGCTTCCAGAGCATGAGCATTAGCGAAGTCTTTGGAGAGTTCCGTACGTATGCACGATCTGGACAAGTGTCTTACTGATGTAGTCAAGGTTGTGGAAAGACTCAGCTATCGCACACTATGTCTGTCATCGCTCAAGTGCGTATGTTTGCCTCCGTGCAAGATATGCTCTGACCATCTGCAGTTGCCAAAGGAACTAGGTGGAGCTGAAGGCAAAGTCGCATATATTGGTAAGCTTATATACACCTTGCTTCATGTAGAATAGCACTAAAGGAGCGTTGTGATAGATACCGAAGGCACCTTCCGTCCAGAGCGGTTTGTATGGCCATACGACCATGAACGACATCGTCCTGACAATCGTACAACAGTATTGCTCAGATTGCGGAAAGGTTCGGAGGCAAGCTTTATCACCCTTATTGGATACCTTCCAATGACTGACTTACTCAGTGGACCCCGAGCAGGCACAGGAGAACATAACATATGCAAGAGCTCAAAACAGCGAGGCAAGTCCAACACTGTTGGGCCTAAACTAAGTTGACGTGTCTAGCATCAACACGAATTGCTCAACATACTTTCGTCAAGTTTCGCAACGAACGAATACCGACTTCTCATTATCGACAGCATCATGGCTCTTTTCCGTGTTGATTACCATGGGAGAGGTGAATTGAATGAGCGTCAGCAGAAGCTAAATCAATTTCTAAGCAAGTTGACACATATGGCTGAAGAGTTCAACGTTTGCGTTCTCATGGTAAGCACCGCCGGCTAACATTGATTATCCAACATATGGCTAAAGGTCCTTATCAGACAAATCAAGTCCAATCCGATCCTGGTGCTTCGGCCCTCTTCGCTGGTGCTGATGGTCGTAAGCCAGTGGGCGGACATATACTAGCTCACGCCTCGACGACTCGCATCCTATTGCGCAAAGGTCGTGGTGAGGAACGCGTAGCGAAAATACAAGACTCTCCTGGTACGTCTTGATTTGAAATAAACCTCAGGTCATGGGCTGACCGATCATCCGTCACAGACTGCCCAGAACGGGAGGCTACGTATATCATCACGAATGGAGGCATCAATGATCCCGAGAAGGTGTAAAGCTTCATGTGAGGCTGATTGATACATATGATCGTGTTTGTACCAGCTGACTATTTAGCAGATCCATACCGTTCGACACGTCAATTCGGATACCGTTGATTCATCTTCAGCCCAATCGTCAATCAAACATTATCCCTCCACAGGGACATTATAAGATCTATGCTGTCATCTCCAACCTAATCCGTCAAAATACCGCACACTACGCTTTCCGTATGTACCTGACCCTAACGCATACCATTTACTTCTTCGGGTAAATGTACGTCGTCTACGCTCGGCAAGTCTTTCGACATGGTGTATATCATCTCTGTATTTAGCAATCTTACATGCGAGTTCGCACCGGAGTTCGTGGGGTCGCGGCCGTTGTTAACGTTTAATGGTTGTTAGTGTGCCTAACTGCGCGAACATGTGAGTTGTGCCGCGGCTCGTTGACGCAACGTCACTTAACCAAGAAAGTATCTGCAGGGCACTAAAGCGATCGACCTGCAACGCGAAGATCTGAAGAGTATGTAATTTTGAAAGCTCGATTCAGTATGATATAATATACAGTGACAGCGGTTGGGAAAGTCTAGTGCCAACGTAGGCTAAACGAGCTGTTAGCTCTGTGAAGGTGATTAAGACTGCAGGATACATGACTGCGCAGAGTCAGTAAAAAAACGTTAGAGAATGATGCAATAAGTAGACGTACCGTAACCTCTGAACTCCTACTGTAAATCTCGAACAGCAAAAAACCTCCCACATCATGAGTTCAAAGAGGCCATACCGAGAACAAGAACAGCCAGCTAACCAGCAGCTGCATTTTACTTCCTCGTTGCATCACATTACACCACATCACATTCCATTATATCCGAGTTAATAGCTTTTACTCAACTTTCCCTTCAGCAGCCTGATCCTCCGCCTCCATCTCGGCCCTCAACACATCCTGCTCCTCACACCTCCGCATTCCCTCCTTCACCTTCTCGTCTAACTCCCACTTACTCACATCAACTCCCATGCGCTTCGCATTAGCTAGCATCTGATAGCGATAATTGATCTGGTCGCGCATATACTTGATAGTACGCTCGAGCACTAGGGCCTCGCTGCGGCCCATGCCCTCGGTACCCGGGACCAGGGCGGCAAGTTTGTCGTATTCCTTGCGGATTGCTTCGCGGCGCTTTTGCTCTGAGGCAATGTGGTTGGCCTTTTTCTGGAGCGTTGTCAGGCGTGGGCGTGGGGGTTGGGGTTGGGGCATTTTTGCGATGTTGGTGGAGGTTTATTGGTTTATTAGATGGGATGATAATCATTGATTCCTTGATGCCTGTGTTAGGTTTGAAATTTGCGGGTTTGCGATGATTGAATTGAGAAATGGGAATCGCGGATTGGGAGTGTCGGGCGTGTGTATACCGTCGGGGTGTTTTCGGTTGGGCTCCCGTTAAAAGGTAGACTGTGCCTCGGTCAAGCGCTGCCGTGTGCTTGTTTCAGGTCGATGGTGGGTGAATTATTGAAGTTGGCTTAGGTGAGCTTGAGGATATTGATGGTCGGTAAGGACAGGAGGCGTAACGAAAGCTTTGTAAAGTGACGAGTAGGTGGTGAGTCCAGATGTTGTGATATTTCCCGATTAGGTAACTACGTGCGTCAGAGTGATTCGGCCCGATCAACTCGATGCCGTTTTGGGGTGTATGTCGTTAACTCAATCTGGATTGATGGATCTTCTTCATGAACTTGGGATTGCGACGGACGAGGGTCTTGATGAACGCGCTGAAGCTGTTGTGTACAAGATATGCAATGGGTTCGTTCGTTGTTCAGCGATGATAGCGATGGACGGTAAACAGACACCAGCACACCCTGTGAGGCTAGCCCATACAACCAGGAAACGGTAGATGGCCTGGATAGAACTCGACGAGATGAAGTTGCAAAGAGCGATCTTGCTGACCGAGTTTGCGAAGCGGGGCTGGCCGGAGCTATAAGCAGTGCCTAGCTAGCTGTCTCAACCATGGTACGAAGGGGAGGCATGGACGAGGGGAAACACGTAACAAACTGTAAATGTATGAATGCTCTTTCAGTCGTTGGTACAGGGCGCGTGTTAAGTAAAACAGACCCGCCAAACGTGATCCTGGACATGGGCATGTCGCTGCCGGCATGTGATTCAGCCGAGAGCGAGGTACCGCCTGTCAACCACGGGCGGTGAGCCAGACGTCACAAAAGCTTCTGATCGAGCCTGTGTACCGCATCTGAAGTATTTCATCCATTGTCTACTGACCAGGGTCAAATTGTGAAGATGCATGAGTTGTCTCCGGACGCGTCTCCGAAGAGCGGAGAATGACGAAGTTTTTGTCCCCATGAGTTTTGGCCCGAACGTCGATGAGCGCCTCCCGCAACTTGAGCGTTCCCACTTAAGCCCAAAATAGAAGTGGACGGCCGGGGCAGTGACGATGATGCCAAGTCCCACCTCCGAGCCTGCTCGCACTGACACTGATGACCTGGACATTAGTGTTTTATCGCTGTTGTTATTGTTGTTGTCGTGTGAATAGCTTCATGTCTTGCAGCACATTGTCCGTGTCCTCGTCACTGACACCAATCTGCTGAAGTGACCACCCTCCACTCACTCAAAACATCCTATTTCCAGCTCTCTGACGCCCTAATAAGGTCCGCGCTCGTAAACCGTAAACCTGCAAGCGCCCCTTGCCCCACATCTACTTTCCGGACACAGCACATAACACTGCATTCTCATCAACATTGGGAGATCGTGTCGTCGAATGCTGCGCGCAAAGATTTTTCTATACTCGCCGCCCACAGGTTTCGCACACGCATTCTAGGCTATGTCGAGCGGCTCGAGAAGTGGCCGCCCTACGATCCGTCAAGTCGAGAGCGTTCGCAACGATGATGCTCCACCCCAGCCTCACCGCACCAGCTCCTACACCAGCCGCAAACGTGTCGTCGAAAAGAACGATGCGTACCTCTACGCTCTGCGCGTTGCATACCTGACTTATCTCCTTAAGCCGCGTCAGAAACGGATCCAACATGTCGCGCAACCGAAGGCCGCTCAGCGTTCATCGACTTCAGTCACGGATCTGGTCAAGGATATATCCCTGATAAAGGACAGCAAAAGCACGAAATTCCCGCACAAGTTTATGGGCGAGTTGGACAAGCGGATAGAAGGTGTTCTGATCGGAAAAGAGAAGATGCCGGAATATGCAGATGCCTCGGTGAAGAGAACATTTGCGGTGTTTTTGAACGAGTTCAAAAAGCCACAGTTCCGAAAGTCTATGGATAAAGATCGACGTGTTGAAGATCTGCTGCTAATTTTCTTCTCGAGCGCCACGAAAGAGCTACAAAAAGGGAAAGAGCCCGGAGACGATCAGTGGAAGCTTATGGTGGACCGTCATGTTGCGCTATTCATAAGGCTTGTCAGCTCGACGTTAAAGCATAATGATTGGACAAGAGAGCGACCAGAACTAACGAGCAGACTCGCGAATATGGAGAAGAAACTTCTTATGCACGATCAAGATCTGTCCTCGCAAGGAACAGGACCATCCACAATCGAGGTCGAGGTGCCACGGTCGTACCAGATCAAGGACATGGATATGGTGCGAAGAGTTGCGAATGTATTCGATATTCCGCCCTCGCAAGTACAGGCTGATATCGACAATCACAAAACGCTATGGACAGAAAAGGCGGCCTTACAGGACTTGAAATTGTACCAGACGAATTTGAGCCTTCACAGCAAGAAGACGCTGAACTCTGACGATTTTGATCTGGAAGACGCCTACCAAGTATGGAAGAAAGCTGAAATACCGGATATCTCACAGATGATGCTCGCACTCATGCAATCTGATCCTACCTTAGCGAAGAGCACGCCAGGCGGAACTGTGTCTCAAATTAAACCGTCAGGAGTATCCGGCGATCCCAACTGGTCAGACGCTTCCCGGAAGATGTCTGATAACACAGATGCTTCCTATGTGTTCGACCAGCCTGTCGATATGAGCGCTCTCAATCTACAAGAGAATGGAGATGGCAATGACGAAGGTGCATATACATTCATCCCCCCCGACCCACGAGCATATTACCGAGTCTGTGTCAGGGAGGCACTGACATATGATCTTTTGAATGCGGACTCTGAAGCCGATGGTGAAACGATGAAACTGCTTTCTAAGGAGTCCGCGGAGCTGTTGAATGAGATCGCCGTCCGGTGGAGAATACCACATTTCTCCAGAATAGTGCTATTCCTCGACGTTGTGAAAGACAAATACATCAGTCACGAATGCAGGGCTGACACCTTAGACGTGGCCTTCAATTATGTGAAGGAGCCCCCTGTCGAGAATAAGAAAAACAATCGGTCAAGTCAGATCGTATCGTCCGCTTTTTTCGATCGGAACAGATGGACTGTGACGGATTTCGCACTCATGCGACGGATTCTCTCAAGCATCTACGATAATCTATTGAGGGACCTTTTCGAAGAAATGTTGAAGTCCTTCGACAAAACTGCCTCTGTTGAACTGGGACAGATTCTTTATGTGATAGACAATCACATTTACGAAGATTCCCTATTCCACAAGGCAAAAGATGATATGGAAGGGTTCTCTAGGCAGCTGCACGAGGCTATACGTGGTCGAGCTGCTGAGACGTATAGCGAGCTTTTATCGAAAGCGATCCCTAACAGCAAAGATGAGTGGGAGTTCTATCATGTCATCGAGCTCGGCAAAGCTGTTGTCAAACTGCTACAGAAAATTCTGAAGCGTTGGAGAAGACGGAGAGTGATTATGGGCGTAGATCCAGCTCAAATCCTAGTAGAAGAAATGCTACCGTCATTTGCAGGCGACGCGCGAGACCTTGTTGCTCGCATAATGGAAGTAGCACAGCAGAACGGCAAGGAGGTTCATATACAAGATGGCTTTGATCTATACAAAGAGTTGGTTGAGGTGCGCAGAGTTCATGCGGAAGTTCTGCCAGGTCGGCAATTTGATTTTCACATTGAAGGTATACTGCAAGATTTTGTCTGGCGGTGGATTGACAATACGGATGGCCAGCTTGTAGGCTGGGTGGAGAATGCTGTCAAAAACGACAACTTCCAGATACAGTCAAATGACCCCGACAACACGCCAGCCGACGAGCGACACAGCGTATCAGCCGTCGATATCTACAGATCTTTCAATGCAAGTATCCAACAGATTATCAATCTCAATTGGGATGATGATCTGCAGTACGCAAAGTTTATGACAGCAGTGTCTAAATCAATAGGTAATGGCGTGCATAGGTATTGCGAAATGCTGGAGCAGATGTTTGGGAGAGAGATGGACCGTTTGACACCAGAACAAGAAGCGGCAGCAACACAAACGCGGCAAGAAAAGTGGCTGCAACTGGCCAAAGACACCTGGGCACAAAAGGAGAAGATTGAGCCCTTCCATTTCTTTCCAGAGGTAAGCTTGCTGCTCATTTCTGCAATCTATGACTGACGTGCTTCCAGTCTTTGGTCAAGCTGAACAACATTGAATATGCGACTCTTCAACTAGACAGGCTTGAACACGAAGTCAATGTCGACGCATGTGCCAGTGTCATACAGAAATTCGCACCACCTGTGCAGCAGAGAATGCCACAGTCGAATAAGTACGTATTCACTATCAAGATCATCGAAGCCGAAGATCTCAAGGCTTGCGACATGAACGGACTCAGCGACCCGTACGTGGTACTAGGAGACGAATACCAGAAGCGCCTAGCGAAGACTCGCATTATGTACGGCAATCTAAATCCTAGATGGGACGAGACAATTGACATTACGACGACTGGACCTCTCAACCTCATAGCAACGATTTGGGATTGGGATACGATGGGCGACCACGATTGTGTTGGTCGGACGTCGCTAAAGCTCGACCCTTCGCATTTCCGAGATTTCATGCCGCGGGAGTATTGGCTCGATCTGGACACTCAGGGGCGCTTGCTTCTACGTGTCAGTATGGAAGGCGAACGAGATGATATACAATTCTATTTTGGCAAAGCGTTCCGTACGTTGAAGCGTACAGAACGTGACATGACGCGAAAGATCACCGATAAGCTATCGCCTTATGTGAGCTACTGTCTGTCAAGAAGAGCCTTACGAGCGCTTCTGTCACGAGGTTTGACAATGTCCGGTGTGGCCAGTTACTTCCAACGAAACCGTCCTCAGTCAGTTGCTACCGGTCCTACCCATGCTGAGGTTGAGAGCGCACTCAAGCCCCTCTTCGACTACTTTGACGACAATTTCGGCATCATGAAAAATACACTTACAGACTCGGCCATGGTAATGGTGATGACTCGTCTCTGGAAGGAAGTCCTGGCCACTATCGAATCGCTCTTGGTCCCTCCACTATCCGATAAACTCTCCGTGCAAAGGCCTCTTTCGCAGCAAGAACTTGACATCGTCTACAAGTGGTTACAGGTAAGTGCAGCAAGCCTAACTCTCATACAGAGCAAGAAACTGATACCTCACAGTTCATCTTCGAGTTCTTCAACGCAGTTGATGAGGAGACAGGCATATCTCAAGGTGTTCCTGTTGATATTCTCAAATCGCCAAAATACCACGAGCTACAAACGCTCAACTTCTTCTACTTCGAATCCACGGCAAACCTTATTCGCACTTCTGAGGGCATGGCATCTGCCACCGCCGCTCGTCAACAAGCCGAGGCTGCACGGGCTGCACGGCTCTCCGCCCCTGCGCACCTTGGCCACAGTTTTGGAGGTGGTGTCGGTCTGATGGGCATGCCCACCCGGAAGCACAAGACGGTCATGCTAAGTAAGAATCTAGGGACCATGAGGAAGGCCAAGGAGGAGAAGCGGAAAGAGGCTCAAGCTGACCCGAATGACGACATGATCTTGCGCATTCTTCGAATGCGTCCCGAAGCGGAGCGCTACTTGAAGGATCGCAGCAGACAAAAAGAACGGTTGGCTGCTGCCGCCGCGGCAGAGATGATTGTGCGCCAAAGTTTGGTTCAGGGAAGTGGCAGGATCCGGGGGACGACATAGGGCATGAACCAGAGCGTGCTGCAACGAGAGTGGAAAACCACGTGCATATATATTTGTGTTGAGGGATTTCCTGTCTCAACGTCCTTTTGGGGACCATGCATTTGATGAGCAGCGCGTGGTGTTACGGAGAAATCATATATCGGCTTTTGTTTTGTCGACGGCATGGCTTGCGGGATCTGCGATTGGTGTTTCTTGCTATGGACCGTGTTGTGTATCTCATAATGATGAAGATGATGTGTAGTGTATACCTGGGTGAGGTATGATGAAGGCAGAAAGTGTGAATGAGCTAGACAGAGACCTAATGATACCATTTCCTTTCACTCCAATAACGGGTCCTGTATCTTGCCGTACAGCCGCCATTTGCACGTGCTTGAGATGCGGACTTGAGCACTTGAGTCCATCATACTCTGTGTACTTTCATACTCCTTCCATTCATCTAATTATTACAATACCCCTGTGCTAGCCATCGGGAGAGGCGTCCATGGATGAGTCCAATCTGCGACTCCGTCGATAGAATCATGAATGACTACATGTTCGACACGTCGAACTTACGTATCATGCGAAGTTTGTATAGATATAGATCTCATGCGGGATTAGGCTAGTTGTCATTGAGGAAAAGGCTTAAGAAGTATACTGTTTTACATGTTCAATATGATCTTTATGCTGTGCCCGGCGTCTACATGTTTGTTCGATATATTCATGCCTCAGCCTTGCCGTGTATTAGACTCTCTGTCGAAACATGTGAATCGATTTCGTGTGCCTTCCTATTGGCGTATGTTCTCTAGTCCTTTATGCAGTGAGTAGAAGCATAATCCACCTTGTTTCCAGTCTGGAATGACCATGCAAAAGTTCCTTTGCTCAGCACATCACGAATAGAGAGAAGTTTATTTTCTGCTGGGCAATTTACGGCCAGGGATACATTGCTAGGCATATTACACACAATACAGTTCGCCTGAGCATGTGACCTTCCTAGCACAATGCATAAATGCGCTATGATAAGACATATAACCTATACTACGGTAACTTTATATAGTGAAGGTAAGACTAGAAGAAATGGAGGTTGGCTCATCACAAGGTTTCAAGCTGAGTCAACAATTTTCTCATACTTTTGAGGGAATAACACGATGTTTAAACCAATTGCAAAGGATATTGAAACACCGACCAATGAGATGAGAGGTCACATTCGCTGTGCGTTCGATACCGCAGGGAACCATATATCCGAGCTGAATCATAAGGATAGAGCTAGCTTGTATGCAACGTTGTCCTGGCTAATAGGAGCAGCTGTCGCTAGCTCCAGAGGGTGACTATCTGCAGATCCCTGCAGCCCGATGCTGAATCTCTGATGTTAATTTATGCATGGGACAAGGGTTATCGGTGCTACTCCTTCCAGGTTCACACTATGATATATCTGTTCTCGTGATGTCTGTGCCGCAATCACCCGTGGTCTCTCCGAAGTGTTGGGTTAGAGGCATGCAAGGCTGAGGCACAGCATAACTTTGCTACAGGGCTAAGCTCACTAGAGATACTGATTGAGGGTAATGTTGGAAAGACATGAAGTATGTGAAATTGGGAATGGACGATTGCGAGTCCAACCACGTTATAACATAGGTAATTGGTCTAATTACACCACTGTAGCCTGCAATAGGTTGTCAATTGACGACCCACCCCAAGACCTGTTCCTCTCATCTCAAAGAGGAGCAATTCTCAGAATCTAAAAGGCGCACAGTCTGGTACATCAACAAAGGCGAAGCCATGAGGTATCTCGCAAGTAAACATGAAGACATTATAGGGCATCTTCTTCTTCAATGATACCAAGAAGGAAGTTTATCTTGACAACAGCTATCTAAACCGAGCAGATGCTCTTGTAGTTGGCGGAAATCCTCACCTAGATGTTGGAGAACTAGTGATAAAGGTAAAGATAAAAGTAAAGATAAGAGTAAACTTATTGTAGGGTGATATAAATATGGTATCCTATAGTGTACGATTGTTCTGCTTCTACTTTTCATGACGTGATGGATTTCGCACGTCATTCCTACTTGCTCAATCGCTTTGGGTACACTTCATAAGAGGTAAATACTGGGAACATTAGTACTTGGACTTATGGAAGTAGACTATAGTTATAAGACATCCCATCTGTTCCGGCTAAAGAAGACTTGTTTACATTTAAACAGCATAAGTCGAGTATAAACGGCGCTAAGAATCACTTCAGCGAAAGCTGAGTATGTAGGAAGAGCAGCCTGAGAGCTAGTCTAGGGCCCATCAAACGAAAGCTTGTCCTGTCGTGGAGTGTCCATATGTACTCAAATTCCGGGCTACTCCTATCCCCTATATCATTGTTTCTAGCCACAGCTGAATTCAGCCACTTAATTGACATTTACAGTGTCATTTGAAAGCATGCCACATGATATCTAGCGAATTCTAATAAAGTGGTGAAATGATCACGGCATGGATTTTGAACCATTGCCCAAATTGCTGCCTCAGGTGCTTTATCCGGTGCTTGTTCGCCGGGTGGGGGCGAGATTGACATCACTTAGCGAGCCTCCGATCTTGCGGCTTCACCAGACGTCCAGACGGCGATGAAAGTCCGGATCCTGTTCATATGAGTTACGGCCTAGATTGGCCGAACTTGACGATCTATGTTTCTTCGCGAATACAACAAGACAGCACAACGTCATGACAGGATCTGTAGAAAAGGGGGCCTATGGCCTAACATCGCGCTTGAAGAGCAAGAAATCTACCTACGTTGTTCAAAGATAGAATATTATGGTTGAACAGAATCTATCCCCGAAGCCTTCATTGGCGTCTTCTCGTAAACACTCATCTTCTTCACAAGAAGGAAATAATCCTGTTGAAAAGAGAGTAGACCAAGATCAAATCACCGGCGATATCGAAGCCACGGCATATATTCCTGATGAAAATGCATCAGAGACCGATTACCCAACAGGCATAAAGCTCATCTCAATTTCCGCTTCCCTCTGTCTCTGCACACTCCTCGTCGCCCTTGACGCTACGATCCTCGCAACAGCCATTCCTACTATAACCTCCCAGTTCAATAGTCTCAGTGACGTTGCCTGGTATAGCTCTCTGCACCTGCTTTATGATACTTCTCTGGAAGTTCTAACACCTACCAGGTACAACTCTGCACTCCTACTCACCACCTCCGCATTTCAGATCCCCTACGCGCGCGCCTACACGCTCCTCTCTACGAAATACACCTTCCTCTTCTCCGTCCTGGTCTTCGAGATTGGAAGCGCAGTATGTGGTGCCGCGCCGAACTCTACAGCTCTGATCATCGGACGAGCGGTGCAGGGCGTGGGTGGAGCAGGAATCTTCGCGGGGTGTTTCATCATCATCAGCCAGACGGTGCCCTTGAGGCGGAGAAGTATATTTGCTGGGCTATTGGGCGCGATGTTTGGGATTGCCAGTGTGGTGGGACCGTTGATCGGGGGCGCATTCACAACAGGGGTGAGCTGGAGGTGGTGTTTTTATAGTGAGTACGGAAGTGAGGTGTGGGAGAAGAGGCTAATCATATGCAAGTCAATCTCCCACTTGGCGCGATCGCATTTGCTGTTGTCTGGTTCATCCTACCGGCAGAACTTGGAAAGACTCCAGAGAGCTTCAAAGGAAAGAGGTGGTGGGAGGTGCTATATCGTTTTGATCCAATCGGGACGGTCCTGTTTCTTGGTTCCATCATCTCTCTGCAATTGGCGATACAATGGGGCGGGCTTTTGTACCCGTGGAGTGATGCTCGAGTCATTGCTACGTTAGTGGTATTCGGTGTTCTATTCATCATATGGGTCCTTGTGCAGTGGCGAGAAGGAGACAATGCGACTGTCCCGAAGGATGTGGTTACTCAGAGGAGCGTGGCCGGGGCAGTCCTTTACTCCATGATATCTGCAGGTGCTTTCACGATTGTGGTGTACTATATGCCAATCTGGTGAGTCTTCGGTGGGAGTGGCGAATGCTAAAAGGGGTATACTGATATGTCCTACAGGTTTCAGGCTATCAAGGGAGACGATGCAGTTGAATCTGGGATACATCAACTTCCCATCATTCTCAGCTTCGTTGTTTTTTCGATATCGGCTGGTGGACTTGTTGCTGCCGTCGGGTACTACGTGCCATTCCTCATTCTCGGCTCTATTTTAGCGTCGATCGGCGCCGGACTCCTCATGACACTGAAACCACATGCAGCAACTGGAGAATGGTACGTCGTGGATTGAACTCACAGCATAATCTCAGAACTAATGGATTTAGGATCGGATATCTCATCCTATTTGGGGCTGGCATCGGCATGTCAATGGAACAATGTAACGTCGCCATACAGACCGTCTTACCACAAGAGCGTATTCCTGCCGGCACGAGTCTCGCTGTCTTCGCTCGCTCCTTTGGAGGATCTCTAGGTGCAGCTATTGGTCAGAATGTGTTCGAGAAGAGACTCAACGAGAACCTTGCTAACGTACTGCCGAACCTTGACAAGTCTATTGTGAGTGGCAGCGGTGCGACTAACCTCATCGCGAATGTTCAAGCTATCTCAGGCGGAGATCAAGGTTTGGTCGGGCAAGTGTTGGAATTGTACAATAATGGCATTACGCAAGCGTTCCTGGCGGCGTTGATATTGGCTGCTATGTCACTGTTGCCGGCACTGCTCGTTGAGTGGAAGAATGTGAAGAAGGAGAAGAGAGCGCAGGACGATGCAAAAATGAAGAACAAGTCAAAAGTGGAGAGCGGGACAGAGGAAAAATAATTGCTAAGGAAAGCGATAGATCCTATATTCTGTTGTTTCTTTTGTACGCTGTATACCCGTAGAAGTAAGAAGAGTATACACTAGTGGCGGGAAGCTGTAAAGAATATACGCGATACAGTCATGTTATTCTGTCGAGATCAGTAGCTGTACACGATGGAGTGGTGAAGGTATGTTTGTAAGACTAAAACAACAATCCATGACGTGTGACGTGCATTCTGTCCCAGATCGGCTTAGCGCCAAGGCTAATTGTTGGATATCCATGGACCTGGAGACTTCTACATCTTGTTACACCTTCTTCTTCAGCGCATAGAACGCGCGCATGTTCTACAAAGAAACATGATAGGTCAGTGCCAACAATGCCATCGAAGCGATCCAGGGCATGCGATGCATGCCACACAATCAAGATTAAATGCAACCTTGGTTCTGACGGCGGAGATCCACCGTGCACGAGATGCGTTCGACTCGGCAAGGATTGTATAATAACACCACCAAAGCGGCAAAAGGATCGTGTAGCAGAGCTCGAAGCACAAGTTGCATCGCTGACTCGACTGCTGGAAGTGCAGAACATACAGGCAAACTCTCCAGTAAGCTCTGTGCCGGCTTCGACGTTCAGCGCTACGCCATCCACAACAAACGGGGAAGCCATGTCCAAGAAGCGACGTTTAGACGATGCAACTCCCCGGGAAAGCAGTGAAGAAACAGAGGACCCAGGTGGAAACGGGCTGCCTGGCCTTGATAAGATTCTGAAGAATGCTGATCAGAGATTCATTTTCGATAAGTATGTGCAGGGGATGATGCCAAATTTCAGTCCTGTGCCCCTTATTGGGGATGTCAATTACGACCTCTTCCGCAAAGACAGACCGCTGCTACTTCAGGCAATCATTTACTCTGCATGTCACGGCGTCCTGCCAGTAGACCAGCAAGAAGATATATCAAAACACGTGACCGACCTGCTCGCACGAAGGGCCACCGACAAGGCACAAAAGTCCCTTGATATCATTCAAGCTATCCTCACGGTATCCGTCTGGTTTCGTTTTCCTCGGTATCATTCCAACATGACCGGTGTCCGTCTCGCACACTACGCTCTAGATATTGCCAAAGAACTCGGCCTTGAAGGAACATGTAATGACTACGACTCGGCCATTACATCCCATACGGACAGCGCCGCAGCTTGGAGCACATGGCTCTTCTGCTACCTAATGTCCGCAAACATGGGTATTTTGGCCCGTCGATCCAACCCCATTCCCTGGACTCAACACGAGGAGATCCTGCTCATGATGCTCAGCTATTGGCCGCACGGCCTCGAATATAATCGATTGATTGCCCAATATGTGCGCGCTGAACGTCTTTGCGAGACTCTCGCAGGCACATATAATCTGACCGTACCAGACCCGATGACACCGGAACATCCCTCGCTCCAGGGTATGCTGAGCCAGAACTCGAACCTCCTTACCGACTGGCGCGTGCAAATTCCACCTTCGCTGCCAGGTCCTTCTCGCGCTGCCCTGTCGTTCTGGGAGCACTACGCGACCATCCTACTACACGAAGCAGTCTTACACACACCAACCAACGCAGCATCATTCTGTGCGCCTTTCACAGCAGAGAGACTGTCTATCACAGACTTTCCTGCGCCTGCACTCGTCACGTCTCAGCATGTCAACAGTCTGTGTGTCCTGCGCGACACCTGCCAGGCTTTCTCAGAGCTCTACATCGGTCTACCAATGAGCACACTTACCTCGCTTCCACCAATTCTCTTCGCTGTGCGGCATTTGTACAGTGTGAGTATTCTTCTGCGGGTCTACATCGCATGCACGGCGATCGGCAATACGTATGGTGCATACGTGGATGCTGAGAGTCTTCGAGTAGACGAGGTTCTGGAGAAGAATGTTGATCTATGTGACAAACTGCATCAGATTGACCCAAAATGTCTTGCGGCGCGGCTGAGTAGCGCGAACGCCCGGTTGAAGGAGTGGGTTGTGAATTATCGTGTAACACAAGGTATTGCAGAGCCCAGCATAGACAAGCCTTCTCTAGCACCCAATGGTATTTCCAGCATGAATGTCATGAATGGTGTCAATGGCATTAGCGAAGGCCTGAACGGGATTTCCAATATAAACGGATTCAGCGACGGCATAAATGCAAATGGCATAAGCGCTGGGTTAGATTTCAATGACCAGAACACCGCGCTCGACTGGACCGACTTCCCTCCCCTTGCAGCCGATCCCTTCGAACAGTATGGGTATGGCCTGGAAGACTTTTTCGCGGAGCCGTTTCCCGATTTCGGTACTTTCCGGAATAGCATGTAGACCGACCTGGCTTGCTCGAAGTTCATCGTTTAAACCACCAATTCACACCAGTCGGACTATCGAATATTAGCATATGGGCACAGGTGATCAGGGCAGATGATTGATGGGTGGAGGATGTCCCGAGAAAAGGACAAGTCTCAAAAGTGGCATGTGGATGAGAGCGAGCAAGAGCGAGCAAGAGCGAGATACTCAACATTGCAACCTGACCACTCGATATGATACACGACTGCCCAATGCTAGAGGAAGAAACTAGCATCCGAGCTCAGTTCAGGTCATAACAACGCCAGACGCAGTCCGACCAGTAAACACATCCACGCCGCAGTACAACATCCTCATCCTGCACAGCCACCACACAGCACACAGCACACCCCACGCCTCACCATATTCCCTCCGTCGCCACCAAAAAAGCCCAGAACTCCCCTCATCCACACGCTTCACAACAACACACACATATCCGCACGCTACCCAACCCCGCTAAACCACCATACCAACATCGGCAATAGATACGACCCCGCGCCTCCGCGCCGCACCCCACGCTTCCATCTAAAGCCTAAGCCCAATCGCCACACCACACCATATCACAACGACCACGCAACAGTGCGCCACAAAATAACAACTTCTCTGTTCCAGAGCCACCGAAAACCCACACATACCCGCCCTGCACGTTCGTAGTCTAGAATGTTCAACGTGCCGTACATTTCGGCGTAGCCTGGCGCATGCCAAGCGCACCTTTCTTCCCACATTCCCTTTTCGAAAGGGGAGGGGTTTGGGGGGGGCGGCGACGGGAGGAGAGTTCGTCCGAGAATTCTCGGGCTCGGGTTTCGGGGCGACAAATTTTTTTTTTTCAGGGAGGGAAAGTATTATAGTTTGTGGAATATCTCGGAGAGCATGGCATTCTGACATGCTGATGTGTGCTGACTGATTGAGGCTGATGATCATAATACAAACCGTGCTGCCTAATGTTGTAGGCCGTGAGACATTGCATCGCCTTGGTCTGGCCTGCTTAGAATATCTCGCCAGGGCTTGCTGATTGACATGACTCGGTTTTGGCATTGTGAGGGGAGAGGAGAGGTGAAGAGAAGAGGATAGATTGAAGAGGGAAGAGAGGAGAGTATGAATGTATGCAGCTAGCATGATATGGGAGAGAGGATGTTATGGGATTTTCGTTGAATGAGAGACTTGTCGAGGATGTGTCTTTACGTCTCACTACGAATCTAGATACTATATGGTTTTGATGGATGGCGGTGATGTGGATATATTGCTTGTATTTTGTGTTTTGGCATGCTATGGCATGATATGATAAGATATGATAAGATACGATATACCGAACTCGTTGTGTCTCATCTACGCATTAATATATCCGGGTATCGCCTACCGCTCGCTGCATGATTGCTCGTACTCGTAGTCATGGACTACAAATAATCGACGCACGTAGTATCTATCCACGCATTCATCGCGAAGCGGCTGAATCGGCCGAATCGGCCGCGTTTTCCTTGTACCACCTCTTTCACAAGCCCTGTAATTTACTTTACTCTCTATATTCTTGCCTTTCCCTTGCCCCTGACATGCCCTGTCATCATCCTCTCCAGCTCCCTCCGCGCCTCTATATCCTCCACTTCCTCGAACAAGGGCTCTGGATGCACGCGGCGAGGCATAGCTGGCACAGGCCACGCGATATGCTCGCGGCCATCTGGCGTCAAGGCCGATACAGGGCTGTGTTTTATCGGCACGCGTTCGCCGCGGCTGGTATCGGGGGAGACGGGTGAGGATATGGTAGAACTCTCAAAGGAAGTGACGCGAGAACTGCCACTAAGAGCGGCATCATGTTCAACGTCCATCTTCTTATGGAGGATTTTTCGGCTTAGCGTTCGCGTTAGACTGCGGCTACTCGCCGCGCTTGCCGAGCGTACTGCGTTGGCGACTCTGCCTAGAGGCGAGGGTACGCGTGTGTTGAACCATGTTAGATGTCGGGGGAGTGTGGGCGAGTCGTCTGGGATAGGATGGTCCATGCGGATTGGGACCTCTTGCGCTGTAGATGATAAAGATGGTGTCGGTTCTGTCACACCTGTAGGGTGTGCGCTGAGACCTGTTGAGAACTCTGGAGGGCTAGATGCGCCAGGCGAGGGTGAGAGCGGTGACTGGGTAAAGTTTGTGTGTGGTGTGAAGTTGGAGCGCCAGGAGGGCGTATTGTAGTTGTCGAGTATATCAGATGCTTCGTCCGGGTGATGGTATCGTTTGTGACGATAGTCTGGGAGGTGTTTTTGGGCATCACAACCTTCGAGTTCGGCTGCGTATGGGTATAGAAGTGAAGGAGACTCTTGGACATTGAGAGGGGTCGCAGGGGTGTTTTGAAGGGTTGGGTAGGTGTGTGTTGAGGACTTGAGGGGTGAGATCGTACTTGATTTGAGAGTTGATCGGGTATCGCGCTTCGGAGTTGAACGTGATGAAGGGCTAGGAGCGTGCATGTTCTGATGAGACTGCTTTGTTTTGAGCGGAGCTGGTCGCATTCCAGGCTCTTGTAGTTCGGGTGTAGCAGGCAGTCGGGTGGCTATCGTAGGAGAGAAAGGTCTCAAGGATACTAGATTATCTGTTCGGACATCTGGAGACGAGGCAATCTTGTGGATGGAAGGCTGTCTGTTCGGACGTGATAATGATGGAGGTGCATTCTTATACGAGATCGGCGACGTGGTATTATGTTGACTATCGACGAGATTCAGAGCGTACAGCCCACCCGGCGAACTGCGAAGACGGCGTGGAGCCAGTGGCCGGCGTGCAGTGTGGCCCGCATCTTTTGGAGGCGGTAAGGGAGGAGGTAGGTTTGCAAACCTAGGCTTCTCCCTCATTTCCGGTGTTTGAGCATCCGGCCGGAGAGGTGTGTGTGCTCGAGGAGTTCGGACTAGCGTTTCTGCGCGCAAGGAAGCTTGAGAAGGTGTCGTGGATCGAGTGTGATTATTTGTGGAACGCTTGGGGTAGTATATTGACATGGGTTTTGCGGGCTTCCCGATAGGGACGTAGGTGAAGGTTCGCATGTCAGTCGGCAACCTTGGTGGTCGTTGAGGTGACATATCAAGAGCTCCATCGGTATCATGTAGGCGGTGGATGATGGTAGACTGGGGCGAACTAATCTTGTCAAACGGCGGATATCGAAATGAGTTTTGCTGCTTCAATCTTCTCCTCCGCGCCTTGAACACGATAATGAGAGCACCGAACATTGTAATTACAGAGAAAGGAACAGCGACAGCGAGGCCAATGACTGCTGCATTGTCAAGTCCACCAGAGGCTGCCGCCATGGTTGAGGATGGCGACGACGACATAGATGGGGCTTGAATATTAAGAGACGTAGGTGTGGGCCATAATACGGTATCAATGATCAAGTTCGAAGCAGACAGCACAGCTGGCTCAAGGTCGCGGACTGCCAAAGTTGGGGCGGGCGAAATGGTTGATGCTTCTGCAATTGGGGTGTCTGCATCTACTTCTATGCAGTGTCCTTGAGTGCCACAGACCCAGTCATTGTCACAGTGGTTCGAAGTCTGACATGAACTGGCACAAGTAAGTGAGGCCCCCATGAACGAAGGAGGTTTGAACATACTCTCCCAGACAGTGGCCATTCCAAACACAGTCCGGAACGTCAGTAGGGGAACGAACCTGGACGGCAGCTCGTCTCAGTATCGATGTCGTCTGCGACAGGACCGGTAGCTCTTGTACTCCCCCTTCACAGCCATGCTCGAGAAGGCAGGCGAGAACCGGCCTGAATTGAAAGCTACTTCGATCGTCAGAATTAGGCTGTAAGGGATTGACTATGAGAAGGTAAGGCCGACTGACCAAGCAAAAGCACATAGTAAGACATGGTGCACCAGCAGAATATAAGCCATAGCAAGGAAATCGCACACTAGAAAGGATCCGAAGCTAGATTATCTCATATCGTAGACTTGCCTCGACTAGGAATGGTCGAGCCTAACAGTCGCAAGGTTCGCACGAGAGTGGCGAACGGGCCCGAAAGAAGTCGGTTACAGGGCTGAGAAGATGATGTTTGATGCTCGATTGGGAAATTGAAGCCAACGAAACTCGGGCAGAACGCCAAAATCGCAACAAAGGGGACGAAGAAAGGTCGCAAGTTGAGAGTAGAGGAGACGGCAGACTTCTATATTCTCGCAAAACAGCAGGAAAAGACGAGCAGCTTAAGAGGACGAAAGAGGCGGAGGTTGAGGCATAGAATCAACGAAAGCATCCATGTTCATTGACCATTTCGGCTGACGAGAGAGTGCCAGGTGGGTTGAAACACAGCCTCTTGAGCCTGCAGCCTCTGCAGAAGCGGTGGTCCCAACCAAAAATACCAACCGTGAGCTGCAGCTTGCATGGATCTTGGCCTGTTCCCGTCTAAAGCAACGACCCGAACCGCATAGAGATTACTCGATTCGATGCATCTTGCATCACATCACATAGGGCGCAGTCGCACATTCAAAGACACTCCTCGCTGCCCACCAAACAGACGAAGCGATCATGTAGGCACGACGCGGGAGCTTCCTTGGACTCCAAAGGCTTCATCCTTGCGTATGATGTGGGCAGGCAGAAGGTTCTCATCTCTTCAGGGGTGCTGTATTTTCAATAATCGGTAGAAGAGTTTGCTATACCGTTCCTCCCTGCTTTGCGCCACTTTTTGCAGTGCATAGAGAGCCTCGCTTGGCAGACTGTTTCGAATGGTCCTCCACCAAACCACTGCTGCACCTCTTCGGCGTTTTCGTCAGGCAGACAAGTCTAGATAGAAGAGTTTGGCAATCACACCATCGACATCCGCGCAGGCCATTCGCTTGATCGGCGTCGTGCCTTGTCATTGCATGATGGAGAGAGACGGAGGATTTGCCAATCCCCAGCGCCTCGTCTGATAAGAGACTGTACGGCAAGTGAATCCTATCGTGCATTCTTGTGCTGATATGCCGAATCCTGCGTGGAGAAAGCATACACTTGGGCCACTCCCAAAGCTTGGAGGTCTTTGTAGGGATGCGCCACGGAAGCCGCCCGCATGTGGAGTGCAGCCTAGAGCTCCAAGAACGGCATTCCACTTATCAAGGACTGACTTGTTCGGCGAGGAGCAGTGATCTTGATAGAAGAACAAAACAGTCTTACTTCCCATAGTGCAAAGATCTACTTGTTCCCTCGCCGTTGCGAGTAGCTGGCTGTAGGGACGGCATCTTCTTTGCGGAAGATGGCCAGCTGCGCTAGAACATCGTCGACGGAGGATGTTCAGGAAAATGATGTCTCAAAGGCCCAATCAGCTCGTGACCTGGTGCGGCAGAGCAGCAACTCAGAGACTTGCGAGGGGAGGACGACATGGTTCGAGATGCGTGAAAGACGCGTTGAGGACGGAGAAGTGTGTGCTAGGTGCCGATGATGGTAGGCGAAGAGTTTGCTAGGCGCCGTGGATTGCAGTGGTGTGCATACAAAAGAAAGCGTCCCAGGCTAAAGATAGACGCACAAGCTCGAGCTATCCTGACTATTAGAGAGAGGCAGGTCGAACCAAGCCCCAATTTGCATGTAGGAACCAGGTCCCGCATTCTGAATAGACTGCATAGTGACTTCTTATAATAAGACAAACTAGATGCGATCAAGTCTCGTCAGTAAACAAGACCATGTACTGTGTATGCACTGAAGTACTTTCTTACCTTTTCCCTTTGATTATTGTCACGTTTAATAATACCTTCCTTGCTTAAAGCTTACCTAAGGCAGATTCCAGTAGATGGCGGGGTAGTAGGGGCATGATGATATCTACGATTCTGGTACTGATACCTACACTACTATCGCTGTCACTGCTCAATGCATACAGTGCGCGAGTCGTGACGGCATCATTCGCCAATCACAGTCAGCCTAAATAGAGCTTACGATATATACATGTATGATGCCCGGCCTCCTACATGTTGCGAATTCACTCTCAATTCAATCTCTCTATGCTCTCCATCCCTCGCCGTGTCCTCTTAACTCCCAAGACCCCCAATATTGTGCCGGTTCTGCATAACAACTATCAGCAACGACCTCTCGGGCCCACTCGGCCTTTCTCCACAAATTTCAGAGCTATGGCCAAGGAATACAAGCTCAAGGGCATCGCCTCAATCGACCTGAAGAATGGCGACAAGATTGAGGCTGAAGTTGATGGAATCGAGGGCGGCAAGGTCTTGCTTGCTAAGGTGCAGGACAAGGTACATGCACTGAGTCCAAAGTGCACGCACTATGGAGCACCATTGAAGAATGGCATTCTCACACCAGAAGGCCGCCTAACCTGTCCCTGGCATGGAGGTATGTATACTACTCTGCGATGCCACCTCTTTAGTTTGGCGAGGCTAATCTGTGCCAGCTTGCTTTAATGTTTCGACCGGAGATGTCGAGGATGCCCCGGCTCTCGATCCGCTTGCGAAGTACGAAATCATAGAGAAAGACGGAGGTGTATACATCAAGGCTGAAGAAGCCACGATCAAAGCCGCTCGTCGAACCCTGAATATAAAATGCTCTGCCAAGGGCACCGAGAAGATAGTAGTTGTTGGTGGTGGCTCTGGTACTGTCGGCGCCATCGAAGGTAATTACCCCCTGTGGCATACTTAGCAATTGTAACAGCAGAAGCGAGACTAATGGCAGAGTAGGACTGCGCGGCGGAGGCTTCACAGGACCCATAACAGTCATATCCAAAGAAGGCTATCAGCCTTTCGACCGCACAAAGCTCTCAAAAGCATTGCTCGCAGACATCTCCAAAGTAGCCTGGCGATCCAAGGAGTACTATCAAGAATCGGACATTGATATCGTATCCGATGAAGCAGAATCGGTCGACTTTACCGCGAAGAAAGTCACTACAGCCTCTGGCAAATCATACGACTATACTTCCCTCGTCCTCGCTACTGGTGGCACTCCACGATTCCTCCCCCTCCCTGGCCTCAAAGGCGATTTAGGCAATGTCTTTGTACTCCGTGAAATCAAGCACGTCTCCGACATTCTCGCTGCAGTGGGCGACAACAACAAGAAGATTGCTGTGGTTGGCAGCTCCTTTATTGGCATGGAAGTTGCTAACGCTCTCGTGGGCAAGAAAAATGATGTCACCGTCGTTGGCATGGAATCTGAGCCCATGGAACGCGTTATGGGAGCCAAAGTAGGCGCTGTATTCCGGGGCCTTCTCGAGAAGAACGGTGTCAAGTTCAAGATGGGTGCATCCGTCGAAAAGGGCACCCCCTCATCCTCAGACAGCAGCAAGATTGGTGCCGTGCACCTCAAGGATGGTACTGTACTGGAGGCAGACCTCGTAGTCGAGGGTGTCGGCGTCGCGCCCGCAACCGAATACCTCAAGAACAACTCCGCCATCACCCTCGAAAAAGACGGGTCAATCAAAACGAACGAAAGCTTCGCCGTCGCAGGCCTCGAGAACGTCTACGCCATCGGCGACATCGCAACATATCCATACCACGGCCCCGGCGGCAACGGTGCACTCACCCGCATCGAGCACTGGAACGTCGCGCAGAATGCTGGCCGCAGCGTCGCCGCGTCCATCTCGTCTCCCGGCTCCAAGCCCAAGCCGTTCATTCCCGTGTTCTGGTCTGCTCTCGGGGCTCAGCTGCGGTACTGCGGTAACACAGTCGGCGGGTATGATGATGTGATTGTGCAGGGCGACACAAGCAAGCCGAGCTTCGTGGCGTACTATACCTCTGGCGAGACGGTGGTCGCGGTCACGAGTATGGGCAAGGATCCGTACATGGCACAGAGCGCGGAGTTGATGCGGCGCAACGCGATGCCCAGTAAGAGCGAGCTGGCCGGTGGGAAGGACATCATGGAAGTGAGCGTGCCGAGTGGAATCAAGATCTGAGATGGATGCGCATCTTGATTGGTGTGTTCTTCTGACTGCGGCAGGGAGGCATGAAGTGCACTAGGACGTCTCGTTAGAGAAGCGAATATGAAAACAAACTGCCCAGAAGAAGTGTATTAGCGCGAACAGACTATACTCTCAGTATTCGCGGTGAACGACTTCATGTGCATGTGCAGAGAACATAGCCTTAATGTGCGTTCTAACAGACCAACCAACATTCCACTTAAAAAACAATCAGACTGAGGTGCTCAGTAAGTAAGTACCTCACCAAACGCAGTACAGTATTCGAAACACCAAGTTCCTGTACATACCGAAGAACCATCAAATGCTTAAACCGAAAAAAACCGACCACGACATTGTGTACCCTACCTAGTTAAACCACCATGGAGCGCACTATCCCATTTAGACGCGCCGCGAACGCGTCCCTCCCTCAACCCGGAAAACCAAAACCCTAATTAGCATCCAATCTCACGCTCCTGCCACGCTGCCACGTGACACCCAGCCTCGGCACTTATCTCTTGAAACTACCCGGGGCGGCGTGCGTGCGTGCGCGGAATCTATCTTGTCTCGTGTCGTCTTGTCTTGGCTAGTCTACCCTTATTAGACTTATATAGGTAGATTAGCAACGTTAAACTTTTCCATCGAACACCAACCAGGCTAAGTAAGCTAGGTAAGTGAGCTAAGTGAAGTAGGTTTTTGGGTAAAGGGACGTGAAACTTGGGTGATTCATTAAACTTTGAGTTTGGAAGCGTGGGCGGTGCTGGGATTTGGTGAGTGGTGTATTGTGTTGTAGGTAGTACGACTGAGGGGAGATTATACTGGATGGTTGGGGGATGGTTGGGATATGTTGTGGATGTGATGGATGGAGAGGAGCTGGTTTCTTGGTAAATTGCCAGCGTCTGCGTTGTGGTTTGGGGTAAGTAGGGTGCTTGGGCAGGTACTACAGTAAGGTAGAATTTCTATTTTTGCGACGACGCGGTTGTTGTGGTGGTTTGTGTGGATGCATGGACATGGGGCATGGGCAAGGGCAAGTGCCAGGACTGGGCTGCTTGGAGAGTTAGGAATTAGGAATTAGGAATTGGGATTTGGATTTTGGAGTTTTGGGGGGGCATGGGTGTGGTGGTGTCCTGTTTTGTTTGCCCAATGCGCGGACTAGGTACTGTAGAGATGAGAAGGCGAGGATGTTGCCTGTTTTTATTCTTTTTGTGTTGGTGATGATGATGACGAGCAAGGGAGGGTGTTGCGACGATCGATCTGGGAGATGAAGTCATCGCTTATTAGAGACATGACCACGGTGAAGATAGATAATCATATTGAGTACAGTGCAGGGTTCACGAAATGTATATATCGCAATGTTGGCCCGAGTCAGAAGGAACGCCTGGTTTATTGGATCAAGGGTTTAAGAGATACCAGGTACGGTAAGTGTTTTTCGTACCTGCATTGATCATGCATGCTAACTTGTGTACCTAAAGACCGGGGCTCCGGGCTTTCAAAGTGTACTGTACTCCTCCTGCATTGCAGAAAACGGATATGCACGTTTCCTCGATCGGACGGGGCTTTGGCTTTTTTTTTTTTTTTTCTTTTGCAATGGCATGTGGTTTTTTTTGGTTAATTGTCTTTCGTGCGGACGTGTTGTAGGGCGATCCGAGCGCGTCATAACCTGCCGGGAAAAACGTAAAATGGGTTTCTGTTTCGGTTTCAGCGAGGAAATGCGACTGCTGTCCTGCCGCCGGGGCTTGAGAGGTGGGACACGGACAACTTTTCGACGAGACAGCGATGGGTAGTCAGGCAGGCGTTTGAGATCTGGAGAGAGAGAGGAATATGTGACGTCGTGATCACCAGACAGGAGCAAATGGATGACAGGACCGCTGTAGGGCCGTAAGGATGGAGCACAGGTTTGCGATTGCGCGTTTAGTCGACGTTTATTGATAGGTAGTGTTGCGCACTGATGTGGGTGACGAGCCATCACCGAACTACAGATGGATGGATGGATGGATGGATGACAGTGGCATACTGCTATTAATTATACTGTTCTCGCTCTGGACCGGTCACTCCGCCGGTTGGGCGGGAAAAAGTAAATTGCCTATCAATCTTGCAACGGCTTTGGGTCCGACGAGGCTTGGCTGCTTCAGCGTGATTGAAGTGAGTGTCGACAGACATGTTTGAGTGTTTGTGATGCTGGCGAACGATGGAGTCCTCCTACAAGCAATGATTGCAGACGTGCGCGCAGTGGCGTCATGAGGCAGCCCGCCATGATGGGATAGAGGCCCTGTCCGCAGCCTGTCGACGACGTAGGCGAGATTGACGGACGGGAATGTAAGGAGATTTGGTGTTGTTGTTGACTCTGCGCAGTGTCTGGCCTGTGTCCAGCTCAGCACAGACAGGCGTAGGCGCAGGAACAGGCTCAGGCACAGACTTCACGCTCAGGGCTCAGGCACCACTATTTTAATTAATTCTTAGTCTATCACTGTCTATTGCTGTCTATTACTGGCACAGCGAGGAGGATGAAGGACACGGCGAGAGCGGCCGAGCGCCGGCCGTAGCTTGCTCACTACGCTTGACGGTCTACACTATACGCTGCCCAGTCTTCATTCTACCCAGCTAATGGCCTCCCAGTCTCTCTCTCTGTAACTGACTTGCTTCACACTCGCACACTCACACACACACACACCCGGTCGACCGTTTCAAGCGCCTCCTTTTTTTCCCTTTTCTGTCGTCGTCGCTCTCCACCCTACTGTCGCTCTCTCTCCTGGCGCGCCCCAAATTAGCACTTCCACCACCCTCACACTACTGCTGTCCTGCTGTCCTGCATCGCTTTTACCTCTTTACCGCTTCCGTTGACGTTTCGTGTCTCTCTCTCTCTCTCAACTCTCTGACACTCCTCCCTCTCTCCCAATCTCACCTTCATTTGCCCTCAATTCGTGTTGCGTCGCCTGATTAGGGCGCTCATCACGCTTGGCTACTGTTGTTGTCCTCCCTCTCCTCCACTCCTGTCCCAAGGTTCTGCCGCCGCGCGAGAACAACAACACGCTTGTGCCAAGTAGCAGCTGCCCCAGCTCCCGACCTACCGCGCTTCAGCTTCATGTGAAGGAGCCGCGACTGCGACAAAACAACTTATCCTCCTTCCAACCACTCCGACATACAATACCCTTGCGAAGACGCGCAGCACATACACAGAGAAGAGTCTTTGTCTATTACTGGCTGCTTCGAGCCCGCTATCATCAGCCTTTGTTGTCCTCTACATTCCAGTACTCCACTACCATTTCGCTCCGGCACTCCTTGCGTGCCGGCGATAAACAATCATCCACGCATCTTTTTCTCACCTACGCCTTCATGCAAAACATTCCGTCCACAAACCCAATCTCGCCCTCGACCACACTTCAGCTCTCACTAGCTTCACCTCTCATCCGTGGTACCGCTACTTCCTCTACCAACTCTGCTCTCGACTTATCTGAGCCGTGAGAGTCGCTGCTGAGCATGTCTTCGGCAGCCGTTCAGGCCAACTCACCTGCCGTGTCAAACCGTCAGTACCCACAGTCTTCTCACCAGCGCGACCAGTATTACAGTGCTCAATCGGGCAATGTAGCTTCAAGTCCACAGGCATCCAGAAAACCCTCAAGACGTCCCAGCGGCAATGGCAGCGTGCCAAATACCCCGACTGCTACCCAATACAATCAATCTCCATCCGCCTCTAGTGCGAGTATGACAACTCCACGCGCACACCCTCTACCGCCATCGTCCGTCCACGCTTCTCCGGCATTTTCTGGATCCACTACCGCTAGCGGACCGAACGTACCTCAACGAACCTCATCTCACCAACAGAGTCAGACGCGCGACAACACACACAATACCGAGCAGTTCAGAAACATGAGCCTAGATGACGGCCAAGCTGCGGGGAGTCAATCCCGCAGACAAGGTCACTCATCTTCAGGCAATGGGTCTTCAGCTAGAACTAAGCAGTCGCCAGGTCACAGCCGCTCAGCAACTGCTGTTGCAACACCTCCGGCAAACCTTCCCCGTGAGGACAGCACCATCATCAACCGTGTCATCACCTCCGATCCCAACGAAGACATTGCACGCGAGAAGGCCCGTCAAGCTGAGGCAAGAGGTCAAGCTCCGGTTGATATTGATGCATCATCAAGTGGCCTTGGCCTGGTAGGTAGCGAGGGTGTAGATGATGGTGGTCGTGGAGGCGCCAGGAGACAAGATCACTCCAAATCGGACAGACGATCAAAAGAGACAAGATTCGGTGACTACATACTCGGCCAGACTCTTGGTGAGGGAGAGTTTGGCAAGGTCAAGATGGGCTGGAAAAAAGAAGGTGGTGTCCAGGTTGCAATCAAGCTCATTCGGAGGGATGCGTTGGGCACAAACCCCAGTCGTTTACCGAAGATCTATCGCGAAATCTCAATCTTGCGTGGCTTGCAGCACCCGAACATCGTACGGCTACACGAGATGGTTGAGACCGAGCGACATATTGGTATCATACTTGAATATGCGTCTGGCGGAGAGCTTTTCGACTACATCCTCACCCATCGTTACTTGAAGGACAATGCCGCAAGGCGACTCTTCGCTCAGCTTGTTTCTGGGGTAGGATACTTACACAAGCGAGGAATCGTCCATCGCGACCTGAAGTTGGAGAACTTGATGCTCGACCGCAATCGTAACATCATCATTACCGATTTCGGCTTTGCAAACACGTTTAATCCGACCGAAGATCTCGGCGATGAAATTGAATACAATCTGTCCAACAGAGATTTCGTGAAGAAGATGGGCTTAGAGCAGCTCCGCACGGATGGCACGAGACGAGGTGATCTCATGCAGACAAGTTGTGGTAGTCCATGCTATGCAGCACCAGAACTTGTCGTGAGTGACTCTCTGTACACTGGCAGGAAGGTCGATGTATGGAGCTGTGGTGTAATATTGGTAAGCCGTTGTCAATGTTCGTGTGCACGCCTTAAAAAAATAACATCAACCACAGTACGCCATGCTCGCCGGGTATCTTCCGTTCGACGACGATCCAGCGAATCCCGAGGGCGACAACATCAATCTGCTCTACAAATACATTGTATCAACACCACTTACGTTCCCAGAATATGTCACACCACATGCAAGAGACTTACTGAAGAGGATACTTGTTCCGGACCCAAGAAAGCGGGCGGATCTATTCGAGGTGGCCCGTCACAGTTGGTTGAGCGAATTCGCACACGTCGTTGGATTCATCACCAGCAGCACCACGACGACCAGCGATATCGCCAACACCACTGTTCCCGCACGTACGTCTACCAGCGTCCAGCAACCAGCTCAAACTGACGGCTTCTTAGAAGATCCATACGAACCACCAATGCTTACGCGCAGTGCGTCTGTTCGTGAACCTACCAAACCACAATCTGCACACAACACAACAGTTGGGGGATTGCAGAAACCTCAGGGCAGTGTTGATCCGAATGCAGAGAGCAAGACTAGGGATCCAAGAGATGCCAAACGGCGTACCGTACAGGTCGAATATGTTGCTCCTCAAAGGGAGACAGCTCGCGAACACAGTTCCCCTGCAACTGCCACAAGTAACGGTACTCCCCGGACGAGACAAAGAGCGGACCAAGGCCCAACCGAAGTTTCAGCAACGTACCAGTCTAGCTCACGCCAAACTGCTCAACGATCTTCTTCTGGTGCCGCACCGCCTTCAAGTCGTGTGGCCTCCGAGTCGATTGCATTCGGTAGCGCACCCCATCACTCTGCCATGCCGACTACATCCAATACGAGACCTGCTACTGGCGGTTCTATGGGTGCCACTGGCAGACTCCCGTCGCGTGGAAACTCTTACGGTCAGCCAGCTGCTGCGACAGTCGCGCCTACGAATGCACAGGGACGCTTCTCTCAGCCAAAAGGCAAGCGATATGTCATTTCGGCGCCGATGCCACAAGACGGTGGAAACGAGTCGGCAATGGGCAGGCCTAGTACACAGCGTATGCCGTCTCACGACGCTCGTCAAGAACCAACGTCGGAGCATCGGAGCTCACACAGACGGTCGAATACGGTTGGTGGTATAAGCGAAAAGATCTTTGGGCGTGCTCCTTCAATGTTTGGTGGACGGCCATCTGTAGAGCAAGGCAACCGGGAGAATAAGAAATACCCTCCGACGAGCATGGCCGCGCCCATTCCTAATGACCCAGATGCCCCGCGCCAATCTATCGAGTCAAGCCGTCGCACTTCATTCGGATTCAACAGGAGGAGCAATGATACAAACTCGAAGCCTGAGCGCCAATCGAGAAGATTTTCTCTCATACCAAACATCAAAAATGCCTTTGGCGGTAGTAGCAAGTCTCAAGACCCGCCATCTTCATCGCACTCTGCCGATCCCCGACGATCGCAGGCACCTCGTAGTCGTGGACAGAGTCGCCCAAATACCACCCACGTTGCTTATGGATCCGCTGCATCGAGATCTCCGAGCCAGAGTACGACTGGAAGCACTATACCAGTTCTGTATGATGGAAATCGAGAAAGTCCACCTAGCCAGATGCGCGAATCCCGGATTGCACCTACCTCTGCTCCCTCTCAGCAGACTCAGTTTTCATCGAACTATGCTCACTACGACCGCGACGCAAGGTATTACAACCAGGCAAATGACAGTGAAGCATCTCAGCCCGTAGTAGGACGACCACAATATCCTGCTGGTTTCAACACCAGCGAGACACTCCCATCCCAGCGTGATCGGCCGGGTGTCCTGCAAAAGAATCGCAAGTTTGCAGAGGAGCAAGGTCCAGCAGGCCATGGCGCCAGTTCCAATAGCTCTAGACGGGTCACCGATTGGTTCAGACGGATCGGAAGACAGAGGACGAGAGAGGAGCGGTGATGTAAGAAAGGAAGAGGGCCAGGGAAGAAAAGACAGCGCAAGTAAGCTTTTAATAGACGCAGGTTTGTTGGCGAATATCTCGGCCAACACATTCCCACCTTTCGACACTGGGCGAGGACAGCAGGTCACAGCATATTTCGAGTCTGCGCGAGCCGGTAAGACGGCATTCTTTTTTGCATTCGGGTGGCGCAACATCTGCTTTGACCGGATTCGCAGAGGCTGTTTCATGCACAATCACATCACATACCTTGTAATCACTTGCGCATATATACTGAGGCTTGAATTCGAGCTTGAGCTGTGGCAAGAAGAGGTGCAGCTCGGGCCTGTCTGATGGGTCTGCGATCGTTGATGGTCGCCTTTTTATTGTTGTATCTTTGAGCTTTTACTATTATACCTATAGCCTGCACTACGCCGTTAATTGGCATGGTCTCGTACTTTGCTTTGTCGTGACCCTGGTGATGTGCTGGTCTTTATGTCGAGCTTGTAAAATACCTCGTTAGACTCGCATCGTCTTAGAAAATGTATTGTGAATCAAATGCAAATGTTCCTCTGGTGATCTCTCCCTTCTTTCCAATTTTGATGATGCCATCACACGCTAGATCGACACAGGCTTGGCACCACCCTACTTGCCCATTCCTTCACAACAACTGCATCCATGTCATTTCATCTGCCCACCAATTCTATCGTATCTCTTTCTGCAGAGCTGGTCTCTGAGGGCTACTCATGGATCTTGGCCATTTGTGCTGGAATAAATCAACGGACTGTGACCAATTGATCGCAAGCGAATGCGCATAACAAGACCTTCGACCTATTCGCCGGCAAGATGAGCATTCAATCGAGATTTCGGGCGCGATGTGAAAGTATTCTTGTGTAAGGTGCTCTTTATTTCAAGCAACTAGATCTGTCATACTGACCAAGATAGGGTTCTTGTCGCGCTTGTGGTGTTCCTGTCTGCGTTCTTCGTCATTGCGGACTTTGGGCAGCATGGTGATCTGCTGAACACATGGGAATGGCCATCGTGGTCGACGTCTAAGCCAGCCGAGGAATCCATGTTGATGCAGGATGGGGTATGTTAATTGAAGGTTGTCAAGTGTGTGTCGGTTTTTGATATGCCTGCAGGGCCGCGAAGCAAGGGTGCCGAATGTCTTGGACCCGGCGTCTGTTGATGCGCAGACTGTCTGTCCCGGATACAGGCTCGCGGATGCGGTTACTGAGAGCGATACGGGAATGATTGTCTACTTGACCTTGGCGGGAGAGGCGTGCAATGTCTACGGTACGGATATTGGGACGCTGAAGTTGGTCGTGGAGTATCAGACTGCGCATAGACTCAGGGTCAACATCAGTCCTGCTTTTCTGGATGCTTCGAATACGACTCAATACCTTCCACCGGAGGATCTCCTTCCTCTTCCTGCTGGAGATGGAGATGCCGAGATGGCTCGGTCTAAAAGCGATATGGAGTTCCAGTTTGCGTTTGGTAGTGGTGATACCTTTGCGTTCAAGGTGAAGCGCAAGTCGACTGGTGACATATTGTTCGATATGACGGGCGCCAAGCTTGTTTTTGAGAACCAGTTCGTTGAGTTTGCGTCGAAGATGCCGCGGAACTACAACCTGTATGGGCTGGGAGAGCATATTCACAGTCTACATTTGGGCAATGATTACGCTATCACTATGTTCAATGGTGATATCGGGGATCCAATTGATGCAAACCTTTACGGAACTCATCCGTTCTACCTGGATACGCGGTACTACAAAAAGGCCGGCGAGAGAGAAATGACGCTATTGGAATCGGACGAACACGATACCAGTGCAGAGTATGTTTCTTACTCCCATGGTGTATACATGCGGAACGCACATGCTCAAGAGATACTGCTGAAGGAGACGAACATCACGTGGCGTACTATCGGTGGAAGCGTAGATCTCTATTTTTTCGATGGTCCAAATCAGGCCGATGTAACAAAACAGTATCAAGAAGTCATAGGGCTTCCGGCTATGCATCAGTACTGGACACTTGGATATCACCAGTCAAAGTGGGGCTACGGTAGTTGGGCAAAACTACAGGAAGTTGTGAATAAGATGAAGGAGAATAATATTCGTAAGTTCGGCTGCATAATGGGTGTAGAAACATGTGGGCAACTAACGAAATGACCCTAGCTCTGGAGACAATCTGGAGTGACATCGACTACATGCAAGATTACCGCGACTTTACCCTAGACAAAGATAATTTCGACGCTGAGGGCGGTCAGGCGTTTCTTAATGGATTACATCGCGGCGGCCAGCACTATATCCCGATCATCGACGCTGGTATCTATCATCCAGATCCGAAGAATGCGTCAGACATATATGGGACCTTTGACAGAGGCAAGGAGCTGGATGTATTCATTAAGAACCCAGACGGCAGTGATTTTGTAGGAAAAGTCTGGCCTGGGTATACACTGTTTACGGACTTCATGGCAACCAACGCACAAGAGTTTTGGACGAACGAGTTGGACTTGCTTCATCAGGAGATACCTTACGATGGGATATGGTATGGAGAATGACTCTATGGATAATCCTTTGCACAAACTGACGGGATCTAGGATTGATATGAATGAGGCAGCGAGCGCTTGTAACAATAGCTGCGGTACCGGCATCGTCACGCCTGCGGCAGGTGCCCGGCATGTAGAACGGCATGAAGGCCATGAGGAGATTTCGAAGTCCAACGATCGCAATCTCGAACTTCCCCCTTATGTCATTAACAGTGAGTTTCGTCTAGATTCGACTTATAGGTCATCCAACTGACTTGTCCAGGTGCTGCTGGCGAAATCACCGACAGCACCATCTCACCAAACGCCACTCACGCCTCTGGCCATCTAGAATACGACATTCACAATCTCTACGGCCACTCCATCTTACGGGCGACCTATAATGCTCTTATGGATATCTTCCCTGGTAAACGGCCCTTCATTATAGGCCGCTCCACGTTTGCGGGTAGCGGAGCATACGCAGGACATTGGGGTGGTGACAACTGGGCTGAATGGTACTATCTGTACGCAAGTATTCCGCAGGCACTCACCTTTAGTCTCTTTGGCATTCCGATGTTTGGTGTCGACATTTGCGGCTTCGGTTACAATACGACGGAAGAACTGTGTGCCAGATGGATGGAGCTCGGCGCGTTCATGCCCTTTTTCAGGAACCACAATACTAAGAAAGCGTTTGGTCAAGAGCCGTATCGTAGGTCTTTCCCTTCCCTTGATAAGTAGTATCCCTTTGTATTCATGATCCATTGACAAATGTAGTATGGCCCTCTGTCGCATCTGCCTCCCGCGCCGCCCTACATACTCGTTATACCCTCCTCCCCTACCTCTACACCCTCATGCACTCCGCTTCGAGCACCGGCAGCATTGTCCTCCGTGCTCTATGCTGGGAATTTCCCACCGACCCCTCCCTCGCATCTGCAGATCGCCAGTTCCTCCTCGGTCCATCTCTACTCGTCACCCCCGTGCTCACAGAAGGCGCCATCACCGTCAATGGTGTATTTCCCGGCATCAGCGACGGCGTCCTGTGGTACGACTGGTACACAGGCGCAAGAATGGACGCACAACCAGGCGAGAACAAGACCCTCGACGCCCCACTCGAGCACATCCCCATCCACGTTCGCGGCGGAAGCGTGCTGCCTCTCCAAGAGCCCGGCTACACAACCGCCGAGTCCCGCAAGAATCCCTTCTCACTCCTGATCGCACTCGACAAAACAGGCCACGCCGAAGGCTCGCTGTACCTCGACGACGGAGAATCCATCCTGCCCACTCCTAGCCTTGAGGTCGGGTTTAACGTCGGTAATATGGCGTTGTATGTCCGTGCCGAGGGCGACTTTGCCGGGGACGCAAATCCGATTTCTAATATTACGATCTATGGCGTGGAGGAGTGGCAGGGCCGCGCGGTTATCATCGCAGGGGATAAGGAGGGTGATATGGTTAGTGTTGCGGAGAAGACGTCATTTGAGAGGGAGATGGGGGTGCTGAGGGTTGGTGGGCTGGAGGGGTATTCGCAGGATGGCGCGTGGAGCGAGAGTTGGGTTTTTATGTGGAAGTAATCAGCGAGGTAGGGGATTTGGGGTTGTGATGTTTTGGGGGCGTTTCGGGATAGCGGATGGTGTTGTTTTCTCAATATGTTCTATATCTTATTCGGCACTCGGAAGGGAAGAATGCTACTCTCCTATCTGGAAGTAAGCTAGTCAAAGCCCGTCATTCCTTGATACTTTGATACTGGAACACTGACATGGACTGGAATTACATGGACGGACAGCTACATTTACACCCAACTAATAGGTGCGCAAACCATTGGAGAGGTTCGATAGAATACTAGTAATTAGATGGATGCTAGACTGTTCCGGTGTGTATACCGAGGTGCCGAAAGCTATCCCAACATCGCAAGCTAGAAGGCCCACGTTGGCTGACGCAAAACTCCGCCCCTTGACCTTCTTCATCGCATTGGTTGCGTTTTGACCTGATTGAGACATCGTTGCCTATATTCAACTGGGAGGGGAAAACTAGCTCCCGTACTAGGTCCAGGAGATCTGCCGGATCTCGCCCAATGTGACGTTGCTGGCAGGTCTTCAGCTCAACTTTGGGGGCTGGGGCTGGAACTGGAACTGGAACTGGCACACTTTGACGTGTCTTGTTGGGGTTTAGGGGGCGGAGATGTGAACTTGGTGTGCTGGCTGAGCATATAACTGGGTCTTGGGCGCCTTGCTGTCAGGACGGTCAAAGTCGTTTGCGAAAGAGAAAAAAAATGTGTTTGTGAATCAAATCGCTACATATTCTGGAGTTCCTGGAGATGATGCAGCAAACAGCCGTCTCGATCGCAGCAGTTATCAGTGGTATTGTCGCTCATCTTGCGTTTTATATCCGTGGCGAGTGGGATGCTGCTGTACTCTATCTGCTCCTGGGATATCTGAGTCTGCATCAAACTCTTGTTCTACTTCTCGTGTACCATGGCGACTCATCGTACACAACCGCTACCTGGGACGTGCTAACCGCCGAGTCCTTCCATATACTCGGCTTGACCTGCAGCATCATCGCATACCGCGCATTCTTCCACCCGCTCCGTCGCTTTCCCGGACCGAGCTCGCTCAGAACCTCGGTCTGGGCAAGGGCAATCACGATATTCCTTTCTGGCGAGCGAGGGGCCGTCGAGCTCCACGACTTACATGAGAGATATGGCGATTATGTCCGCGTGGGACCGAACCATCTCTCCGTCCGGTCGGCGGACGCTCTGCCCGTTATCAACGGGAGCGGCAAGTCAACGGTGTGCCACAAGTCGGTCGCGTATCTCTTCCCTACCTACCCTGCCAGCGTCAATGCGGAGCGTAACCCACATCGGCATGCACAGCATCGGCGGATCTGGGATAGGGCGCTGGATCCAGTGAGTGTGGATTCGTATGTTCCCAGGCTCCTGGGGCTTATGGACATGCACATACGGCGCTTGGCGCGCTACAAGGGGCGGGCAGTGGAGGTGAGACGCGAATACACATTGCTCGTCTGTGACATTCTCGGGAGCGTGGGCTATGGACGACACGACGGCTTCTCGGCCATGGAGACGGGCCGCCTGCCTCGTGTGATGGGCGATATCACGCTGACGTGGCGCTTCGGCGTGTACATGATGCTGCTGCCCTGGCTGCACGTCCTGCTAGACTGGGCGCCCGACCTCCACGGCCTGATCTACAAATCCGATGTCAGAGTCCGAGACTTCATCGCCGCGGAGATCACGCACAAGATAGCCCGCACCCGGGCCCGCGCAGCCGGGCCGTCGTCTCCCCTGACTGATATCATGAGCCATCTCTTGGCTGCTAGTCTGCGCGGTAGACCCCTGGGCCACGAACAGCTTGTCTCGGACGGCTTCATCATGAGTGTTGCTTTGACGGATACTTCTATCGCTACCCTCTTCCACCTCACGTACCGCCTCGCCCGACACCCGGCCCTCCAGGCCATTCTCCGCCGCGAGATCCAGGCAGCCATACATACACCACATGTCGAGCACGCCCACTGGCCCACCATCTCCCGCCTCCCCTACCTCAACGCCTTCATCAACGAGACGCTCCGTCTGCACCCGCCTAACCCCAGCCCATTCTCCCGCGTGACTCCCCCCGAAGGCATAACGCTGCCCGACGGCACGTTCGTACCGGGTGGTACCATCGTCTCGATCCCGGAATGGTCATTGCATCGCGACGCGCGGTGTTTCGCCGATGCCGAGTCTTTTCTTCCGGAGCGCTGGCTTGCTCGTGAGGATGGGGTGGAGTGTGGTGTGGCGTGTACGCCGCGGCCGGAGCTGGTGCTTGATGGACGGGCGTTTATGCCGTTTTTGACGGGGCCGTATAGGTGTCCCGGGATGTATTTGGCGTATTTGGAGGTGAAGGTTTGGGTGGTTTGTGTGCTGGGGGGGTTTGAGGTTGGGGTGGATGATGGGGTTGTTGGGGGTGTGGATGGGCGTGTGGATGGGGGGTGGAGGGATTATGGGATGATGCATCCGGGGACGTTGGATGTGCGGTTTCGGGAGAGGGGGGCGGTGCGTTGATGGGGCGGTTCCGGTTTGGTTCTGCTTTGGCTTTTGGTTTGGGGGGGTTTGGGATTTGGATGTATCTTGTAGGCGTGTGCGTTGTGGTGTTGAGATTTGAGTTGCTGTCATGGGTTGTTTTCCTGTGATGCCTGTTAGGGTTACGATTACTGATTACTGGAGGATCTAGACGGTTATGGTCGTACGTAGCGTAACACGATCTAGAGATAGATATATACACATATTACAACAGACTCCACACCACCGCAGCAAGACTCACACCAGCAACTACCCCATCAACACACCTCCTCCCAGCAACCCCAGTCCCATCCGCGCCCCAACCCCCCACCGTCGGCGCCAAAGTCATCAAACTACCCCCACCCCCACCCGACGTCACCGTCGGCACCGCCGCATCCTTGAAACTACCCACAACCGTCATACTCGCATACTGAACCTCATAATACTCAAACACCGTCTGCCCCGTCGGCGCCGGCACCAAGAACGTCGTAGGCGGAAACATGGTCGACTGGTAACTCTCGAGGATGGGATTCCTGCGGGAGAAGAGGCATGACGCGGTGGTGGCGGTCGGAGCACCGGTAAAGGTGCAGTCCCAGCGCGTCTTGATGGCATCGGAGCGGCCTGTTTCGGCAAAGTCGAAGACGAAGGTCGAGGGTCCTGCGATGACGGTTTGGGTTGCGCCTGGGGCGGAGAGGCAGGCTGTGCTGGTGGAGGGGCAAACGATCGTGTAGGTTGTTGCGTCTGCGGACTTTTTGGGGGGGGTGTTTTGTTAGGGTTTGGGTGGTTTTTTGGGAGGGGGAGGGAGAGGATGGGGGGGGCGACTTGCTTCGTCGATGATGAGGGCTTCGTAGTCGTCGAAGCTGAAGTATTGTGGGCTGTACCCGACGGCTGGATATGTCTGCGAGAGTATCAGTCGCTGCACTGATATTTAGGATTTATGCTGTTTCCATACTACTACTTCGCTTGCGAGCACGTGGGCTACAGTCGCAAGTAGCACCGAAGCAATGCAGGCTGGAGTTGCGACCATTGTGGATGAATGAAGACAGCGCGTGGATGGCGCAATTACTAGACTAGGAAAGTAAGGAGGCGATCGAGGAGCAGCGTAGAGGGTTAAGATGGCTATAGCGGCTTGTTATATAAGATGTTAACGGTCCAGGACTCTCTGCTAGTAATTAACTAGCGATAGATAGTGTTGATCTGACTCAATATTCTGGAAGAGTTCCATGTCAGGAGAATCTGGCGTTTCGGCCCCCACTCCTCCCCTTATAGCCTATTTCATTGGCTGGAATGGACAGGGATTCTGCGTAGGCGCGTTGGATTGAAACCCTTGGTATTTTCCTGCTCACCTTGCTGTGTTAAGACTGTCGACCAAGTCATCGCATTTTCTGTCACTTGTTGGCTTGTACAAATACCGTCTCTTGCTCGCTCAACACACCGCGTCGTCGCGTTTGGACATACAATATCGAATAGAAAGCTCTATAATAGAGCACCTTTAAACCATAATAGAGAAACAAAATACTTATCATTATTATTGCCTCTGTACTACATATGATGTGTGATCGACACGAGTCAGGTGTAATGGGGCGCCGACGCCCGAATATGAGCACGGGATTTCCCCTCTCTGTGTCCGCTAGTATCGCAATTTCTATATGGTGACTTTTTCACACGTTTACCTCGAGACTGTTCTGATGTTTGCGTTGTCAAGGATGATCTGGACAAGGTCCTGCTATATGGGCTGGGGAGCTTGAGCCTAGTTATCAATTCTCTTCGGGATACATGAACAGTTGAAGATCAAAACCTTTCGTACAGCTTGTATCTTTCCGAGATTACTGTCGATGATACCAGAAGATCTAGACATATGGAATGAGGATTCCTGTTGATGGTATTAGAAGTACCTGGAGGCTCAGTCATCCAGATGCCTGCGTTCATCCCGTGGTCGACAATGTGATTTGAGGGGGAATGAGTATGGTCGGAGAGATGTGTATATGAAGATGTATTGAGGTTATTAATTCGTTCTTTGAAGTTATTGTAAGAAGTAGAGTTGAGAATTTACAGAGGAGGTGAAATTCATATAGACCAGCTGCTAGTCCCGATTAGGCGGTTGCGGTTGCAAATCGCCACATCAGCCGCGTCCTTTTACAGTCTGCATACCTCTGAGAGTATAGCTTCATTCTCACCTCGAAACCTACAAGTTGACGCTAATCTTGTTATCCTACATTATCGTTCATAGAGACTCATATATATGGCAGGCTTGTGTTGAGTATAAAATCCTCACGATTGTGTAAGAATGGTGTGCTGTACGTTTACTTTATGGACTATGTATAAGTCAAACATGTCTTCTTCATGCTGGTTCTTTCAAATATAAGAATAGGAACAGTGTTAAGTGTGGACAGGGAGGCCCAAAAGGGCACTTGTATTACACATTTCTGTACTAGGACAAGCGCCTTGGCGAGACTGCCCCCTCAGCCAGACCCGATCCATATCCACCAAACGAAACATACGAACTACACGACCGCTTTGTCTAAATATGGACAAACTGAGACTCCGTCTGCATCCACTGGTGCTATCGGTTGTCTGTATCTGCCGAGGCCATTGTATGACGCGCGACCAGTCAAGAGTCAGGAGCTAAGCCACCACATGCGACCAGTCGAGAAGTCATAATGGACAAATGGCTAACGCGTCTGAAGTCCCAATACTGGGCTGATTATCGATCGGTAGAAACTCCGCTCAGAAGACAGACCGATCGAGCCTGCATGCAGCCACCATGCAAGGTTAGACGACGACCCATTATGGCAAAATTTGCTGAAAGTTTCCCCAAGACCCCCGCCCCAAGACGGACGTAGCTGTCCGACAAACACGTCTCCAGCATTACAAGTCATCTGATTCTAGACCACGAAGTTTGCTTCAACCAAATCTCTCGGGACTGAGAGTGTACAGTTGGATCGACACAAGGACAAGGACTGGACTACTACCTCTCTCGTATTATCGGCCCACTTGTTACTCGCGCGACCCAATTGAAGATGCCGTTCTCAGCCAAAGCTGAACACCAACGCGGTACAGGATAGCAAATGCACGAGATCCCAGTTCCACCTCGTATGTGCTGGACACATGCTGCTACCCTCTGAGTGATATTGATCTAGGCTTTGAGACCGCCTTACGAGAGACTGTCTACTTAATGCGCCCCCCTCTCTCTTGAGATTTCGTCGCGTTTCGAACATCATCCGCACCTTTGATTTATTGCAGTGAGGTTGAGCACTAGCATGTATTCGATCGACATTCTATCATTAGTTGCGCTTTGGCAGCTACTGTCGTTCGGCTCAGCTCAAGATGTGACCACCGACCCAGCCTTTTTTGGGTTCTCCTACGGCAGCGACGAGATTTGTAAGTTTTCATACCAAAATATGGCTCCTATGTTGCTTCTAGACGTTGGCTGAACATCTGCTTTCAAATCAGACACCCCGGCGATATGCAACTCAGATCTAGAATGGAAAACGTACCGTGACTTCGGTGGATGTATGGATCCCACTAATGATCCCTCCACGGCTGTCGTCCTAGACTGCAATGCTGGTACTATGACATTTGCCGGATCTACCTTGGACTGGTATGCTTTCTATCAAATCAATAGAAACTTTTTACTCACCTTTGACTAGCACCAGTAGATTTGATCCTGCAACTGAGTCCGCAACATATGATGCTTGTGCTTCATTTTTGGTCAAGGACGACGAAACCGACACGGACCTTCTTACCAGATACTATTGTAACACAGTAGCAACTTCGGAGGTCTACACAATGACTATCCCTGCGGGTGTTACATATGTAGACGAGAGTGAGTCCTCCCCGTAATTGAGGATTTGGTACGGTGCTAATTGTGGTAGGTGGAGATATATTTACCATTCCCTCAAGCAATACTCCATCCTCGTCCCCGTCTCCAGTATCCACTCTTCCTGGGCCTACCACAACTGCACCCGGACCTGTACCGTGCACTTCATGCAGGAAAAGGAATATGTCCTGGATCGCAGGTGCCGTCGCAGGCCCAATCGTTGGCATCGCACTTATTGGAGCTGGTGTATTCTGCTGTCTCCGACGACGCAGAAACCGCGAAAGCAGCGCGGCCAACAATCTGGCTTACGCTCCGCAGACAAGTCACCAGTCACCCCCAGAGAAGACAGCCGCAATGGCGTCATCTTACCCATCACCAAACTCTACAAATTCGTACTATGGGCAGAATCCAGTATCGCCCTATCAGCCAGCATTCTCAACATCATCACCACCTCCTCCTGTCTCGCCTGTAAACACTGGACACCAATCGCAAATATATCCCTCTAGTCCTGCTCCGCAGTATGACCCACTACAGAATTCACAGCAACACCAGGGAGCCTATGCTCCACCAGAGAAGCCTACAAATAATTATGTGAGCCCACACCAAACAGGCGTGAGTGAGCTTGACGATGGAAGTACCACTCGCCAGTAGTATTGAGAATGTGAATGGCAGTCCTGAAGTTATAGAATGCTCATTTCATTTCCACGTGACGATGCGTACATTATGCTAGTTTTCCTTAAGACCAGCGCTTCTAATGAATGTCTTCTCTAGTAAGCTATATAAGCCGCTTGGAAGGGCTAGTATTCTGCTATTCATACTGAAACGCAAAGAAACAATGCCCCTCCTCTATCTGCTACGTTTATGCTTACTGAGTCTCTCTCCCCCATCCGATCTTCTGTCCCCATGAAGCCCACCATGTTAATTCTTGTTATCCACCTCTACATGGATACATCTTTAAACCCTCCTCTCCACACGCGCATCACCTAAGATACTTTGCCCCTCTAAAATGCCCCGTGCCCTGTCCCCAGCTGAGCTGTAAGCCGAAGGTGTGGCTGAATGGCGCAAGCTGATGCCGCGCATTAGGGATTTGTTCTCGAAGCGTAATTAATGCTGATGTACTTTTTAGACAACCCTTGAAGTCATGAACGGGAAGCTATGAAACATACGTAGAATGCTGAAGCTTGCTAAGAAGGGCATCGCCGCTGAGATCAAGTCCTCTTTCAGATTGACAGGCTGCTCTTTGTTGATTCGTGTTCATAGTCTGAATCGTTATACTCTAGTCACTTTACTGCTCTCTCCTCTTCCTCGACGTATCTCGCTTCGTCACTAGAGCTAAGTTCTTCTGGAGGTGTTTCAGATCGCTTCCTCTTTGTAACGCCGGGAGCTAAAGAGTCTTTACTAAGTGAACCTAGCTGGTGCACTTTTTCTTCTGCATCGGTGAGAAATTGGCAAAGCTCTTTGGTAGAAACAACCAAATCTTGGTCTTGAGTCCCAATTTGGTCTCTCACTAGCCCTTTGTTGGCGAAATCGCTGAGGTGGAGCTGCAGGCCTGGTCGATTGGTAGGGTTCCCTTGCTCATCACGGAATGCCTAGTGCGAATGTCAGAGACAAACAAGAAATGCCACAGACACTCGTCGTCGAGCATACCTCATCCACAATCTCCTGCACTGCTCGTAATTCATCCCCATGAGCTGTATGGAATATGCGAGTTCGCCATACTGACAAAGTGGCCTTGCGTGACCGCTTCTCGCCGTATTCAATATCAAGCCCTACGACGCTCTGTATATTTGCGTCCGAGTCCAAAAGGTATGCATCGGCTAGTGAAGTTAAATGTTTTCTTTTCTCCGAGTACGCAACTTCGATTACAACGCCAGGATACTCTGCGTCATCATGCCAGAAAGAGGTATCGGGCTCATATTTTGATTGGATACCATCTGGATCTTTGTCATTCGGGAGGTGTATTCGCGTAGATCGAGCTATCTTCACTTTCTTTGCAAAGGTGCTTCGGCTAGTCGATTCCGCGTAGATTGATTTAAGCTGGTTGTGGATTGCTTCCTCAACACGAGCAAGGAACAGTTCATGGATAGCTGTAGGCATGCGAACTACAAGCAGATCATTTGCTGCATCAAAATCATATCTGGTCGGACACCTTTGTCAGCAGTCGCTCCAGTTGGCTGGAACCTACTTACCGTATCTTATACTCGACGAACCCTCTCAGGTCTTCGTCTTGGTCCAATTGTCGATTAATCTCGGTACGCTCTGTAGGCGAAAGCTGAAATTCTGACCACGGAGGTTGCTTAATGTGCTTGCCAGCTCGAATGGTTTTGAAAAGCGTGATTATTTTCCCAGCTTGGACGAAAGGTTTCTTCCCGCTAGATGGCGGTGTCAAAGGGGCGAAGACGAAGCTTGAAGGAGGTGTGATTTCTTCATGCAGCTCCTGACGATTATGTGATGTAGACATATCAGTTGTTCATTTTGGTGGTTGAGTGCATTCGAATTGCATGGTGATATGCGATGGTCATCGGCCGAGTCATTGCTCTTCGAGGTTTGTTGACTCAGCAACTGCACGGCTGAATGGGCTACCGAAGATTTACCGCCAGAGAAAGGCCAGAAACAATTCCCCTAAGCTCCATACAGCCCAGCGCCTACTCACTCTTCTACGTCAGTGCTCATCCCTGGCCAGTCTCTTTCCAGTTTTCGTCTTACCATGACAGTCCACATCTCGACTCCTATATCAACGCACCTTCAAACCCTCCTCTCCAAGCGTGCACCACCCAAGACACTCTGCCCCTCTGAAGTCGCCCGCGCTCTGTCCTCAGCCGAACTCCAAGCCGAAGGCGTGGGCGAATGGCGCGAATTGATGCCACGCATCAGAGACCTGGTGTGGCAGATGCGTGACGAAGGAGAGGTGGAGATCTTGCAGCGGGGAGAGGTGCTGGCGGCGGATGTGGGCGTAGAGAGTGTGATAGGCCCGATCAGGGTGAGGCGGAAGGTGTGATGGATGGTGGGAAGGGGACTTGACGTGCGACGAGTAAGTACTTGAATGCTGGAGTGCTTGGGGAGGTGTTGATACTGCATCACGATCATCCCGGCGATGGTAACAGCATTCTAATCACCTCGGATGGAAGCACAAAAAACTTGGTTCACGTACGTTTGGCTCACGCTTTTGGCGCTTCGATGTTTTCTATACGACCTCCTAGAAACTATCCTAGTGCTGCTGTGCCTACGAAATTAAGGCTATATGGACTTCAACATATGTAGATGATGCACAGTTATAGTCTCAAGATTCCACAGAAATCGCAAACACTCACAAGGCATTGGCTACAGTCTCAGACATACACCGTCTTGGTAGATGCCTGGAAGCCGTTGAAGTTGGTTTGGCAACAGCTGGAGTATGCTGCCACAATCATCAGCAAACCGCGTCACACAGCACCTCAACATCAGATCAACTCACCGCCCATCTTGTCAAACACCAACCAATCCCCCATCTCGATTTCGCGATCGAATGACACTCCTTTGTCAATACAATCAAGTGAATCACACGTCGGTCCCCACAGCGAATACCGCCATTCCAACTCGCCCTTCTGCACATGCACCACTCCACCCCTTACCAGCGCAATCGGTTGATAGCCCGGCTTCTCATATACCGCATTCATGAAGTTTCCAAACACACCATCGTTCAGATAAAGTCGACTGCGCCCAGAATCTGATTGCGTGCACTCCGCCGCCCCACGCCGTCCCACGACTTGCGCCACAACCATGAATGCGTCACGTGCAAATAGACGGCCAGGCTCTGCGATGATCTGGACGCCCGGAAACGTGTCATGAAAGGATCGCAGCGCTACGTTAATCTCAGTACTCGTCTGTGCAAAGCCTTCGTTGACGAAGCCGCCGCCGATGTCAAGAATAGTGAATTTGTGGCCATGGCGCGCAGCGATGTGGAAGATCTTGGCTGCTTCAGTGATTGCGTTGCGGTACGCGTTTTCGATCGAAGAGCCGCTTCCTATGAAGCATAAGCAAAGAGGCATCGGATGAATGAAATGTCACAGACCAATGTGGAAACATGTGCCTACTATGTTGAGGCCAAGCTGGGTGGCTTTCTCAAACAACAAGCCTGCTGCGGCCATCTTCGCGCCGAATTTATCGCCGAATCGCACGAGTGCTTCTCTGTCGTCGACAGTGATACGTAGAAGGAGCCTGACATTTGGATGATGCTGCTTTACTTTGACTAGTTCATCACTATTATCAAAAACCAGCAGATCGGCGCCCGACGTCCGCGCATACTTGAGCGAAGCTACGGACTTGATGGGGTTTGTGAATACTACCCTTGATGAGGCAACATCCAAGGCGTATATATCGCGCATTTCGTTCAGTGATGCACAATCGAAGTTCACGCCGAGGCGGCCGAGTTTCTGTAGTAAGCCTGAGTCTGGGTTACATTTCATGGCTGTATACACAATTAGCACGAGGTTCAGAGGCTTAAATGACTCAAGGCTTGCCATAGAAAGGTGTAATCTCAGGCAGACAAGCTCTCCATTCCTGAACTACGTCTTCAACCCTGCCTAGATCCGCGATATAGAAGGCCTCTGTTTCGTCTTCGCTAGCGTCTTGCTCGCGGATCTGTTTGAGCAATGCCTTTTGAACTTGGGGTCTCAGCATGACGCGCATACGGATACGATACGAACAACCTGGGTTGGTCCGGAAGCTCTGTGAAGTACCTGAAAAAAAAGCGGTAAAGTACTCATGATCGCCGTAGACATTTCTCTTATTGTATAGTGATGTCAGCCACAAAAGGTCTGTGCCGTTACGCCTGCATCCATCGACCTGGTGATCGTGCGACGCTAAACAAGCAAGCTCAGCCAGCCGCAATGATTAGATCCATTACACAACATTAGATCGACGCTATACTGTTCGTGGACCCATATTGTACGCTGTATCGGGTGAAGGGATCGTGGATTCTATCAGATGAAACGGCCAGCTTCTGTATCAGATACGACTCGTGCACAAAGTTGAATACATTGTCTGAGGATTCAAAGTCGAATCCTTGTTTGAAGAACGATGTTAGGAAAAGCAAGATGGAACTAGTATTCTTATCTCACACTTTAGAATGTTCATCTGCTGTAGGCTTCCGCCCCATGCAGCATTCATATCAAGTCAAATGAGTTTTTTCGAACACGTGTGTGTATTCAAGGTATAATGGAGGACAATATACGGGACGCCCAATGATATCTCCGCGACGCTGTTGGCGGTTACAATACTTAGGTGTCCATGTGTAAACACCCCTGAGCTTCTATCTCGTCCTCCGCAAAGACAGCCTCTCGCCATGGTCGATACGTCCAAGGCATTAGAACCCCCTGTGCTCTGTCTTGTGATATGCAAGCAGCACCTCGCTGAATTACGTCAATAGAAATCTATGAGACAGTGTCGATATTTTCTGTTGCGGAAATCCTGTCGTCTAAAGCAGCAGAAACCATTCCTTCAAAGTCGGAGTTCGCCTCTAAATTATGCGAATAATTGGTAACCTGCTAATTATCTCGACCTTGAAGTGACAGGCTGGCTCTCTGGCCGCTGGCGTTAGACATGCTCTGCTGATGATTTTATGCAACGGCTCATGAGCCCGTTACCGAGTCTATGGATAATACACAGAGGAGAAAATACTTCTCTCTTCCGCGTCTGGCTTAACACTCAGCATCATCTCTGGTGGATGCGAACCACAACATCCTTTCGACCCCATGCATCTCGCCCTATTCGTTCCATCTCTGTCCGCTCCTAACACCCTTCCAAACGCATAAAACCACATTTTTCCCTCGTCGCAAAAATGCAAACAGCATTTCCTGTCTATATTCCAAAACGCATTCAACTTCAATTGTCGCACAAACCTCCCCATCTCATCTCCCCACGCGCCGTACACAACCAGCGTCTTTGGCACTGGCATAATAGTCAAATACTTACCCACAAACTCCACCAACCGATGATCCGCCATCGGGCAGAACGCACTCGCCACATCCACCTCCAAATACCTCAGCCCCTCATCTCCAATCATCACATACAGGTCTCGCATCTTATCAACTAAACGATTCAACGTATAAGTCGTCATGAGATTATGCGTCGCATGCAGCTCACGGCTCCTCTCGGCCCAAAGCCTTCCCGTCACCGTTCCATCCGACCTCCATCGCCGCGCCCACATCGATGCAGTCGTATCAGGCATCACATCCGCCAGCACCATGGCTGACGTATCGAAGCTCAGGCTCAGCTTACGCACTGATGACCATGCGCGCGCAGACATCAGAGGGCGTGCGTCTAGCTCGCTCGGACGTCGGAAGGCCCATGATGAGGGCAGTACGAATGTGTTGCGCGTAGCATACTCGTGTTCGGCTTCGTCGTGGATTTTGCGGCAGGTACGGAAAATGGCGAGTGAAGGGGGCGGCGTGCTGGAGAGGTCTGCGTAGCGTGGGGAGGGGAGGAAGTATTCATGAGTGCTCGGTTTGGAGAAGTAGACTCGGCTTGGGACAACGAGAATGGCATATATAAGAATGCGGATCTCCGGCGGGAGAGAGAGGAAGGAGGTTGGTGGTCGTAGATGGACAGGAGAGGTCTCGAGAGTGATGTTGACTGCGGAATCATAGGTGGAGAGGGCTTCAGGAGAGGTTGGTTTTGAAGGTATGGATGGTGTTGAGGCACGGGATGGTTTGGATAGATTGGACGGTGTTGGGGAATTGGATGGGAGAAGACCCACACTGTCGTCGTCTGATGGACCGGAATCGATGCTGCCGAAGCAAGTGGTAATGACGCGAATAACCTTGCTGGCCAACATTTTGCGCTGTGAAGGCATTATTTATGTTGTTAGTTTGTTTATTGCAGCGTGTTGATATGATGGTCCTTCTTTTTTGAGGTATGGCCAGCGTGAAGGCCAGAAAATGGGTTTCTCTTGAAGCAAGTGATACGCCAACATTACGACTCTTATAACTCTGACGACAAAGACTCCGTTGACGAGTATATTTCTGGCTTAATGACAAAGGTTTGGAGACAAAGAGGCTTGAGCCAAGCGAATTTTGCGGTCCGCTGGTGCATATATCAGCATGTCTGCCAGATACGGACGACTGTAATGTGTGGAATGTATATGTCAAGTCAAGAATGCTTGGGGTCCTTGCTTCGAGGGATACGCCATTCTCATGACAGCACGCCCAATGGTGCGAGCGATCTGTTATAGCTCATGAACCATCCAGCAATTCCATATTGATTAGGAGTTTTTATTCGCAGTCGATAGTTGAGCACCGGTCCTGAGATCAGTCAAATTCAGAGACTAAATCGACGAAAGAGCCAGTCGGATCATGACCCACGACAGCATACGACGGGACGAGACTAGGATATGGCGCAAACGTCATTTCGCCAGGGCTGGCGTCGATGTGCGAGGACGATCGCCAGTAGGCTCTACGCTAGGGATAGGACGTATCTCTAGTTCTGCGCCACTGATATATACTAAAGAGATATCACTCTTACACCCTGGTCCCTAACGCATCTTCTCATAAACAACGAAGTATGACTGAGCCGCTTCGAATTGCCATTGTGGGCGGCAGTATTGCCGGATGCACACTTGCTAATGGTCTTCTCAAATACAAGCATATCACGTTTGATGTATTTGAAAGCAAAGACAGCTTTCGGGAGCGAGGCGCTGCAATTGCAATGCATACCAACGCCTTAGCTGCCCTGAGATGCATGGGCATGGAACCGGACCGCATTCTGAAAGATGGACATGGTAATAAGAGAGACAGTCTGAGGACCATAGCTGTATGTGGTCTCCTATACTCAGTGGCAATGCAGAAGAACAAGTTTAACCAAGAGCTCCTGTGTTAGGGAGTGGGTGATCACAAGGGAGAACATTTCCTTGAAACCATTGACGGGCCTTGGGGAATTGGTGAGAATCAAGCAAGCAAATTTGCGTGATTGCAATCTCATTCGTGATACAGGCAGACAACAATTACTAGAAGAACTTGTCAAGCCTCTACCTAAACAGAGATTGCACTGCAACAAGAAACTGGTCTCGATCACTGAGAATGATACAGGTCCACTTGTATTACACTTTGCGGATGGAAGTATCCATGTAGCCGATGCTGTATTGGGGTGCGATGGGTATCGATCCAGAGTTAGAGAAATAATTCTCGGTAAAGACCACGCAGCAGCTGAGCCAGTATTTGCCGGCTTTTGGGATGCCCGTGGACTCATACCCACTGAACAGGCTGTAAAGCAATTCGGGACTAACATCATCGACCCAAGAGACTCAGCATTGTCTGCTGTTGTGGGGAACAATTGTTTCACTCTTTCTGGTCAGATTGACAGTGGTAAGATGTACTTCATCACCGTGTCTGGGAGTGCACCAAAAGATTGGGATGAGACCGCGTGGAAAACAGAGCTGAAGAGGGAACATCTCGAACGAACATACGCAGGCTGGGACGAACAGTTCCGGACTGGTGTCATAGATTGTATCATGACAAGTGGTCCGGGTGTCGTCTTCAATCAGTGGGAATCTCAACCTGCACCTACCTACTTCCGCAACAGGATCTGCATGCTTGGAGATGCTGCGCATGCGACATCGAATTGGTGAGATATGAGATCCTATCTCGAGGTCGAAGCTCACAGATCGATAGGCTAGGCCAGGGAGCGGCTATGGCAATCGAAGATTGTATGGTTCTCTCTAAGCTGTTCGAGTTGGTCAAGCATAAAGAAGACTTGATTATAGTATTCAAAGCATTCGACCGCACACGTCGCGCTGCAAGGCCAGATATGATCATCGAACAAAGTCGTTTACTAGGTCAGATCCTGACCGGTCAGAAGGGCTTGGATCCTGCCGCCGTGCAACAGTATGATATGCAAAGGAGAAGACTGGAGATCTTGAATTACGATGTTACAATCGAGATACGGAAGGCACTCGAATCATTTCATCACTTCAAGAGCAACAGTTGATGGTCAAGTTCTTATCTATATGTTTACGATAGTTTCATAGAATGTAAGTATTCGTAGTCGGGCCACGACTCATTGACTCTGCTTGCAAGCTGTGCAGCTCTCTCTGGACCGAAGGTCTTCTTCCAATCGAGCTCTCTGTCTTCGAGTGTCACGCCGAAGGACGTCTTACTGCGATCAATACCAACTGAATCTGAGATACTCTGAAGAAATCGCTTGAATCGCTCATTAGACAAGAATTTTTCAGGCGTCGGGCTGGCTTCCCAAGCCCAAAGAAGCTGTTCCTTATCCATGCCAACAATATCGCAAAGCTTCCCGATCACTTCTGGATGCTCGATGACGTCGTCCGCGTCCACAACGATTGGTGTAGTCGAAGCGGTAGCGTGATTCTTGTACCAATCGAAAATATGTCTTTGGAATCTGAGCGTCGTATAGATCTTCGCGTACTGAGACTCGAGGTCTGGATACGGCTCTCCCTCCGCCATGAGCCAGCTCTCGAATACCAGAATCGGACTGCGAATCAAGAACAGGGGACGCCAGGACAGCATGAGCTCATCAGAGAATATAGTTGGGTTAGATTTTGCTTCTGAATTGATAAGCCCATTCATTCCGTTCACGATGGCGCTTGATCTGGTTGGTGATACACATTCGTCGCCGTATGCTACTTCTACTGGTGTGACAAGATGTGCGTGGTCCTTCAGCAGCAAGTGACGGTGCTATACATATCGCTCAGAATATAGGCTTTCTTTTCGGTCATAGGGGTCCTCTTACGTCGCGTAAAGAATCCCGGACAAAAGTGTGCAAGTGGTTGTGGCCATGATTGATGAGCTTAGTATGCTCAGCCCATGTTGCCCTGGACACCTTCTCTAATGCTATTCCATCGAAAGTGTCTCGGGTGTACTGGTGTGCATCAAAGAATATATAGTCCGATATGTTCCAATCTGGCTGCTTAGAGAGGATTCGTGTCAACAAATTCGACGCTGTTCTCGGATGGCTGAATAAAAAAACTCGTTTTTGATCCCAAGTCATTTCTGAGTATTTTCACACCTTCCACTCATTCGTTGAAAGTATCGATGGTACCCAAGAGAAAATATAACAAGGTTATTCCTATGCCAGAACCCTTAGTACTATTTATTTCGTATGCATATGAGAACATCTTTGACTCCTGAAGGCAATCGAGCTGCACAATCCCTTCTTGGCAAATAATAATCGGCAGGTCCCGAATCCTTCGATCTCAGCTGACACTAGCCAATGAAGGCGCTCGTATCTGCAGCTAAAGCACGACGATCTGCTGAGAGGCAAATGCTGATTGGACACACTAATGTCAGTGGCTATCACTACTTGCAGTAGCGTGGCAATCTAGACGAAATAGGGACTAATCGATACCACTGCAACTCATCGCAAAATCAAAAGAAATGTAGGGACGGCGTGATCAGGAAAAAGACACGCTCCGATTTCCGGGATTTGTGTATTGCCATGATTGCGCTTGTTACGCACAATCGACAGTTTGCGAAATTATGAGTTGCACAATTACGAAGGCGATTCCCACGGTTATTCAAGTTGAATTTCGAGGAACATCACACGATATACTAGTAGATTTATTTCTTTGACTCATTTCAGCCAAAGCGCATGCCACCAGTTCACAAACCTCTGACATCATGGTGTATACATGGTTCGAAGCTTGTGCGATTAGTTTTAATCCTCACCTTCACCATGTGGACCTGTGCTCTTAAGATCAAAGCTAGCTATCTGTTCTCCACCAGATCATCGCGAGTCCTGTCAACGACTGTCCTTCCTTCACCCTCGCCGCACGTCCACAGTGGTTCACAATGAGAATTCGCGCGTCTCATCCAGTTCTTCTCACTCCAGGCCCCATCGAGACCGACGATGATGTCCTTCTGGCCATGCAACACTACTCCGAGAGTCACGTTGGACAACCTTTCGTTGAGATATTTGGTGAAACGCTGACCATGCTGCGAAAAGTCCTACAGACCACCGATCCGGGAAGCCAACCGTTCATAATCAGTGGATCTGGAAGTTTAGGATTCGATCAGGTAGCCACCAACGTCCTCGGACCGAAGGATAACGTTCTCGTGTTGAACGTCGGATATTGGGGCGATTCGTTTGTGGAATGCCTTCGTATGTATGAGGTTGAGGTTGATGAGATCAAAGCGCCGCTTGGCTGTCAACCCGGGCTTTGGGAGATCGCAGCGAGGTTGAGGAAACGGAACTATAAGGCTATCACCATCACTCATGTGGATACAGCCACTGGGGTTCTCTGCGATATACAATCGATAGCAGCACTCGTCCGCAGCATTTCTCCAGACACCCTAATCATCGTAGATGGTGTTTGTAGTATTGGTAGCGAGGATCTGAGGTTCGATGCGTGGGGTTTGGACGTCGTGATCGGCGCTTCTCAGAAAGCGCTGGGAGCACCCGCAGGCTTGTCTATATCCATGGTATCTAAAAGAGTTATACAAGCGCTCGAAGGTGGCAGGTTGAAATCGAGAAGCTTCTATTGCTCCTGGAGTAGATGGCTGCCTATTATGCGAAATTATGAGGCGAAGAAGCCGTCTTACTTTGCCACTCCACCATCTCAACTGGTTCGTGCGTTGCACGTTTCTCTAAGCCAGATCACGTCTCACTCCATTCAAGAGCGCCTTCAACAGCACAGGAGGGCTTCAGAGATTGTGAAGAATGCAATCAGTACCTTGGGACTGAGTCAAGTGGCGCACAATCCGACAGACCAGGCCCACGGTATGACAGCCTTCTATCTACCTATAGGTCTTGAAGCGGAGCAAATTCTACCAAAACTTGCTCGAAGGGGAGCTATACTGGCTCGTGGACCTCAGGCGGAAATTGCTGGACAATATATCCGATTTGCACATATGGGGGTGTCAGTGGTAGATCCCAGACGAAGAGATATAGAGATCGGGATTGAGGCATTGAACGATACCATTCGCGAACTGCGATCTACGCTGAAAATTAGTTCGACTTGAGGAAAATGCTTTCATTCTACCTCTAGTAGAAACAATGTGGAGCAGACCTCCGAGCCGCAACGCAGCCAGGACCGACCGTGTGTCTACTTAACGTATATTTGGTGTTCACGGGTCTCCGAAACTGAACAGCTGAACGTGGATGCGGTCGAACACTTACAGTACCCACAACGATATCCTCCATTGTACCTTTCGAACCAGGAGAAAGCCGCCAATCTTAGCTCTGCAGCGATTCAAATAGTATGCCCTTGAGAGAGTGCGACGCAAAATATCACCTGGGACAAGCGTGTCTGCCAATTCCAAGGCTCAGCTCTCTTCGGGTAATGGAGATATACTGGAGCACAAATCAGTTCCGTAACAGCTGGCAGAGGAGCAAAGCTTACTAGCAACTCTAGTATCATTACCGCAGCACGTCGCTTCGACCAAGGTCTCAACTCGTGAAACTCGTGAAGAGCCTCATAGTTGCTTTCCGCTACATTCTGCGAACGATTTGATCTTGATATGGGTACCGTCTGGTAGAAGTAGACCAGTTCCGAGATGCATATCAGCTTGACACCGACAACCTCCTGACGCAAGAAGCATAGAGTATAGGCGCCATCCATCTTTCAGTACACTGTCAAATTTCTGCACGTGGACCAAGCTGCGTTTTTCGTAGCACTGTGAAGCTATAGTGCCAAGCACAGAGTCATTTTCATCTCGCAGCTCTTTCATTGGATTATGGTGGAACGCTATGTCAAGCATCAATGCGTTCGCTAAGGCGTGAGTTGTTGCGCCTGAGATCGAGAGCAGTTTTTGGGCAACTTGTTCCTCCTTTTCCACGGTCTACAGCAGGGAACTGATCGATTCTTCGCTCGCCGAGACTTTCTTGCTGATATTTTTCATCTTGAGTCTGTGGTTTATCGGTACTATGCGCTGTTAACATTCGTATACTTGCCTCTTCTGTCAACCAATCTTGTAGCCTCGATACTGCTCGAAGGGCCTATGCCAGCTTTTATGGTCACGAGTCATTGCTGCTCACACGACCCAATCGAGGGTAAATGCTGCACAAAGTTTGATCCACTCGTCATAGAGGACTTCAAGTCTCTTGAGAACCTGTCCGGTGAAACGAGACATGAGCTTGATTGTGTTTCTCTGCGGCGGCACGAGCCATGATGCATTTGTAGCGTTGGTTGGGATGCACGATGCTGTGGCTGGTCAAACTTCGCCGTCTATACTCTGGACAGCTTTGTCGATCTGGCGAGTGACATACTAGCTTACAGATGCAGCTGCAACCAGTACGTAACTACCATCTTCGCATATCGTAAATGGGACTGAACGCAATGTCTTCTTCCACAGAGACCCCTGTCATCGTCAACATCTTTCACTTCTTTGTATAGCGTTGGTGGAAGGACCACTGCGGTGAGACGATCTGTGCCCCTACAAGTTGGGCATCCGAGATACTTTGAGCTGTCAGTTTGGTCGCAGAGACAATTGACTGGAAACGCACCTTTCGCACCACCTTCCAAGTAGCCTTTCTCGTTCTTATTGCAGGCCCCGCTTGCCAAAGTAAGGAATATATCTGGACGCAACTTGACGACCACAATACCACAGTACGTTCTAGACCCTACCAGCACATGCAAGCATTAAAATGAGAATAGCGACGCTAGTGAATACAGTGATGAAGAGGGTACACTCAAGTTTTCTGGTTTGAAGCTGTATTGTCAAACAATGAGTTTTAGAGTCAGCACAGCTAGGCCAGCTGTTTGATACATTTGGGTGGTTCGATAATATACTCAGCCGTAAGGCTGTGTGTGCCACGCTCACTATTGAAAATTGGAGAGACGGGAAGTGCCTGTCGTTCAGATGACTGCTATTTACGCTAACCAAACCTATCATCAGGAAACATATAAGCAATCGTGACGATGATAGGCCTTCATAGACTGTTTAAGACCGGGATAGTGTGCACATAAGCCGTCATATGTTCAAGTGATCTGATGAATAATCAAATATTTGTATAGTGATTCAAGCTAATAATTAGATTGAAAAATGATCGAGCTAGCATCGGGGCCAACTAAGCCAAGAATGGGGGAGATCCTCTATACGAACGAGCTAGATTCTCCCCGTAATCGTAAATTACTAGTACTTCTAAATGTTCTCAAGGGAGAAAAGTTTTACACATTTTCGCATTCATGTCAGGCCATCTCACGTCTTGGCATAAATTGCAAACCTATAGTCCAACGTAACAGAGGGATACAAGAACATATATAATAGAGGAAAGGGGCGCTATCATGGAGTGTTTAGCAGTGATATTCGTCGCGCCGTTTCTATATCTTCAATATGAGTATCACGCCCAAGACGAAAGCTATGACTACCAGAGAAAGGAAGCTTAAGGGTCCATCTTCAAAGACGTACTCAGCCTTGGGACCCTACCTTCAGCTCATGCGTGTCGACAAACCAGCTGGCTTGTACGCAATCTACCTCCCATTCGTCTACGGCCTCTTGCATGGTGCAACAATATCACATCCGCAGCAGGCTCCGTCCCCCCTGCGTGTCGTCTTCCTTGCTCTTGTCTTTCTCGTTGGGAGCATATTGTCGCGCGCCGCAGCTTGCACATGGAATGACTATGTCGACCAAGACTTCGATCGACTTGTGGCACGAACACGTAAACGGCCCATTGCCCGCGGCGCAGTGTCCAACACCCAGGCTCTTCTCTTCATGGCAGCGAGCGCCATAGTTGCGGTCACGTTACTGATGCTCTTGGCTCCTGCTGCTCGTATATACGCGTTGCCAATTACAGTCCTGTCGACGCTGTACCCGTTTGCCAAACGGTTTACAAATTATCCACAACTGGTTCTTGGCTTCCCCTTTGCACTGGCCGTGCCTATGGCAAGCAGTGCTGCGGGCAACATCGACTATGGCAAGCTGCATTGGTTTGCCGGTGAAACCTTGTCGATGGTCTCTTTCTTCACCGCGATCATCGTTTGGACCATATTGTACGACACGATTTACGCATTTCAGGATTTGAAAGATGACGTCAAGGCAGGGGTCAAGTCGACCGCCGTACGCTTCTCGGCCAGGCCAAAGATTATGCTGTCGATTTTAGGAACAATTCAGGTCTGCCTACTCTTCATGGCAGGCTATTATGCTCAGTATAACCTTGGATATTATCTCACCACATGTGCTGGTTGCGCGATTGGTCTGGCTTGGATGATCTATCGAGTAGACCTGGGTAGTCCGGAAAGCTGTGGGTCCTGGTTCAAAGCAAATTTCTGGATTGTAGGATGTCCATTGGGTGCAGGACTGTTACTTACTTACTAAGAAGATCTTTTCCTGGGGTAAGGGGATGTGATTGATTGGGCTGGTGCATTTAATCTCACGCTACTGTATAATGTTGAATGAAGTTGTTGTATTGAGTAAAGAGATGAGTCTGTAAAAACCGGTTTTAAGTACGCAGCACTAAGTACTAGTGTGCCTTAAGAGAGTAGCTCTTTCCACATATCATATAGCTAATACGTAATTGAACAAGACTATCAGGGTCTCCGACGTTGAATCTGCACCGGTAGCGGGCAATGATCTTTCACTACTAACATGCCCTGCTACTTTCTTGAACTTCAACCTTCATTACTCACATAGACATTCTGTTACCACTGTGATATCAGTTTTTCTATTTAACTCGCAATTCTTTCGCATGTCCTTGGTCGGCAACATAGCTTCATCGTACTTGCTACTGTGGTAATATTCGCTGGTTGGAGTTATACTCGCTGGCTATAGTGATCTTCGTTATAATTCTACGATTCTACTTTTTTCACTTCACATACAACATAATCTTCCCAGCTGTAGTCTAACCAGTCCCTCCCCCTTGATTCCCGAGCTAACATACACTTCGTCAAGTCTGGACGTCATGTTGGTATCTACCAAACAAAACAAACACCATCATGCAACCCCCTCCTTCTCTAGCCAGATCTATAAATACACCTGCTTAGATACATACACCAGAAATACCCGGCCATAGCCCGTAACCCATCATCACAACCTCGATCACAATAAGCCTCCACAACACTAAGCTTCTACTACAACGACCCAACCCCACTCTTTGAGCAGCATGTAACAGGAACAACAGACAAGCAGAGGTACATCTACAGCTGCAAGCCTGAAACCCCCAAGCAGACCACATTGCCACTACATATGTAAACCTTACTTACCGTAATCCAGGAAAATACAATCTGCCCTGCCTTTGTCGATCCCTAATCATGAACAGCCGCAAAGCTAGCCATCTACATGCCACAGAGCATTCCGCTCTCTACCAGGCGTGCATATGATTTGATTATTCTAATATGCAGCATACTAGAATAATCAAATCTCATCACGGATTCTACTGTCCATGATGAGCAATATGCTTGCTATACTTCAATCTCTCTCTACACATACATACACTCTCTATATCTAAACCCACACCTCGAATCCCTACTACCCCAAAACACTAAAAACCACCACAACACCTCCTCGCACCCTATTATAATCACACCATACAACTCGCGCAATCCTCAAATACCCACTCCAACACTCCAACAAAGAACCAATCCAACACTCCAACAAAGAACCACTCCAACACTCCAACAAAGAACCACTCCAACAAAGAACCAATTCACCAAAGAACCACTCCAACAAAGAACCAATTCACCAAAGAACCACTCCAACAAAGAACCAATTCACCAAAGAACCACTCCAACAAAGAACCAATTCACCAAAGAACCACTCCAACAAAGAACCAAAACTGTAATTTTCCAACACAACATCCGAAACAAGAACTAAAAAGATAACGAGCCCTCGAACGATCCTTAGAATAGGACAGACGTAGTAGGTACTAGATAATGCTTTACTCATAGATTATATATCTCATGTCTCATGTCTCACGAGTCCTAGAATTCAATATCTATTGCACTACAACAGGCCATTACGAAGTCACATTCCCACATACTAAAGACTAGGCACTTACTCAATACACAGTCACCTTATATATATATATATATATATATACATGTAATGAGCCGCCCATTAAGCACCAAGCACATAGATAACAAGCAGGACAACATAGTTAATCTCTCACACGATGATACACACATATAGACTAACACCTACTTACAAAATCAAATCCCTAGATAATAGCGACTATCCATCTACCCGGCAACTATATACTCATATAATACCTCTACAACACGACCGAATCTGGCCTCGAACGTATACTCTTCACCACCTACTTCCTACATATAACACGCTGTCCGAACGAACCTTAGAACATACACTCTTACTACCTTATTCCTTATACACAGATACTATCCGAGCCTTGAACAAGGTGATATATATAGCATACCAGTCCACTACTACTCGTCCATGAGTAAAGAAATACATTTCAAAGCCTACCAAGCTAGTGATACTCAGATCTTACTTATAGGGGGTTTGGTACCATCTCTATCCGAGGACATAGGTAACAGCTTTTACTATATAATACTGCTTGTCTTACTAGACTATACAACTGCTATTCCTTCAATTCTATAACAGAGCGTCCAAAGTAAAGACATAGATATTAAAGGTATATACAGCATAAAATTACAAGCCAGCAGCTACTAAAAAGATAAAAAAAAGTAAAGAAAACTCTACATTAATTACTAACAGGGATAAGACCCAATAGAATGATGATACAAGTATAAGCACGTACACATACATAATCAAGGTTATTTTTTTAAAGAAAACAAGTCAAGCAAAATCTCCGTCTCCCATCGTCGGTAAAGAGAACGGAACTTGACACCGCCAACCATAATCCCCCCCCCGACCCCCCTTTTTCCTCGCCATCACAACGACTACCGGCAGTGCCGGATGCTCCGGCCCAACTAGCCCATGTACCGAACTCGTTTCAGCCTCCCAATTACCCAGAAAATCCTGCATCTGGAGTCTAAAACATTCCCGCAGAAAGGCCTGGACGTCATTCTTTAGAGTGTGTGTGCTCTCGAACCGACGAATACTTGCAGTAATTATACCAACCCGCGTGCCAGGCCAGTCAGTCAGCGTAGCCTGACATTATTTACCCAAGGCTTACGAAGCGTGATGTCTAATTACGTCACACGGTGTTTCCGGCATTTCACCGTCTGAAACGAACGTCTAACCCGGAGGACAGGCTGTATGCAGTAGACGGGGTCAAGTGGCCAGGAATAGATACTTCCAATAATAACTCCCAGACCGCACCGTACCCGACCATCCGCCTCATCCTACCCGACGTCCACTTCGAAACCACACTTTCCAGTCTCCATCTCACGCCCCATATGACTCCTTTCCGGATTTTCAAAAAAAATGCTGTCAGATCGACACAGCGACCTCGATTGCCTCTCACTAGATTGACCGGCCGACTCACGCCGTTTCAACAACGTCTTGCCATCGAGACGACGCCTCACGCTCTCTTTCTAGCCCAGTCCACTCAAAACCGGACATCCGCACAAATCTCACCACAATCCCAACAAAGGGCTGCGTGTTTGATGCACAACACGCGGCATACATAACCCGCGGACGCGGTTCGTGCGCGACCACATCACATGATGCGCAGAAGCTGCGGCAATACCATTACCGAGCGGAGAAGGAGGGGGAGGGAGGGGCGAAGAGCGGGCTTATATGATGTAGCTGTTGTATGACCACGCGCACCCGCCGAGTCGGAACTCGTCCAGGACACGGACACGGACACGGTCAAGACATCCCAAAGGCACCCGAATCATCAAAAAAAACAAAAGAAAAACAAAAAGACGCGCCTCCTTTTCCACCGACCCGGAAACAGCAGCCAGAACACAGTCTCACTGCAGGTAAGGCTATCCCTGCGTCAGGCACGCAGCAGACGTCGACCCCTGAACCATGAAGCTTCGCAGGTTCGCATCCAGGGCATCGGGATCTGCTCACTTGTCACTACCAGTGATCCCGGCGAGTGCCGTATGTGGCGTAAGACTTACTGATCTAGGCGTTAGTAGACTGCTTTTAAGGATGTAGGATTGGATAGTTGGGAGGCATGGCATGACATGATCATGCAAGAACCCGAGGGGTTGGGTCGTTGGGATGGTGGCGTACACGTAAAGGATTCGATGCAGCAAGGAAGAGATGGGTATCGTGTATCGCGAGCGGTGTGACCTGTTGGGCACGGTACGGGGTAGGTTGGATATGGATGTCCGTTAAGGCGATGGCAGACTGTGTGATGCTGGTATTTTTCGGTGTTAAAGAGGAGGATTACTGTGGCTCCTGATAGGGGAGATGAAGATATACTCTAGTCATAGAAACTAGCGCTATCGAGATGAATATTCGTGAGGATCTCATCTGAGAATCCTTAGCGTAGATTCGAACGCAAGATTGAAAGTCGGTTGTGAGCATAATATCTGGTGGTATGATATCCACATCTTTCTGGGGCTGTCCAGTCTCAAATATATTGGGATGTGCTGAAATATGCCGAGATAGCGGAACCCAAACTTGCCGTGGCGCTCCGCGCGACCTCAGGGTCACTCAAGTGATGAAGCGAATTGACTGTGTGGCCATGCCCGCCAAGGTCGATTTGTAGACCCTTTGTAAGCATATATCAGCCTCCTGAGTCTCTGTCTGTCCAGGGATAGACGCATCCGGGAACCATATGCGATAAATTACATGGTATCCGTAGAGACCCACATTCCTATCCGGCACATTCTACTCCGCTGCATCAGGACGGAAAGTCTTGTAGAAGTCATATGTAGCTTGCTTGGATAGTGCAATGTGTGTGTTGTGCCTTGGAGGTTTAACGCTAGGTAGGCTCATACCGACGCTCCCTACCCAAGCTACAGGACGTTGTCAAGCGTGATGGTGTTTGGCCTTCGCAATCATGGACGATGACTAGAGAGAAATCCCATTCTAGAGAGCCCCTGCCGGGACGTGCTTGATCAGGAACGAAATGTGCAGGTCAAAGGGCCCCGTCTGGGCATGACGTCCGAGTTTGTGTAACGTGAGCTGTCACATTTCATGCACTGACAAGATGCGGGAGGGCGGGAGCAGACAGCCTGGTAGTCGCATTTGTGGATCCTGTCTCGGTCCTTGTTTTTCTGGGCGAGACTCGAAAGTGGTGAAGGGGGGGCCATAATAGCGGTCATACGCCTTGAGCAGCAGCAAAGACAGAGCAGCCAATCATGGAGGCAGGGTGTGCCGTTGACAGAAGATAACTGGGCTGCGACGGGCCGAAGCAGAGGCGCTGTCCATGCTCACGGGAAGCAAATCTCCCAGTGCCCTGGGTCAGGAAGAGGGAGATTTTGGGGGGAGGGGTGATTAGGGGATCAGGGGGATGAGGAACCAGGCGCATACAGACGACAACAACCAGGGGTTGCTGATTGGCTCAGCGTGCCACGGAGAAAACTTGGTCACCCCAGCCCCGATACCGCGTCAGATTGATTATCACCACCGCGCTATAGACTACGAGCCCATCAGAATGCGGGGCTTCCTACAGCACCGTGATTAGTTTTACGCAATCCAGATGAACTTTTTCGTCCGAGCTGCGCACCTGCGTCGGGCTAATTGAGCACCCCGGGCGGTGGGATGTAACCGATTTGGAGACCAGATGCGACTCGTATGTACTCCGTATATGACCACCAGACGCTTAATCTCTTTGACCCACCGCGTGAGTGCTTGATAACAGCTATTAGAGCAGTTCATCTCTTCATCATCTCATCTAGTTCACGATAGTCGCCGAGAGACAGATAAAGTACTGTAGGTCAGGGCATAAGGATATGCCTTGCTAGGATCCCATCTGGGCCTAGTGTCATGTTCGCTTTGACTGATGTCCTTTGCATCGCATGCAAATGGGCCGTCTTGGGCTTGCAACGTTCCTATGCCTGTTTCATAAGCACGATTAGATGTCTGATTCGCGAGGGTCTTCGGTGGCCTTTTTATCTATGACGGTGCACTGTTTGTGAAGGCTGCCTGGTCGAGAACTTCGCTCGTACGAGATTCTTCCAATTTCCCGGCCTCCGGGACGAGAAGTCTGGTCGTACGTCTGTCTGCACGCAACAATATGCAGACTTCCGCATAAGCCCTATCTTTACGGTACTGAGTCTGCTGATTACTGTAGTGGGGACTATATGGCGCTGTCTAGCGTGCTCATATGAGACATTGCCTGTTATGACGAATGTACTTCTTCTAATCAATGAAGCCGGTACTCGAGGTGTCGACTTCAATTCTCAGCCATGGGACGAGAATCGAGAAATCGAGAGCATTAGCTGATTCGTCGCCAGGTAAAACACGCGGGCTCATTTGAGTGAAAGGGTATTCAGTTCTGAGACAATTGAAAGCAATAAATGTTTATAGCCGCTGCAAGCGGGCCGCGGCGAGATTGCAATGCGTCTGACTCGCCATTGACGCCAGCCAGGTCAGAGGGGACTCGACGCAGGGGCTAAAAGTATCCAGTGGTGCGGTTAGCGAGAATATGAGCCACTCAGAGCGACAAAAGCCGGCAGGAGTTCCGACAGTCTGGCACCTAAATTCCAAGTCAATGGGTCATGTCTCTCCTGTCCGTCTCTTTACGCTTCACGCAAGGCGACGCTGCATGTGCATTTACAGCATACATCCACGACCCATATTCGTAGCATCGCTTGGACAGCGACCTTGGTCAGCCATGGTTCTCGTCGTGTAGCAGGCAACACTTCCTTGCGGATTGTTGATGCAGTATATCGCGTGGACGATACGGAGCAATAACATCTGCATGCAACTCAATCTGCCGATCCACAGCAATCCCGCCGCTGCGAGCAAACAACCCACATTCTGCAGCCGCGGGAACAGCAGTTTCCACGAGCTACCCCGACGCAGGTTCAAGGATGCCACAAACATGAACAATGGGAAGTCAAGATGTGCCTGCATCCCGAAAAACGGTCTCATGCATCCATGTGGCTTCAACTCACACGATTGCCCTTGTAGTTGTTGGAATATGTATTGATGCATCTTGCCTTGCTGACCCTCAGGCAAACACAACAGCATCTCGCATGAAATGGAAGGAATATTACAGTAGAGACGAGGGACGAAAACGCGGCGCCAGAACGCGAGAATGTATGGCGCCCCTCCGCCCAGTCCGGCACCTCTGGCGTCAGTGCGCAGAAGCGAACAGGCCTGACTTTGGGTGGCCGGCGCTTGGATGCTCGAAGCGATGGCGCCTGTTGGCAATGTGGGCAGGCGGCTTTTTGTCTTGGTCTGGGCCTCTTTGCATTTGAAATATCTTGACCATTATTGCAATTGTCCCGTAGCGCATTCAACTTTGTTTTGACGAACTCTTTCAGTCGAGGTGCCCTGCATGCACGAGTGACGAGAGAGAGCGCGCAAGAGAGAGAGAGAGAGCTGTGGATGCAGCACGCACCCTGCGATGCAGCCAACAGTCTGTGAACTCGCTCGGGGGAACCGAGAGGAATTGTCGTCATAATTTATTGTCTGATCGATCTCCGTTCTCGCACTCGGTCATCACTACTCCGTGAGCGCGTCAGCCAGCGCCCAGTAAAGGCACTCCCTTGACAGTGTGCAGACGTACCACAGGGTTCACACCATGTTAATACATGTGCTTCTCTCATCGTCATAAGCGTGTCGACTGTCTACCTCACTGGTAGTGACACCACTGGTCGTGGCTACCAATGACCATGGCACCGGTACCCTACCGTGCCCTCCACAACGACGCCCTTTTATCCTTCCTTTGACCTCCAGTCAGCTAGCGTGGTCGCCAACACTGGCCGGCGTGTTATATCGAGTGGCAAGACGTGCAGTCTTTTTAAACGCCATATGTGCAATACTCCCATTATTTGACTGATGTGTGTGTTTGTGCATCGCCAGGCTGGGCCTGCCGTAAAGCCTCCTCCACCAAGACGGCAAGTCGTGTTCAGCTATGGGACGAAGGATTAAGGATTCTGAGCGAGCCAGCAGTCAGTCGATCGCATTATGTTGCGGTGAAGGCTTGGTAATTAATTAGCTTCTGTAGCAAAGCAGCAAAGCAGCAAAGACGATGCGGACGAAGAGAAGCATGAGCCGGGAGGAACCTTGGAAGGGCAGACCCTGGAGGCCGAAGAAACGCCAGGCCGCCCGAGCGCCCAGGGCAGCAGCAGCACACACGTCCGCGCGCCCGCAGGCTTGCATGCACCTAAATACTACATACACAGTACGAACACAGTACACGATACACAATACACCACCACTTTACTTGGGAAACTTCTGATGCCGATGCCCATCCGATACTGATGCCGATGCTGATGCTGATATCGATACTAATGCTGATGTGCTCATGCTGATGCTGATGTTGATCTGATGCTGATGTGTGTATAGCTTACCTACATACTACTACTGCCTCCCTGCCTGTGTAAGCCCACGCCCGCTCCCCTCCCCTCCCCCTCCCCTTCTCTCCACTCTATGTCTGTCTGCCCATGCCCACGCCAACGCCCATGCCCAACTATCCATGCATACGCGCACGCACACGCTCCACCACGCGCCTGCTGCCACCACCACTATCACTACCACCAATACCACCGCCATAAACTCCCTAATAATTAACCCTCCTACTCCTCCTGCTCCTCCAACTCCCCTAATACTTCTCACTCGTCCCTCTCCCCACTCTACTGTACTCTTTAATTACCTACTCCCCCTTCCCCTCCTCCTAATTAGTCACACTCTATCTCAATCTGCTAGTTTTGGGTCATCATCTCTCCTCTTTTCCTCTTACTCCCATCCTGCACTTCAGAATCCCGCCCATAATCTACTACCACTAGCCCGTTACCGTTCCGTCGGGTTTCTGACTGCCTGTTTCTCCCATTCATTATCCTCGCCTTCTTTCCTCCTCTCCTCTCCTCCTCCTCCTCCACCACTACCACTTACCACCACCACCACCTCCTCCTCCTCCTCCTCATCCTCCTCACTTCTCTTACACCCCTACCCTTTCCCTTTCCCTTGGACTGGCAACACACACCCACACCCACACACAAACGCGCACACGGCCTCCACGCGCCGTCCCATGACCCGCTGTTCTCAGACCGACTTTTAGGTTACGTCTCCGGCCTTCCTGACGCCTGAGATTCTTTTAATACGTTCCTACCGCCCCATCCGCGCCCTGACCTGCCTTACTTGCTTCCAACCCTTCTTTCTCATTTGCTCCGACGGCTTCTCTCCGGTATGCCATCAAATCCTCCGACATCAATCATGAACGGGTGAGTCTACTTCTGATGTAAACTAGCAACTAGCCAGAGTTTAAGTTGGCGTGTTTCGCTGCATATTGTTCGTCGCGTCGTCGAGTACCGTTTGCTAACGCTCGCTCCTTAGGAATCCTGTTGCTGCTCCTGCAGACTATGACGAGAATGGTCGGACATATCATGGCTATGTGCGCGCTCTCGCAATTTGGGCTCTTCCAGTACCTTTAGCTAACTTACTTGCAGCGCAGAGGTATCTATATGTATCCATGCGACGAGGTAAGAATTCACATTGGCGGAGACTGATATTCCAAACTAACGCATATTCCAACCATGCAGATCGAGAAAGAACGCATGGACATGATGCACCAATTGTTCGACACTGCCTTTAATCAAGTACTCCAGAGCACGCCTGCACTGAAAGGCAGAGGTCAAAATCAGCGAATTCTGGATCTCGGGTGCGGAACTGGCATTTGGGCTTTGGATATTGCTGAGTATGCGCTATTGGACAGACCTGAGGCCATAGATATCTTGCTAACATATTCTTTTTCTACAGTGCATACCCTGAAGCTGAGGTCAGTGTCTGCGCATGCGCCAGCACTTCTCACCATTGCTAACCGATCCTGCATAGGTCATTGGAGTAGACTTATCAAACATTCAGCCAGCACAGTGAGTGTCCCACTCCTGCACCAATTCTGGCAGCATCTAACGCCTCCGTCAGGATCGCGCCTAATCTGCAATTTCGAGTTCCGTTTGATTACGAAGGTGCGCTTTGGACTTTGGGGGAAAACTCTTTTGATTTAATACACCTGCAAATGGCATGCGGAAGCGTCTCGAACTGGAACGAGTTGTACAACAAAATATACAGGTGGGAGCTGCATCTATCAAAAGTAATTGTTTGCTCGGCTGACAGTAGCAGACATCTCACCCCAGGCAGTGGATGGATCGAACACATCGAGATGGACCTGACGCCACGCTGTGACGACGGCTCGTTGCCTGCGTCAAGCCATATACGGAGTTGGTACAATTATCTAGTGGATGCAACATCGCGTGCGAGTAAGCCTATCGCGTACAATCAATATACGCGGCAGTCTCTCGCGGCTGCTGGATTTATTGACATCAGCGAAAGAGTAATCCGAGTCCCGTACAACCGATGGCCCACGGATCCTCGAGAGAGGAAAATCGCAGACTGGCACACCTGGACTCTCGCTGATGAGACTTGTCAAGGCCTAGAGGCCTTGAGTATGGCGCCTTTCACTAGATGTCTCAATTGGCGACGTGAGGAATTTGAGCCTTTCCTGGCACTAGTGAGGACCGAGATGAAGACTAGAAGAATACACGCGTACAACAACATGTAAGAATTTTAAAGCTGGCTGCCTACGCTACGGGCCCAGGGCTATAATCATGATGAAGCTAATGTCTTGCAGACATGTTTGGACTGCTCGTAAACCACAGTCATGAGAAAGATCGATCGCTAATTCTGTAACAACACAATTTTGCACACTTGAGATACTAGCCAGCGCTTGCTGTGCACGAAGTGGTACTCACTGTGGTCAAACGCTGTTCTGGCCTTCATGTTGGTCCTAGGAGTCAGTAGCAGCGCGAAGACTCAGATTACTGTCACATCTCAAGTGGATCGATTGGAGACGAGGTGGAGCATCCCCCCGCAGCTCGGCCGGATTGTGACCACACGGCGCCTGACGGTGTTCGTTCGATACAGCTGCTTTATTTGCTGCGCATCAACGCTGTGTCGTTACAGCGCACGCTTCACCGCCTGTATTGGGCGTTTTGGCGCACATACGGATTAGTGAAGGTCTATGGCATCGCGTCAGGCTCGTTAGGAAAGAAACAGCATGGTCTTGAAAACTCAGAGTGTGAATTCACACCACATCACCATTCGTCCTTGCACCACTCCTCTGTTCCCTACCAGGAGCAGCAGCGCCGACATCGTGGACATCGTGGACATCGTGGATATCGTGGATATCGTGGATATCAGTCCGACATGCGCTAAGCGAAGTCCACTATACCGGCGCAGCTACATCCGTATCATGAACATCTTGTACACCATTCTCGCCTCGCCCGGGCTTACCTTGGTCGTACTAGGGCTTGATCTAATTTTGGGTGGCCAAACCACCATTCACTTGTCCGGGCGTGGGTAGTATGTATGCGCTGAAATAATCCTCCAATAAGGCTAGGTTCTAAAATAGCTGCGATACCATGCGATTTGGGCATGATTCTTCACTGTACTCTATATGTGGAACATCCGCTTAAAGGCTCAGCAAGGAACGGCCAGCTGGCACAGGTGCTCCTGTTGTTCGCTCCCTACCTTCCAGAAGCTTTTCAATTCCACCATTGTGCTCGCTGCACCTTGCACTTTAGGGGCTATAGAGTATGCAACGTTGAATCCTACTGCAATGACTTGTCCATGTGCTATGGATCCTATCCCCGGCCATCTCCTCGATCTTGCATTGGCAGAAAGTCGCGCAACGTTGGACGAAGCAAACAAATGGCCAGACCCGTTACTCCGGTAGGGTTAGACCCAGTACCACTGGTTCGAGTTGGACAACGTCATCGGTAGATACTGCAGAGGTACACGAGATTAGCATATTAGCAACACCCGTCACGTTCCACGTATTGCTTGCCTTGCTTCGGCTCCCTTCCCAGTGATAGGCCAGCAGCGCGCTCGACCCAGGTAGGCAAGTAATCCAGCGCCCTGGTACCGCTTTCACGCTGGATGCAGGCTGCGAGACTGCCAGATCCAAGGGTCAGCTAGACTGTTTGTACGTCGTCACACTTGCCAGCTACGCGTGTGGAGGCCGCCATTCCTCTAGACCTGTCTCGTGCGAGGCTGGTCTGCCAGCGCAGCAGTCCTGCTTCGATCAAGACGGCATTAGCGGTGAACCAAAGCCAACTTCTTGTAGAGGAGGAGGAGGGGATGGCGAGACGCTGGTGGTGATATTATCCAGGATCTGCAATAGAGGTGCTTCAAAGAGGAGATGAACGGCCACTGCGTGGTCTTGAGAACGCCAGCCTAGGGCCAGCGCGCGGGAGGGAAGTCCGTAACCCGCCGCCTCGAGCCGCCCGAGTGCTGCCCGCTGGGAGCAAATCACAGCCCAGGACGCGCCGGCACCTTGAATGACTTACTTTTGCTTGGCGATGCTCGCTTCTCACGTGATGAGTATGCATGGCGCGCGGAGAAATCTCGGGAAACTGGTTTTGACTTTGGGGAGGATCGAGCAATCGGACAGGCGGGTGCGGGCAGCATCGGCATTCGGTTGTATGGTGGCTAATTCGTCATGTGCTCCTGCATGCGTTCCTGAGCACTCACCCTAGGTGTGCTGCAACCCTTCCCTTACTCGTCATTGACATTCATATAACATTGTATGAAAGTTTCTGCCTCTATTTAGACATCCGATTCACATCATGGCCAGCCTTGCGAGATCCCTCCGACCCTTGGCGCGAGCTGCAAAGGCCCCGCAGAGGACGTTCCTGGGAGGCGTGAGGAAGGGCCCACAGTACGTTCTCCATACGGTTGTCTTCTTTGTATATCATAGCAATAGAGCTAGAGCAATAGCAAGCAGATGCAAGACATTTTGACTGACGCGAAATCAGGTTACGATGCCTCTCGACCACACCTCAACGGCGGCAAGCGGACGCTCTAGACATCACCGATATACCCCCTACGCCGATATCCCACCTCTCAGAGACCGAGTCGCTGATGGCAGAGCAAGTCACCCGGTTCGCGAACGACCAAATCCTACCAAAAGTTCGCGAAATGGACGAAGCGGAGACAATGGATCCAGCTGTCGTGGAACAATTGTTCGAGCAAGGACTGATGGGTATCGAGATTCCAGAGGAATATGGCGGTGCGGGCATGAACTTCACCGCCGCTATTGTCGCGATTGAGGAGTTGGCGAGGGTCGATCCGAGCGTGAGCGTGTTGGTCGACGTGCATAATACACTATGCAACACCTGTCTGCTGAAATATGCAAAGGAAGACAACAAGAAGAAGTGGCTGCCGAAGCTCGCCACTGATACCGTCGGTATGTGTGCCAAACCCCAGATTGTGCCACCGAGACTCGTTCTCGGGTGCAACACTGCGTTGAATGTTTTGCTGAGCTGAACCGTAGCATCCTTCTGCCTCTCAGAACCTGCGTCCGGCTCCGACGCCTTTGCCATGCAGACCAAAGCCGTCAAGACAGACTCGACGTACAAGATCACTGGCAGCAAAATGTGGATCACCAACTCCATGGAGTCCTCGCTCTTTATTGTCTTTGCCAATCTCGACCCGTCCAAGGGCTACAAGGGCATCTCAGCCTTCCTTGTAGAGAAGGGCACGCCCGGCTTTGAGATTGCCAAAAAGGAGAAGAAGCTAGGCATCAAGGCCAGCAGCACATGCGTCATCAATTTTGACGACGTCGAAGTGCCGCACGCCAATCTACTAGGCGAGGAGGGCCAGGGCTACAAGTACGCGATCGGCATCCTCAACGAGGGCCGCATCGGCATCGCAGCCCAGATGACAGGCCTCGCACTAGGTGCATGGGAGAACGCCGCCAAGTAAGAGACTACCCTCACACAGCCTCTCCACGTCCCACAAACATGACTAATCCGGGGCACCCTCCCAACCGCAGATACGTCTGGAACGACCGCAAGCAATTCGGCAAGCTCATCGGCGAATTCCAAGGCATGCAGCACCAGCTCGCGCAGGCCTACGTCGAGATCCAAGCCGCGCGCGCCCTCGTCTTCAACGCGGCGCGCAAGAAGGAGGCCGGCCAGGACTTTGTCCGCGACGCGGCCATGGCGAAGCTGTATAGCTCGCAGGTCGCGCAGCGCGTGGCGGGCCAGGCTATCGAGTGGATGGGCGGCATGGGCTTTGTGCGCGAGGGCTTGGCGGAGAAGTTCTGGCGCGACAGCAAGATTGGCGCGATTTATGAGGGCACGAGCAATATCCAGCTCAATACGATTGCGAAGTTGTTGCAGAATGAGTATACGAAGTAGGCAGCTAGGTGGAAAGGCAGGGTGGAAGTGTATGGGTTGGATTTGGATCTTGGCTTGTTGAACGGCGCGAATTGTGTGGGAGAGTACAAGTATTAGTGGATGGATAGATGGATAGATGGGTGGATATTGGTGGGTGATCCGTATAACAATAGTATAAATACAAAATTCTAAAGTTTTTTTTTTTGCTTCGAGGTTGCACCCGGCTACGTACGACGTGTTTTTCACCAATTTCGCATACTCCCTTCCCGTTTTTCGGGCCCCCTTCTTGCTCCCAGTAGTAACAGTAACGCAGTTTGTATAATTTCTTTAATGAGGACGGGGGAAAGGGGCGTTTATATATTTGTGATGGAAACAAGGCCAAGTAACGCCGTGCGGAAAAGCAGGTTGTATGTATGTATGTAGAGGGACATGGGAATGATGGTTGATGCTTTTCTAACTGTTTGGACGTTGAATGTTCAATAAGTGTCAATCCATTGTCCTTGTCGTGTGTATAACGGTATATATATATATATATATCTCCATCCATGCCCTCGTCCGTGCACCGACCGTACTGTGTGTCTTGATCCATGCGCGATTTGATTTGGCATCTACGGCGTACCGAGCGAGTGTGTTGCTTGCCTGGAAGATGTCATCACTTTGAGCGGCGGTATCGCGCTTTAGACTCCTGGGGGTTGATGAGATTGGTCTACTCTTATAGAGGAGGTTCACATTATAATAAACGTACATGTGTATAGATTTAGGAAGTAAGAGAAGGCTGGTTGTTGTATGTAGTGCTCAGGTTTGTGATACTAAGCTTAGCTTATTATCGAAGAGCGATCATAGGAGGAGTAATATAAGGGGAGAGACGGGGAGGATTCAATCAATGTACCTCAAACTAGGACGCTTCTAGTACAGGGGGCTATCTGCTAAGAATTTCGTTTGTTTTCTTTTCTTTTGAAGTCTTTGGGTACTTATTTAGTGAGATCTATCGATGGTAGTTGATGTTAAGCTTGTAGATGTATTATTACATCCGCATACATAAGCGCTATTTGCACAAAGAGCTCCAGACGAATAGAGACGAATACACATACACCACACACACACACACGCATATGAGTGAGTGATACGACGTAGCTTCCATCCAGCCAGACAACTCAAAACCCATCAATCAGCCTTCCCTCTTCCCACCGACCCAAACACACTTTTCATACCAACGCAGCAACGCCCCAAAACGACCCCCCCCTCAGAAAACGGCACCGAGAAATAATTTAAATCATAACCGCGCAGCAGAGCGACCATGTCGCCGCCAACGCATACACTACCGTCCCTCGTTCCCTCCTTCTTCCTGCACAATCAAATGGATCCCCGCCCACCCCCTCCCCCCCTTCGGCCCCCAACCCCAACTTGTCCTCACAGGGCGGCCAATCAGATGTCGGATAATACCCAACCCGTCTGCCCTGGCAGATTGGATTCTGGATTCGGGCATCTATCCATGTAGATTGACTTGTTTAGGGGGGTGGGACATGGGGGGGGCGTGGTATGTATGTATGTATGGACTGTATGGACTGTTTGTGTGTATGTGTGTATGTATGTGGGTGGTATGTGGTAATTATGTGCAGACGACAAGGATTTAAACGGAGGGTGCGGTTTCTGTGCTGGTTTGGGTGGTGTGGGTGAGCAAGGGGGGGTGGATGTGTGGTAGTAGTGTGGTAGTGTGTAGTAGTGTGTAGTAGTGTGTAGTAGTGTGTAGTAGTAGTGTGTGTGTATGTTGTCTCGAGACGAGGCAGCGCGGCTTTGTGCATGGGTGAGTGAGGTTGCTAGCTAGGCTGGCGGTGCCGGGGGAAGGGGCAAAACGAATATAGATGTGACTGTTGCTGGTGCTGGTGCCGGTGCTAGGTGGTGCTGGGTGCTGTGGTGCTTGGTGCGGGGCAGGGGTAACGAGGGGAGGGGAGGGGTGGAAAGAGCCTAGCGTAGCGTATCCGGGTTGTCGGGGTTCTGGCGCGTCGCGCGGATTTTGTCGCACCGGTCGCTTTTTTGTAGGTGTGCGTGTGTATGTGTGTGTGTGTGCGTGATTTGGCGTCTGAAAAGGGGTGTGTTCCGGCGGCTAGCTATGGATTGCTGGGATGGATGCATGGAAGGTTGGAAGGTTAGTCCGCTGTGCGTGGTAGTTAGTGGCTTCCGGGTCGGAAATGGGGTTGTTGGTGTGGTTAGTGGACGGGCGGGTGGGCGAGAGGGGCTGGCTTTCCGGGTCCCGCGCTTATTTTGCTTGCTTGCTTGCTTACTTGCTTGCTTACTTGCTGCTGATTGAAGTGTGCGCGTATGGCGAGCCTGGGTATGAGCGAGCGTGCGAGCGAAGGGTGTTGCGCAGGGCATCTGGTAAGCCCTGATACGAGGCGAGTGACGCAGAAGGTTGTCATGTATGCGGGAGGGGTGGCTCGAGGTCGAAAGATGTCGCGTCACCGGCGGCCGAGAAAGGGGGGAGTGGAGTGGAGTGGAGTGGGCACAAAGTGGAACGGGATGACAGAGGAGAGAGGAGAGGAGGAAAGGGCAGGTCGCAGACCCGGGACGGTGGGATTCCGAACGGTGGAAGGACAGACAGATAGACAGCGTCTGGGAGCGGTCGAGCCGGTCCTCCGGGCCGGCTAATCCCTTCTTGCATCGCATCGAGAGCTTTGTTGGCGCGGTGGAGACGCGGTGTGCGGATCTGCTTGGAGGGCGTTATGTTCGCGGTGCGATTGCTGATATGGGAAGGTGATTTACGCTTTTTTTTTCCTGGATGACGGACCGGGTGCCCCCCTTTGGATCTGTTGTTCAAGGCCTCCCCTCCCCCTCTCCGACCCTACCTCGCTCTGCAGACTTCGAAACAGGTGCTGGCGATAGCTGCAGAATCTGTGGCATGCTTTTTTGTCTGCTGCAGTTCCCGAGCCTTTGGGTGAGCCGTTGCATGATCGACACGGTGCAGTTGGACCAATAAACGTCCACTCCGGCGGTACAGCAAGACCTTCTCGACCATTTCCCAATCAGCGGTCGCACGACCTGGGTCTGATGCTCTTGACACCGCAGACAAGCAGACGGACCGATTCTGTACGTGTCAGACGGGACACGGACGGACAGCATTGATGTAACAGACGACAAGTGGCGTAGGACACGAATCTGTCCGCCGGCCCACAGCTGTGTAGTGTACACCGATTTCGGATATCGGTCTGAGTAATCGTGGAACGATGACAGCAATGGAGCGAAACACTGTCCACAAGGGATCCCAGGTATTATTGCATGCTGCGCGGATGTAGGTCGAAGTGCGACATTCAGTCATGCGCAGCTGCATGGCTCGTCATCTGTCTCGATGGCTTGAATATCTCCTGGCTGAAGTCGAGCAGAACAATAAGCCCTGAGATGTCACACTTTGTATAGTCCGTGGTATCAGATCTTTGCACTTGTATTTGTTGACTTATTACCGATTTCTTTACACGATGCTCAACCACTCGTTAAGCCGGCCATCACAAGCAAGTACACTACTGGAGCATATCAGCACGAAGAACTGATGCTGATCATCACGGACTCACGACATAAGAACAATGCTCGGTGCCGAGAACCCAACATACATCAGATAAAGGGGTGGACTCCGAGCATGTGAATCATATATCGATGTCAGGGAGAGTACATCCATCCTCCTTACTCGAAGTACTAGAAGTAAAAGAAATACTAATGCAGGTATTGTCTGGCTGAGCAACCTGCCAAGTGCCGGGTATGAGTCTCACTGGGAAGGTGAAGGTAACAACGGTACACGGAGTCTGGATTTAGTAAATGGTACTTTTCACACGTCAAGACGTCGTCTCTGTTGAAAGTAGACCAGATAGACCAGATTTCTTCTCCACCAAACCTTGTGGTCACATTTCACACTTTCTCCGCACAACAATGAACTACATTACATCTCACATAATATGTTTCCTTACGGTAAAGCTAACGCAGTGATAAAACACCCTTCTCGCTCAAAGCTACTCAAGATCATTAACATTACGATGATGATTATGATCATCATCACCATACAGAAGTGTCGTCCGACAGTATCAACCGAAATTCCCACATCATCACCCATCAGCAACCAGGACAACCATGACACATCTGAGTTAGTCCCCAGGACCCTAACAAAGGGCGTGGATATGATATAACCCAACCCACATCTACTCTCTGCAGTAGTGAAGGCCAGGGAAATCTCGACGCTTCTAGGACCAGACATGGTAGAGAATCTCGCGGTATTTATGTAATTTGAGAGCGCCGGGTAGGTCTGCCTGTAGATGAATCATGGATCCCTAACGATTGTTTACGGATCTGTGAATGAAGACTGTACAGGGAATACAAGCGGCTCCGTATCGTCAAGGCTACGGCTTTGCCCTTTTTTCGGGGAATATTGGTTACATATCCTCTGTAGTTCGTAGTGTAATCCATAGTTCGGGTAACTGTTCGATATCGGGCTTCCTGTCACCCCTATCATTCTTCGCGTTTTCAGGTCTATCCTTTCGTCAATCTCAAGTATCTAGTCCATCCTGCACAATACACCTACCTACCTTACACCGCCCTATCTCAGAAATCCATCCTAACCCTCATAGCCTCATAGCAATGGTAGATGAACTACAAATAGACCATGATAGTCAGTTCTACATCCCTATTCAAGCATCCAAAGTACCATATACGCATTAACCCGCCTCCCGCTATATCCCCAACCTAGCATCCTCCCATCCCATTCCTACCCAAGCCCAGACTACACACCTCCTCCTACACCCCCCAACAAACCCAACACACAATCCCCACCAACCAATCTCAAACCCACCAGCCCCCTCAATCCACCCCCAACCCCCCAAACACCCCCCATACAAAACCCAACTCCTCACCTCACCAACCCCCGCCGCCTCAGGACATCTCATCTGGCACATAGCTAAGTCAGCCTATATACCATCATGCCCAATGCCCAAATGACGAGAAAAAGCGAGATGAAACGCGAGGATATATATGCATGGAAGGCTTGTGATGATGTGCGTTTGTGGGGGTTTATGGAAGATTACGGTTATTGGGATGGGGGTGTTCCGGGCTGGGTTGTTGTGTACTGATGCTAATGTTGAGTAATGATGTAGAAGGAAGGGCATGGAGAGGGAGATGTTGGCGGGCTTGCTGTTTGTGTCTCGTGTGTGTCTGTGTGTGTGTGTGTGTGTGGTAGAGACTGTGCAGACAGAGACGGTAGATGGAAACGAGGATGTGGTCTGTGATGGTTATGGTGAGTAGAGAGGACGAGATGAGTTTTTCGTGTGGATTTTGAGGCCATGAGATGGATACGATACTCTGCCACGCACTGTCGTCAGTCTCCCGTAATTGAATGTCCAAGAAGAAACACCAGCCAGGCCTGCCACACGCTTCCATCATGAATGAACGAACATCTAAGCGTGATAATCAGAACCCCAGTGTATTCGTACATATACACGACCGACACAAGTATATACAAAAGGCTCGATATGGACAAATGCCACATCAGTCAGTGGTCATATCGCTGTACCACCTCACCCGGCCCCGGCCTCTCGACGCGCACAATCTTATCGCAGTTGAGCAGACACAAGGGGTCAAATGCTTTCTTGAGCTATGACGGGTCAGCACACTGCATCTAGAGGCCTCAGATTTGCAATAACAACGTACCTTGCGCATAGCAGCGACCGTCTCATCGCTCGTCTCGTACGGTAGAGCGTCACGCTTGATCAGCCCGACGCCGTGCTCTCCGGTCGCTGTGCCCTCCATCTCGATCGCGCGCGCGACCATGCGGTGGACGACGTCCTCGGCCGTCTTGCGCTCGTTGTCATTGTACAGGAGGATAGCTGCAATGTATGTCAGTGGACTTCTTGTTTTGCTTGATAAGATAGGAGACGTGTAGATCTCACAATGGAAGTTCCCATCCCCGACATGCCCAACAATGCTCGCAAACAGTCCACTGCTCGCGATATCGGCCTTCGTCTCCTCTATGATCTGTGGTAGCCTCGAGATCGGTACGGCGACATCTGTAGTCCAGACATGGTCGTTGTCGTCCCGCTTCTTGGCCATGGTGCTCCACAACGCCTCTTTTCGCGCCGACCAGAGTTCGTTAGCCTCATCTGCAGATCTGGCGAATTCAAAGCCTTTGCTGCCAGCCTTCTTTGCTAGCTTTTGCACAATGCCGATCTGTTCCTTGACACCTGTCGGGGTACCTGCGAATTTGAAGAAGAGAGTCGGTGCTTCTTTCCATGTCCGTGATGTGGACCCAGCCTCGTTGATGCACTTCATCTGCACATCGTCGAGAATCTCGATGGCCGCGATTGGAACACCCGCGCCAACAACGGCGAAAACACAGTCCGCGGCTTCCCGTATCGAATTGAAGCTGCACACTGCTACCGAAGTGTTTGCAGGCTTCGTGGTTACCTTGAGAGTGGCTTCTGTGACCAGTCCAAGAGTACCCTCGCTGCCGATGAACATGCGCGTGAGATCGTAGCCAGCACTACTCTTGCGAGGACGTTGACGAGTCTTGATGATCGTTCCGTCAGCGAGTACTACTGTGAGCGAGATGACCCATTCCTTCATAGTTCCGTATCGATATGCGTTCGTCCCCGAACAGCCAGTTCCAATCATGCCGCCGATTTGCGCTCCCGGACCCGGATCAGGCGGGAAGAAAAGTCCTATATCCGCGAGATCCTCATTAAGGTTCTCCCATCCGACAGCTGGCTGAACGATACAGTCCATGTCTTCCTTGTTGATGTTAAGAATCTTGTCCATGCGCGAAAAGTCTACACAGATGCCTCCTCTTGTCGCCGCAAAGTGTCCCTCCAAACTTGTGCCGCCGGAGTATGCAGTGACTGGAATTCTACGCTCGTGGCATATCTTCATAATCTTGCTCACCTCCTCCGTAGACGCTGGCTTGACAACCGCGAAAGGAATCTGGCTCTCTTTGAGCTGATGCGACGACCAGTCAGATCCGGCATGACTCTTCCTGTCAAATTCGTCCTCAGATATATTCTCCTCTCCCACAACTTCTCGCAAATCAACCCAAGCTGACTGTAAATTCGAGCGTTGAACGTTGTGTACCGGCGCTACGGCATCATTTAGAGGTATCGTCGAGCTCGTGTCCTGCTCCCTGGGCGACTTTTTGCCTACTGCCCATCCAAAGCCTCCAGCAACCGCCATGACTATAGTCTCGTTAGCCAACATCTCCCAAGGACAACACTATATCCAGCTTACCGAAGAGATATGTCAGTCCAGCCGTAGCTTTGCCACCCTTCATCTCATGCCCCATGCCCTCATACTTTTTCTGCTCATCCTTCTCGCGCTGCACACGGTCGTACATGCTCTGGAAGACCTGAGGGTGAAACTTCTTCTCACGCTTCTCTCCCTCTGGCGCAGACTTTCCTGGGCCGTCAGACTTTTGCCCGATCTGATCGCGAAAGCTCTTTTCTTGTAAAAGTGATGTGGTAGCGGAGAAGAGCCTTCGTGGGCTCGGCTGTGAACCTGCGGATGATCCGAGACTAAGAGCTCCATATTGGGACTGTGGATGTAGTCTTAAAGCTCTACATACAGCTGTCGTTCTGGTATCGAGAATTCGCGTTGCGATTAACGAGTGACGAGTCGCTACGCGCGAATATGCCGTATACGTCATAGCGAGTGTTTTAAAGAGGCAGTGGTATAACTATCAAGGCGCAGAAGGTATGAACATGGCCGATCACAAGAGGAGTCTGCGTGAGCTCCGAGTGCTGCGACAAGCTTCGGTCGTGGGGAAGCTTGAAGCTTGAAGCTTTACCAGGATAAACGATCAAACCACAGGGCTGGAGTTAGCTCGGGCTTGGCGTTGTGCTTGGTTCAATCTCACCATGATTCAGATATTTGTACACAAGGCCCAAGTATTATCACGAATGAACAGGGCGCTTCGTAGTTCATAGCACCATAGTGGGGTATAATTGATTTGAAAGACGCATGCTGCGTCTGGAAGTATGTTATGGAGTGCTTCTATGGACATGCTCAGTGCTAACTGCCTCAGGCCTCTCTTGAGTGCGATCATGATTCTCTTGACAGACGGCGACGCTGATGCAGAAGACCCAAGAAGGTCCAAGAAGTATGGTATAAGCTTGCAATCCTAAGGCGCCGATAATCCCATGAAAGCGACAAGGCCAAAGATGCACGATAGAATAGCATTCATATGTGCAGAGCTGGACCTTGATGAAACCACCTATAAACGAAGATAAATCCCCCAAGAATAACGCCGCGCTGAAGATGAAAGGGTAGTCGAAGCGAATACAGAATCAAGTCGATGAGATGGCGTGAGTATGAAGAAACATCGAGCTCAGCCTAATATGGGAAGAAGTAATAGGCGTGAGAAGAGTCACCAAATAGATATTGGTTCACGAGATAAGTGCTGAACGGATCAACGCGAATGACCGTGATGTCCCATTCGAAGAAAGCGAGTCCTGAGCCACGCAATGAAGGACAGCCATCGACTCCTTGCCTTCTTCGTCTTCGACAAGTCTTGCGTTGTATGCGTGCGTTTGGCCGACAGACCAGTGTCAACTCTCGCGGGCATGGATCGCGCATGCGCAGGTCGGAATTCGCCATATTCGCGGCCAATGACGTTTGTATATTCCAGCTTTTCATTGCTCACACTCAAAGATCGTTTGCTTGCAGCCTCCTCTTTTCGTCTTTGGCGATCACGTTTACGTTCATCCCTGCGAGCATCTTGATCTGCCTTCTTCATGGCCTCCTTTTCCATTTTTCGGTCCTTTGCTTCTTCTTTCTCTTTATATGCTTGCCGAGCAAGACGAATCTCATTCGCACGCGAAACTGGATCTAAGGGCGAATCGCGGCCACGAATGAGACTGAATTTATCAAGTGACGGACGAGAACTGGGAGCGGTTGCGAAAGAGTCTAGTGAGCGAAGAGTGTCCCCACGCGGTCGGCCAGCGACAGGAGAGGCTATGGAAAGACTGCTCTGCGATGGGGTTCCCATCTTGGTGAACGAAGATGATGTTATCAGGAGCGGTGGCATTGGCGGTGCTTTACTCGAAGATATCGAGGTTGATCGTCGTGATGGGCCTGGAGGAAGGGAGCGATCACGGATGCTCTCGGTATAGACGACATCATGCGCCTCTGAGTCTTCTTCACAACCATTACTTGAATTGGCGTATGATGGTACTGGCGGCGTGTATGGTCGCGGAGTCGGTCTTAGAGGGTGAATGTGATACGGCTGTGAAGGGCGTGGTCCGGAGTTGTTGGAAAACTGGGATGTGTTGCTGGTGGACCTTGAATGCTTCGTGCGCGTGCCTATGGGTGAAAAGGTAACATCTGATATGGTTCTAGGAGAACTAATGTGGATATCGTCGATGCCCAAGCCTGTAAGACCTTCATTCTCAGCAGCTGGACGTGATAGGTCGATCCCTCCTTCGTTTTTCATTGATAGCTTTCGCAAATATGGCTTAATCTTGACTGACTTCGGAGACGCCATTTCTAAAACGCCACTTTCTTTCCATGTCGGTTCAATCGCATAACAATCGGCCCATGGCATTTCAGTCGAATGTAGGCTGGCTGGGCTCTTCATTGATGTTGTGGAGTTTTCGCGTTTGTGAAGCCTCGCATGGTTGGCCAGACTTGCAGCAGACTTCCTAGCCATGGTTGTTGGGTATCTCGGTTCTTTGTCCCGGTATCTTGCTAATACGACAATGCGACACGTACGTTTTCGGGCTTTGATAGGGGTATCGGAGTAGGCAATCGTTGTTACCGATGCATGTCGTTGTTGAGTCGAATTTATCGTTTCCAGAAGGTATAGATTCACGTGAAGCAATGTCCAGCAGTTTGCGACCTTGACCGTGATCGCCGGATCGATATGGAAGACAAAGGGGAGCAAGAAGCTGTCTGGAGATGCAGGGCAGCGATCGTCACCGCTAAGTGCAGTGGTCAGTGGGACCGTGGGGATGGTCGCGGGAGGAGGCTTGAGAGGTAAGAATGCATTCGATTAGATGACACAACAGACCCTCTCACAAGGCCATCGCCTTGTGGTACAGCGCAGGTTTGAGGATGAGATGAGGAGAGGGACGGGAAGCGAGAGGAGGTATGAGGAGGAGTGAGGAGGAGCAGAAGTAGAGATGGTGATGAGCGTATCACGATGATAAGACAAGGCAGTGGCAGCAACAACAGTGGTTCGGCCCAGCCGGCGTTCCAGCGTAGCGCAGCATCAGCATCCGCATCAGCATTCCAAGGTTCCAACATCCAACCTGGGGCGACCCGCAAGCGCCAGCCAGAGTCAAGACTGCCTGAATCTCGAACCCGCGGCAGGATGCGACCTCAGCTTTATCGTTCTCGGTGGGGCTCAGATCTCAATTCACCAAACAATAACGTCAATGCAGTCCTTCTCTCCAGTCTCCAGCCTGATTCGGATGTCTTGCCATGCATGCTTTCCCCTCAGTTTTCGTCCTCCTTTGTAGCAGGCATTCGGCGTTTTGACTCCTCCCCAGACTGCATCCCAACAAGCCGTCCTCAATGCGCGGCATGTATGTAGAAGCATCCTTGAATCATCATCCTCCTCTCCAGCTGACGGCGGCTCGGAACCGACAAATGCCGCACACCTCAGCGATCGCGATGGACTTTGACAAGCCACTTTTCGCGTCTGAACGAGGCTGGGCTTGCTCCAGACCGCCATGCTCGCGACTTACCATCATTCGCTTCGGTAATAGTACCTGTCGTAAGAACCACAAACTACGAGCGCCACATGTTGTGCATGTGTGTCTGGATGGAGTCATACACGTGCCGCCGTGTCAGATCTCATCAGTTTGACAACACCAAATCCTTCATTCAGCATGGCGGCTATCAAGCCAGCTGTCAATCTTCCCTCCCATGCGCAGGCGTCCCAGGACGAGTGTTGCCAGGCATGTCATGTTTGCGTAGTTCCGCAGCAATAATCATGATACTGCACCACTCGTGCTGTGACGTATAGAACACCAAGTCTCCAGGTCTAATTGCAACTTGAACCTGTCCTCCCCACTCCCCCTCGTCCATCGTTTGAGGTCTGGACGCACGACAGCAGTCACCCCAATGGTCACCCCACACTGAGAGTCCCAGATCTACGCAAGCTATACCTTCAGATACGCAACCCACCCACCAGTTCCACGGCATCGCTAGTAGCGACCGAGGTCAGCCGAAACGAGCGACCTTGGCCTTGTGCGTTAGACACAGCATCACCGACTAATTAAATCGAACGAAAGTCCTAGTCTCGATTCTCTCGTCAAAATGCCACCAAGGAAACTGCATATAATGTGTAGTCACCATTACGCCATGTCGTCATTTGTAGATACAAAGACCAAGTACCTTGCCAGGAACTAACAACAGCCTCTTCTTGTTCGCAGTCGCCCTCAATCGCGAAAGTCCCGAGTACAACCATTGCACTAGACGATGACCGCTCCTGACGAAATGCACTGGAATGATGACGTCCATTCACCATATCCACACCTGATCATCTTCATGTCTATATGACAGGGGTACGAGTTTACCAGTAATCGCTATCAATAGCGCATTCGGTGAATATCTCGACTGCCGTAATGAAGCACACCAATTGCCATTGCCATATTCGGGGCTTACACCAGTGACACGGGGATTACTCCTAGCTTTGGAGGTACATACGTACTCCGACTATTGACTGAAAAAAATATGCCGCATGTTTATTTTGAAATTACACCCAGATCCCACCATTTCCACTGCCACACTCCTATGCTCACATTGCGCGCCAAACTCAGATTCCCTCCGTGGCTTCCGGGTGACCTTATTTCCAGATCGGAAAATGACAGGAAGATTAAATAGATGCAGCGAAAGAGAGATAGAGATGCGGGGGGTATATAGCGCACAGCGAGTTCGAAAAACCACCAAAACCTCCCTGCACCTCGCAAATAAGTGCTAAAATCGGCGTATAACTCATGACTGCCTCCTGGGTGGCAATAGCTCAGGCCGTGATCGACGTTGGCTCGCGGCTCTGCGCCTCATCGGGCGGAAACTTGAATACCATGGTAAACAGGTCTCGCACCCAGCTGTATCTCGGTTCACGCCCCATTCGTTGCATCGTAATCGCAACCTCCTCTGCTGTGACGCGCTTAGGCGGGACACTGTTTATGTTCCGCAAGGTGGGATCTGAGAGGACGAGTTTCCTGTAATGCGAGACGAGCTTGGTCTGCCAGGGTGCTGTTCCGAAGGAATTGGTTGGCATGGCTTTGACGAATTGATGCAGGGTTTGGACGCTGTTGCGTGCGTATCCAACGTTCATGGCAGCTCGAATGAGCAGCGTTTTGAGACGTACCAGATGTGCATCTTCGCGACCGGCCGTGGCGGTCGAGGACGAGCGCTGCGAGGCCTCCGAGTATGTGGAAAGATTGGACGAGTTAGAGGACCAGCGGGTGTACGTTTGGGTATTCCCGCTTTCCGGACCAAGCACTAGAATATTGGGGATTGGTTCGTCAGGTGACATCTCGTCCCGGTCATCATATATGGTGGTAGGTGTTTCGGGAACGGAGCGTGGAGTGCCGTACGTACCGCTGCGCGAAGAATGTGCCGAGTTGCTAGACTCCGAAATGGAGGAGGGGAACGTGGTGACGGAGGGTCTCGGGGTGCCACGGTCAGGACGGACTTGTGTCCAGCCTTCTCGGAAGAGGTCACACAGCTCCCAACAAGCTTGGACGGCAGACCCAAGCAATTCCTCGTCAGCAGGTTTGCCATCACGATTGTTCTGACGCAGGCTAAAGAGCATCTCCGCTAGACCCCAACACGCACGCATCAGTGCGTCAGTCTCCTGGGGTAGAGAGGTTCGTTGCTTCATAAGACGGTGACAGAGGGTCAGGTAGAAGTCGAGAGTCCGTTCACGGAATGCTTCCGGAAGATTGCGGTCGTGCGTGTTGTATAGATGATTGTTGAGCTCAAAGCTTACGCGTAGCACCGAATCTGCGACCTCATCACCGCGTAGCCTAACCTCAAATAGAGCCTGGCAGAAGTCACGGCAAAGTTCCAGCGTCGGTTTGACCTGGCTGGCGTGGTCCTCGTTGCGGCTCTCATACAGCCGTTGACATAGCTTCCAACAGGTTCGCCAAGCTTGCTCTTGTGCTTCGCCTTTTCCGGAAAAGTTGAACATCCGTTCACGGTGGTTGGAGCTAAGACCGGCCAATGTATTGCATAAGGTCCAACACTCGCTCAGAGCAGTTTGAAGCGCCTCAACCTCCATGTGATTGTCTTTGATTTCACGTAGCACTTCTCGCATAGTTGGTATGTTATCATCCTCGCCATCCTCGTTCCGGCCGAGATCCTCGGTCTCGGGAATGTCTATATAAACTGTCAGTCAACGTCTTCATATCGTGTCATTGTCAATGCCAACCTTCAAGACTTGTGCTTGCACGTCCGCCTGTGCTTGCTAGACTGGTTCTTTTGACATCTCGTTCGGCTTCCTGCCTTGTTTGTGCTCTGGGTGTTGGTCTTTCCGGTGCTTGAGGGACAGATGTGTCGACCGAAACGCGCTAGTTAACGTCAGTAGGGGGACTTAATCGTAATAATGCAAAGGCGTACTCTATCGTCTGCAATCGTGGAGTGTAAAGGTGTAGCAGGGGTAACGATTGTACTTTCTGAAAGATCTGTTGGTGCTGGTGACGCCACGCTATTGCGGTTTGGGGGTGACTGCTTCGGGTCCTGCGTGTGTAAGCCTGACATCCTTCGTATCATATTGATTTGCCTACAAATTGTTTGAATCCAGCTGGGGCATGTATGACAGATGCAGGGGCTTCCTCGGAATCAGCTCGCGGTCTAGCTGCTGTGTCGAGTCTCAACTGCTCACAAAATTAGCATTTGATTAACCACTAGTTGATTTCCACTCACGAGTCCTCTGCTACCATCGCTTACGGCGCTCGCTGGGCTTGTGAGCTCTGAGTCGATGATTGGAGACTTGAAGTCGAGCTCATCATCATCATCATTTAACAACTCTTCTTGTTCTTGTTCATCGTCTTCGATCTATGCCTGGGTTAGATCCTACCGATATACTGAAAGGCAATTTACAAACCTCTGTAGAGTTCGTGCCGGTACTATCCACTGGAGACGGCTCAATGTGGGCAGGATATGGACTTGCTGGAGGATGGAGCGAATCGGATTTATCAGTACCAGAAGAGCTATGTGAATGTCAACCTCAACTCCAGAAAATGTACATGGGATAGGTACCGGTTTGAATAGCGATAGCTTTGTGTGAATGGCGCAGGGCTCGATGGTGAATCAGTGAAAGGCGAGAACGCGGACTTGTTTATGCCCGGATGGGTTGGAGAAGGTTGAGAAGGCATCAGTTGAGTTGCAGTCGCCATCTGTCTTGAAAATCGTTGAAGCTTGACGTTGGGCGCTGCAAAACGAGCAGCAATATGAGTAAACTTTGACGCGGGAGTAAGACTGATCGGCCTGGCACAGGATGCTGGGAAGGCTGCCTACAGGTCCTCAGTTGACCAAGGCTGATGAGGCTGAGAATGCATAGGCACGGTTAGGGTACCGCAACTTAAGACAGCATATGGATCGCGCACAGGCGGCGAAGGCGCACAATCGTAAAAGGAAGTACCTGCTGTCGTGGAGCTGCAGCTATACCGCCATGAAGTGGGTGCGCGGTGGTCGTGGTCGTGGTCGTGGTCGTGGTAGCAGGTCAGAAAGCTCGAAGATTGCTCCAACAAACACTCAGACCACCAACGGAGGGGGCAAGCTTCAACCGCATTCCCGCTCACTGGGGAGGGTCTGAATGTAAGGACGAGGGCGCCAATCACACACCGCTGTAAGCGCCGGTGTCTGCCAAGCGACTCTGTAGATTGCATCCTACGCATCCTGACTCGTTCTCCGCCCGCCCGCTAGACGTGTGCTAACGCCTGTCTCTGGGTGCTTATACCCACTTGGTTTTCCAGTACAGTGGGTGAACACACACGCCACAAGAACGACGCTCTCAACATTGCTAGTAGCGTAATTCTGTATTATCTCCATGCCTTCGCATATTCCTCGACAGCTGGGTGACAATATTTCAGAGGAAGTGGGAGTCTGTTCATTCAAAGACCTCGGTAATATTGCCTCAAGCCTCGAGCACTTGCATAAGCTAAGGCATGAAGGTCTGTGGGAACCCTGAACTTGCGCTTGATATTGATTGGAAAGATGCAGCCTTGCGGCACGAAACAGTTTATTTTGTTGTCGTTTGCTGGCCAAATAGGGGGAAAACACCGCTTCCGGACCAAGTTACACGTGGCGTGTGCGCGGTATCATGAATCGTGATTTGCAATTAGCCGCGCTGTCCATATTTCAGATATTCGCGCCTACGCCGTTCAATTGTGTACGGCGAATTGCCTGACTAGACTCGAGAGCCGCCTGTGCCACGCTCTTTAACCGCGAGCCACTATCGAGACCTGGAAGTGCCGCGATGCAAACCGAGGGTCAGAAGAAAAGTCAGCCCCTGCTACCCGTTATTTTGGAGGGGCGGAGATTTTAATCATTTATTATCATGGCTTCTTGTTGCCTAAGCGCCATGCCGCTACTTTTACAACATATCCTGGTCATGGTGCGCAACTCTGTGTATAGAAGCCTGAGTCGTAAAGATCTGCCATAGTGGCGTCGTGGATAGGAGTGAAGTGTCGCTAATTCATCCATCTTGGGCGCTTAGCACAGACGTTGAGGGTTGAAATGTTGGCTAATAGTTAGCTATGATACGTCGGTAGTTTACCGACGAGCCAACAACTGTGGGTAACGGTCTTGCTGTATTGCATATGCTCGACTATCCTACAAATTTGTGTGTTGCTGTGATTGCTTGACCGGGACTGTGTTGCTGGAGTACGTTGCTCCAATGCGGGCCTGCAACGCTTACAAGGTTTTTCGAAAAATGAGGAAGTCGGCATACAAGCTCGCTGACTCTTGAATGCCCATTAGGGCTTGGCCTCCACTATGGAGTTTCCCGCTCGTGCCAAATCCAAGTAAGACAAGCCTATACGCTTAGGAGCGACCTCCCGAGCGGCGTGTAACAGAACATTGGAATACCCAGAGGAGCTGATGTCTCGCAAAACTTAGACCGTTCTGGAGTCAAGTTTCTCTATCTTTTGAGTTATCTGACAACATCATGTCGGTGTCCCGAGAATCATACGATTATGATCATGTTCTTTGGTGAATGGAACGTTGGTTGTTGATGAGAACCCGAACCCTGGAGCGGCACGACTGCGGCTTGTATTCAGGCGCTAATCTGTATTGGTATAGCCAACTTCTGAGCAGTGCTGCGTCCTCCAGCCGTCATCTTATTGCGCTCTGCTTGTTATCCGTCTTCCGTCCGTGTGAGTAACTACGGAGGCCGCGTAGGTACGCTCTGCTCCGCGCCAATCCACGTTCAATAATGTATGACTGGGAAGGAAAAGAGGGCGAGTGCTATCGATTATATGTCGATGAGAAGAAATCGCTTGATGAAGTCGTAGAGTATTGGAAGGAGCAAGGCTTCGAGCCTAGGTGAGTATCCACGTCCCAAGTCTGGCATCTGCAGACGATAGCAGAACCCTACCAGGAGCGTGCTACGATATAGACATGACTAATCGTACACCAGCAAGCGAGCCTTTCAGACCCAGTTCAAGGTATGTGCGGTTCTTTTCACCCTCTGATGGCACAAGCAATACGTTTCTTGTCATGATCTCGTGCGCTATCCTGTTAGTCGCAAGTCCAGCACCAACACATACTTCTGGGGTTCAATGTTGACATTCACTTGTTGACTCAATAACAGTACACTGACCTCGTCACAGCGATGGAACTTTCCATCGAAACATAATATTGTTGTAAGAAACCCTAACCTGACGGAGAGGATCAAGGAGCTATGGGAGCAGAACATGACGCAGAAAGAAATGCTGCGGACTCTTCACGAGGAGAACCGCACCATATCAGAACGCGATCTTATCCGCATACGTGTGAAGAACCGATGGCTTCTACGTGTCCGCAATCCCGCAACAACAGTAGCCGATGAAGTGCGAAACACTGAAACCACCTATGAACCAACTTCACGACAGCAAGTGGGAGAGGCAGCGGCTGTAAGGTGTAGCGTTATTCTTTCTACGCCATCCTGCTAATACGATATAGGATTCAGCATCAAGTGCAAATGCTGAAGACGCTCGGACACATCCTAGCAGTCTACCATTTTCAGATCTTGAACGTGCCAGGGCTGAGACGATGCGTAAACGTCAACTTGAGAGCGACGAGAAGTGGAGAACGCGAAAGCGTAGACGCCGCACCAAAGGATGGGCGGGCTTACCTGCGGATCCTGCGGGTCAGCCTCCCCGGTTCCCGTCTGAGACGACCCTTGATGAGGCCAAGGCGTACCTCAACATGGACAACCAAATATACGATGCAATGAGGGCCCAGTTCATGGACATGTGTAACGCAGAAGGCGTTCTGAAGAAATCACTTGCAGGGGCCGAGAAATGGCAGGCGTTGAAGGATCGAATCATTAGAGAGAATGCTCACCTGCAGAGCGTATTCTGGGGAGCGCCGGAGGGTCGCTCTAATGATCAAAGAGACGTTTGCTTGGATGTTATCTGCATGGACGTGACAAAGCGAATACGAGTATTAAGGAACATGATGACCCTCGCCGAGGCGAAGAACATCCTGGGTCTTAACCCAGCCCAGAGTCGAGACGTTAGGCGTGCCTTCCAGGGAATTATAGTAAAAGCGAATTTCACCAGTAAGGCCGATGGTGACGTCTCAGTATGGGAGAGCCTGAAGCGAGATGCCATGAGTATCTCCGAGCCACTTAAGAAAGCATTCGCATCTGGTCCCGATGATCTTCGTTATGAGACAAAGTTAAAGGCTCTGGAAATGGTCTGTCGAGATGTAATCAAGCGTTCCAGGGACCATAGAGCCCAGGGCGATCCTCTACGCAGGAACGATGCTCTGGTAACTCGAGGCCCTGGTCCTTCAAAACCCAACGGGTCGAGAAAATTGACATCGGACTCCATCGTCCGGGCGCCAAATACCTCGGGCCACCCTCAGACGAAGAATCAGATGCAATCTCATATCCATCACTCTGGAGTAGCCCGGAATGAGCTTCAGATAGACCCTTCTTTGCTATTAGCAGCAGATGGTCCTTCGGTCACTGCACGAATACCAGAACAATTCTCTCAAAGCTTCGATACCGACCTTGAAGCAGCCAATTCTACCCAGAATATTCTCGATACGATGGAGATCCCAGCATACTTTCGAGTGCATCCTGAATCTCCGGTTCAGGCCACACCGAAGTTGTGGCTGGATGTGCTCAAATTTGGCAACGTAGACGAGATACGCCGACTCGCCGTAGCGAAACATGTCGGCGCACAAATGCTGAGCCTCGAAGGTGTGGTGAAGAATCAGCACGGCGGAGGCGTCGAGATACGATATACTATAGACGACCAAGATGAGCTGGAAGCTTATCTAGCGCACGTTGCGGGCGGCAAAGTGACTTTTGTGATTAAGTATTCGAGCTGAAGCGAACACTTGAATTTATGGATGCATTACATTATGCCTGCGGAAAGGTTCTTCGTAATAATAGTTCGAGCCAAACAATCCTGCCAGCCACGGTCAAAAAGCGCTTATGGCCATGAGCTGTGAAGATTGAAGTAGAGTATATCGTATCCTTGGCTAGCCCAAAGCGCATCTCAATCTAAGTAACAACTGCCCCCTTATATTGCTGATGCAGGTCAAGTTATGCGCGGCTCATCCATGCAGTGCTTGCGGTATTCGTCGAATGTGTGTAGTGGGCAAAAACCGGCGCGGATAAACCTGTTGGCCGAATTCAAGCCAGGGACGTGCGTCTGCCGGGTCAAGGTAGTATTTTGGCAATTGCCCAAACTCAAACATCCCAGGCCCAACCCGTCGAGACCTGTCGACTTGTCCATCATCACTGCGCAAGTCAGCTTGCAACCTGTTTTCACGCGTCACTCGGCTCCTCTCATATCCACAGCTTATGGAATCGGTCTAGTGTCATATTCCGTTGTCGCAACGCACCTTGGCGCATCCCCTACATCGAATCTCGCAAACATGGCAAAGCGCGAACAAGATTTCGGTCAGAGCGGTCGCCCTGAGGATGGCCGAGCAGAATCCTTTGCATCCCCCATAGATCCAGTAAAGAGAGCGACCGCTGCGCAAATGGCTGGAAGGAGGTAAGTTCTACATGGCCCCTCCATACCGGTTACGTTCTGTGCCATGGCATGCCAGCCAGACGCGAATACACAACGATTCCCACGCGGAATACTAGCCTTTGCAGGCCCCAAAGTCCTAGAAGTGAGTAATGTCACAACGACATGGCTAATTTCTCGTAGGATTGCAGGCGCAAAAAGAACAAAAACTCCACGTCCGGCGAGTGGCATGAGTGGCGGTTCTTTCGGGAGTCCCTTCGGATCGCAATCCACCATGAGCTTTCCCCCGGCGCAAGGAAATAATATGCCCTCTTCGACGACCAATTCATTTCCGCCGATGGGAGGAAATCCTACGGACAAAAACAACTCGACCCAAGGAGGCTTCAATTTTCAAGCACCCTCAGTCGCGGGGTACAGCAATCCTTTCGCAGGGAGCGCGGAGGTGAAAGAGAACCAGACTCCGACATTCAATGGCACACCATCCCTCTTTAACTCCGCGCAAACACCGTCTTTCAGCTTTAACTTCGGTCAACAGAACACAACTCCTGCGTCGAACGCCACTTCCAGTAACTCTATGTTTGTACAGACACAAGCATCAAAACCCAGTATATTTGGAAACACTGTCTCAAATACCTTCAACACTCAAAGTTCGGAGCCGGTTTCTCAGCCAGGTTTCAGTTTTGGGAATTCGTCGTTTGGAAAGTCTGGATCCGAGACTCAAGGAAATCTGTTTGGCCAGCAGCAAAGTCAAACATCCCTGAGCTTCGGTGCGAACACGGCGACCGCTACCCCCAGTAAGCCAGTATTCAGTTTCGGAAGTAGTGCTGCTGTTTCCCAGGATAAACCAAAATTTACATTCGGAGCTAGCCCTGCCATTTCCCAGGATAAGCCAAAATTTATCTTCGGGGCTACTCAAGCAGAAACACCCATATCTAGGCAGACTACCACACCAAGTCCGACCGAAGACAGCATGCACACTTCACCCGACTTTCAGCGTGTAACCGACGCTTCCAAGCCAAATTTGCATGCATCCACAAATAACGGTGAAGCACCTGCTCCAGCACCTAGTTTCAGTCTCTTCGGTAATGTGCCCGCAAATTCTAGTCCAAACACGTCTCTATCGAGCTTGTTTGGATCTGGCATCGCGCAGCAACCGGGCCCCCCGATATCGTTAGTAGGGGATTCGGCGACGACTCCGAATACCGACCAACCGGTTACCTCGATCTTTGGCAATACGCAAGCCTCGAGTCAAGTATCAAAAGATATTTTTGGCCAAGCTAAGACGCCAGAGCCATCATCACAGGGCGCCTCCAATGTATCTCGTGGCGTTGGACAGCAGCTACAAACAACAAACCAAGAATCGAGTCTCTTTTCAAACAATTCATCAGTGTCACCGTCTTTCGCAGCACCAATTCAGAAGCCTCCGAGTACCGAAACAGAAACAACTTCGAGTGGACTATTCTCCCGATTATCTGCGTCAAACTTCAATTCTACGAACAAGGCGCAGTCTGACGAGAAAAGCTCTGCGCCATCAACGTTCACAAATGCTTTCTCACCAAATTCTCCATTCACTGGCCCCCCGGCGCCCATAACCTCCATTCCTACTCCAACTGTGACCAAACAAGTACCCGACGAGGTTTCCGTCAACAAGGAAGCTGCGGATGGAAAGGAAGGCCTACCAACCACTAGCGCCAATGCCGGCACGAAACCTCCACCAAAACGTTTGGAAGCCCCTGCACATTTCACCAGAGCGCAGAAGATCCTCTTACTGCATTATTACCGCTTCAGGGATCTCAATTATGTGCTACAAACGGTCATTGACTCAAAACCAGTCTGGTCAGATTTGACACCTGTTATGGCGTGGTACCAGCAAGAAGCAGACCGCATTAACAATGACTCAGAGCCAGACTGCAGATTCTTAAATGGCCCCAGATCGTCTGCCACGCTAAACAAGCTCAAAAGAGCGGCCATTGCGTCCGAGGTCTCCGAGAAACCTGCAAATGATGCAGAGGAGATGGAGCCACAGCCCATGGCCGCGGAGCGACCTATCTCTAAAGCTATTGCCCCCATCGAACCAAGACTGGCCACTTCGGCAGATCAGAGTACGAATGGAATGTCTACAGACAGCCCAACCACAACGGAGGCTCCTCAGGCATCTCAGATGACTCCATCAACTAGTACTAGTTTTCACATGCAATCTTCGAATCCTTCATCGACGAAGCGTAAGGCTGAAGATGCGGTCAATGGCGACAGCGCCGCGCTGTTCGGATCTGAAAGCAAACGAGCTCGCGGTGGTGACAATGCAGCAGTCAGCTTCCTCAAGAATGTTTTGGAGAAGAAAGATTCTCAGCCAACCCAGGATCTTGTACCAACGACAAACGGTCCCTTCGGTAGCGCAAAGTCTCTCAGTCCAACGCCTTCGACTAGCGGAGGAACATCAGTCTTCGACGACCCAGCGCATAAACAACAGACCACCTTTAGCGGGTTTGGCTCGTTCACAAAACCTCAAGATGGCTCTGATAAAGAGAACCAAGAGGCCACAGACGAAAGTGATGCGGAAGAACCTGAACGTGATCCAAAGAGTCGAGATGGTACCCAGGATTTGTCACGCGAAAATCCGAAACAGATCGAAAATGAAAGCCCATTTAGTTTTGCCAAAAGACCCAGCGACAGTCCCTCCCCAGCTCCTGGAACCTCGGCCAACTCTCTCTTTGGCCGAATCTCGAAAGCCGACAGCTCCCCAAAGTCGCCAGCTGAACCAAACGGAGAAGTATCGAAGCCAGCAGAGGAGGCGAATAGCCCCTTCTCATCCTTTGGGTCCTCGACTGGCCCTGTAAATCACACCTACAACCGGGACAGTCCATTAAAATTTGGAGCTGGTGTCCCCAAACCAAACGACTCTTTGGATCCAACTCCCGCGAAACCGCTTTTTGGGTTCAAGGTAACACCGGCAAGCCCAGAAAAGTCAAAACCTACGGCAGTCAATGGATCTGTAATCCCGAAAGCTACATCTCCCTTTAGTGGGCAGTCCAGCCTCTTTGGCAAGCCTGGGTCGACAACTCCAACAGCTTCACCCGCTAAACCATTTTCATTCGGTAGCGTTTCATCCACTAACAAGCCCTTCAGTTTTGGAGATTCAGCACCGAAGCTGGGCTCTTCGCTCTTCAATTTAGGTGGACAGGCGTCGCCACTACCTTCGAGCACAACTTCGCGAGCTTCGACCCCAGGTCTGTCCGGTGGTGATACTAGCGCACCTGAATCGTCTGCCGCGGAAGGAGACGGGAAGTCTGGCGAAGAGTTCTCAAATTTACCACAACAGAAAAGTTTGACCGATCTCACCGACGAGGAACGGGAGAATGAGGAGATTTTGTTCGAAGAGTCGGCTGCAAAGGCCAAGCTGCTTGCGAAAGACGAGAGTGGGAAGTCGGCTGGATGGGATATCAAAGGATCAGGCCCATTGCGTATATTGAAACACAAGGCAACTGGCGCAGTCCGCGCTCTCATGCGAGCCCATCCTGGTGGTAAAATCGTCATCAATGCGCGCATTCCGAAAGGTGCACCAAGCAGCCAGCCAAAGCCGAAACTGGCACTACTGCCTTTCGCGAATGACGAAAATACGATGACGAGCTGGTACTTCGCTCTTGGAACTTCGGAGGCAACTGAGGATCTAGTCAAGGTCTACAACGAAAACCACTAAAGTTGAATCTTGCTATAGCATATGGGTACGGTAATTTGCATGTAGCGAAGCATATCGGCGTTGTAGAGCGTGTAAAGAGTTTTGTGCAAAGCGTGGAGTTTCTCGTTGTTTTGCGTTATACGCACACACCCCTGTTAAGAAACAACGTGTCGTAGTTTAATTAAACCTTGTATCATATAGTCTTCCCGTAGTGCTAATGTGCAACATGTTGCAGCAAGTAGATTATCCAACGTCCTAACATGTGCTGGTGATACAGGATCCATATAACTAATAGCTATAATGGCGACACCTTTAGTTCAAGGCTGTGTTGAGCAAAGCGACGTTCGAGGTTTCAGATTAATGCTAAGCCTCTACGCACCCACGTGACTTGGCGTCTCCATCGTCTTAGCGCGACATGCTCTTTCGGGCTCCAACTACTACAAACAAGATGTCTGCGGCAATTCGAGAGATAGCAGCGAGTGCAAGTCGAAAAGCTGTCCGGCTAAAGATCCTCCCTCGACCATGGAATATCTCAGAGAGTCGAGCTGTGTTAAAGGTCCTCCAACGATACGGCGACGTCGTATTTTTCCGACATCTACAGGTGAACACCCTACGATCTCCACGAGCCAGGACGTCTCCCAAAGGCGTTATCATGACGACTATATACTAAACCTCTCGTACTACAGCACGAGACCCCTAAACCTGCCCATAACACCGTGGTGGCCATCTTCCGCGACTATGCAAGCGTCGATCGTTTGATGCAGGCCCAGCCCATCAGGTACTCTCTCGATCCCACATTGCCCCACTCGAGGACGAAACAAATTAGTATACCAGGTATGGACCACGAGGGAGAATTCAAGTTGGAAGACTTTGCGGACGACGAATCTGCCTCCAGTACTACTGAGGACCCCAAATTGCCCCCGGAAGCAGAACAAGAGACACCATTTCCCCATCAACCTCCTATCCACAAGGTCATCCATCCCGGCACTGGGCTCAGAGACTTCGTAATGTGGGCTGAGCCTTCGACTATAAATACACAAGATTGGGCAGAGAGACAACCATACTGGAACTCGTACGACAGCACCGAGGACTATGCGCAACAAGATTTAAAGAAGTCGGTGCCATTGAAGGGAATGGCCGATTTGTCATTCAAGCATACTAAACTTCTAGACTACAGAATTCGCGAAACAAACTTCATTCGAGATAGTAGGCTGACGCTGAGGCGACTTTGGGAAGGGGAGAAGGTCCATAAAGAGAATCATCCCACAGCGAACCATGGGGCGAAGAACGGGCCTAGGTTGAGCAGAAAGCCGAGAGGACTGCCTGATCATGTATCACGTCCTCTGGATGAAGGCAGATCTGGCTGATCTATGTTCGTTCGCGTGTTGTCTCTTTGCAAGCCTGTGTCGAGAGACATTTCACTGAAACATGCTTAGAGGTCCACAACTTGTAGCATCATATTCTAGACCTATATCAGTCGGAAGAGCCAAGTTCAGACACCTGAAATGGCAAGCCTGGAAGATGCCGGGAATGCCACAAAGTGCCCAGGATGGTTTGTGCAAGGCCTCGACATTCCACTAGCCTAGGAGATACAGACCGTGCTATGCAACTTCATCATCATCAGTTGCAGACTTCCTAGGAAACCATCACTCAATTCTTCTTTCAATGAGAGCACTCTGTCGTCTCATTGTCTTAGCGGCGTCTTCTCGGCCCTCAATGCGGCGCTATCTAAGAAGTATGTACAGATGCGAGATATATGCTTTACCGATACAGATATGTTCCGCCCGATCGCGATATTCATGCGCTGATGCAAGGTTATATCTGGTCACTTGATATGTGATCAAATCTCAAGCTTCTTCTTCCTTGGTTGCACAGTCGTGTAAAGGACTTGAGACATACTGGACTACGGACATGTCTAAGGACTTGCAAAAGCCATATTTGAAGAGGGATGTACATAGCGGAGACATAGCAGGAAATCTGGTGATGATGTTCACGTAAAAGATTTAGCTGACTCGACAGCCGAGCATTTGCGGAGGCTTTACATCATTGACAAAGCCCATTTTGATTCCGGGATAAGCACTTTCATTCATGTAAAGGTTTCTACTCACACTTTGGGCGTATTTGACTTGACGGATTCTCAGTGGCTTGTGTCATGTAGCATGCGCAAGAATATATACAACATACTGGAGACGCTCATTCTGATAGGTCATGCAGCTGCCTGCTCAGGCCTACACTATGACAAGCGAGAAGCATGACTTTACCTATAGCAGTAATATCTGATTCAGAAGCTTACTTAGCGTGCTCAGCTTGGGCACTTCAGTGTACCCCGGGCGGCTACCTCCTTGCAGCACGCCTGGCAGAGGGGCGTAGCTTCATTATTACATGAACATCCGATCGCCTTCCTCAGTCAGAATTGCGAGATTGGTTAACCTTATCTATTACACTACAGGTGGCCTTCACCCATATCATCGATCTTTCTCCTGTATCATCATCACCATGACTACTTCTGAGACCTTCCGACCCACAGCCTTGACCGTGCCAATGGTTTTTGTGGGAACGCTTCTTGGAACGCTTGTTTGTATCGCTAACATGTACTTTGGCCTGCAAGTGGGAACGCTAAGCACTATGAATACATCAACAGCTCTGCTCTCCTTTGCTATTTTCAAAAGCGCTTTGCAATGGACTGACCTGGCCTTTTCGCCAACTGAGAACGTCGTGATCCAGACAATCGCGTCTTCTATCGCTGGAATGCCTGTGACAGCTAGTCTAACCAGTATAATACCCGCTTTCGAGTCTCTTCGACGTCCTGAAGAAGGTGGTTCTTACGTCTTCTCAGTACTAGATCTGATGCTCTGGTCCCTCGGTGTGGCACTATTTGGCACCGTCTTCGCTGCGCCCTTTCGCTCATTATTCATCCTCCAGGAAAAGCTGCGCTTTCCTGGAGGATATGCAACTGGTGTTCTGGTTGGCGTACTCCATAAGGATGATCAAATAATTCGTCGAACAGAGGAAGATAAATCCAACGTCGATATTGTGCAACAGATGCACTCGCATGTCCGAACCACCGAAGCCACGGAGGAATGGCCAGTCAACAGCACGGGCGGTCGATCATTCGAATGGAAGAGCAAGGTCATGATCGTATCAAAGACTTTCCTTGGAACTGGCATATATGTGAGCACTCATGGCGGTTCACATCTGAGTTCTGCTAAATCCTGCAGGTGATCGCTTCTTACTTCGTCCCGAACCTTTCGCGAATTCCTATCTTCGGAACTACGGCTTCGCGAGACTGGCTGTGGTATTTGACATTGTCTCCAGCCTTCACTGCGTTCGGGATGGTACTAGATCCACACATTGCAATCGCGATGATGCTCGGTGCTGTTATTGGTTGGGGAATCCTCGCACCAGTAGCAAATCACAAAGGCTGGGCACCTGGTCCCGTAGAGAGCATGGAGGATGGCGCCCGCGGATGGCTAATCTGGATCAGTGTCGGTCTCCTCCTAGGTGACGCTCTTGTCCGCGTGGTACACCCCATTATACGATACGCGCATTCTTTGTTCGGAACTGTGCTAGATATCTGCAAGCAGAATGACAATCATGACACAAGTTTGCGACAACCCCTTCTCGGACCAAGAGGAACCAGTGTGGAAAATTTGGATTCCTCAGACTCATGTCCTTCTGTGGGCGCCGTCCATTCTCCCAATTCAGAGAACGAGCTGGTGTCACATCGAGCTTTGATCGTCTGGCTTAGCATATCAACTTTTCTTTGTATAGCGTGCACATTACTTGTGTATGGCTCAGAGATCCCCATCTATTTAGTTGTGACTTCTATCGCTATTTCCTTTCCGCTTTGCTTGGTCGTCATAAGGAGCGTGGGTGAGACAGATATGGCCCCTTCCATGAGCCTTAGTAAGTCTGCTCTACACTAGATCAAGCAAAGCATATTGACAGACTCAGGCAACGTATGCCAATTTCTCTTTGTACTCATGCTAGCAGGCGCTGCACGCAACAGACTCATTACTATGGTTGCCGCTGGAATCACTGAAGCTGGATTGTGGCAGTCCGCTGTTTTAATGACCGATCTTAAGACGGCATATCTCGTTCAAGCATCGCCCAAGGTTATGTTCTATGCCCAGCTGTTAGGTTCTTTCATCGGCGTCTTTGTAGGCTCGGGCATATATCGACTCTTCCGGGCTGCTTACACTTTCCCCAGTGCGGCTTTTCCAGTACCACTGGCGCACTTGTGGGCGAATACAGCTCGCCTGGCGAATGGAGGGAGTCTTCCAAACGGTGCGTGGCCTGTAATGATTGGTGCTCTTGTTCTTTCTGCTCTGTTACGAATCCTCAACCTCGTCGGTGGTTCAGCAAAGTGGACATTATGGGTTCCAAGCGGGGTAGCAATGTCTATCGGTGAGTGTAATCTCTTGAAATGGTATTGACGCCCGAGCTAATCATCTACAGGCATGTATGTTACTCCGTCCATCACGCTTGCAAGGCTGGCTGGTGCTGGGATTCGGCTTTGGTCCCTCAAGTATATGGACATCTCAGAGGTGTCCCTCATGTCGGCGGCCACAGGATGCATCCTAGGCGAGGGTATTCTTGGCTTCATTCCTGCAATACTCACTGCAGCTGGGGTACCCAAGCTTTGGTAGAACCTAGGCGGGTCAGCATGGACTTACATTATCTATTGCCAGTTATGTTACGTACAGTGGGTCTCTCTTAGCTTCCAATGAATTGTACAGAAGGCATGTAAGATAAAAGAGATATACGTTATGCAATGGACAAGTACTGTATGTTGGGCTTCTCAGAGCTAGCTGCAGCATGCATGCATGGCTGGTGACCATCACATTTGGAATCGCCTACTCCATAGCCGGAGCTTCCGCCAATGGCATGTACTTCCAGCTCTCATACTCCTATGATAACTTGCTGTTCTTCTACCTCCTCAGTATATAGCTCTTGATTACATATCTCAGAATGACATCTGTATCCAATGCATGCTGCACTGACAGAGCCTCACTCTGGTTTCTTGATGAACTTGATCTATATAAAGCAGTAAAGCCATATCATTTGGATTTCGATCCTGAAGATGAGCGCATTCCCCGCACGAATCTCGACCGCAAGGAAGTTCGCAATGTTCAGATACATAGCTTACGCAACCATCTAGAGCAAGTCTTTTGTGGCGAAAGTGGTTTTTTATTATGTCAGATGCCGTGACTCCTATTACGGTCAACTCTGACGACGAGAATACTGTTCGAGATCAGTATTATATGTTTCTTGAACATGGAGTACGAGTCTTCAGTTCAAAACACAAGGCCGACGGGGCTCATATATTCATCATTGATGATAAGGCAGGTCGGTCTCAGAGGCCTTATATTCTAGGTTTTTGAGAATAATTTGAGGACTCAGAAGCGCCACGTCAGCATTCCGATTGGATCCTTTCCTTCCTTGATTGCGGCTTGTTTGATGGAGGTAGCCAAGTTTGACGGTGGTACCATTCTTCTCCTCGGAATGAATACATTCCATGCTGTGCCGCCAGGCTACATAAACTCTCCACATGACCCATAATCCTGACAAGCAACTTGCTGTGACAAGAACTTTTATCCACCCTTAGGTGTTCACTTAAGTCCAGTAAAGAAGTCGCTCGAAGTGAGCTCCAACGTGTCTCGCCCCACGAGCTAATATTTCGAGGTGCTGGTTGTTTCTTTCACAGCTGATTACAGGAATAGAGTCCTATATTCACCGAGGTGTGAAAACGTCGAGATCGAGACCGACTTCTCTAACCAAGAACTTCGACCCAAAGTGGGTGAACAAAGTGATTTCATTATTGGGGGTCATTATCGAGAGACTAAGTAGAGCACTTTAGAAGAACACGATCAGGAGCCCTAGCAGCAATCAAGATCGCACGGTCCCAGATATGTCGACTCCCACCACATCAATGGAGGAGATTTCACTTCCGCGGTTCATGCCAGAACATGTCAGAAACAGAGGATTCTATGGCCGGAAAGACGTTCTGCGCCAGATTGACCAAGTCTTCCTGCGGGACGAGGAGTCTCCGGACGGCGCAGCTACACCCTCCTCTCATGCCGGAGACCCTCCCGAAGAGTTGAAAGCGTTTGTCATATGCGGCATAGAAGGCTCGGGCAAGACTGAAATTGCAAACGAGTACATGCACTCGCGCAGGACCAGATTCGATGCGGTTTTCTGGGTCGACGGCGCGACTACGCAGACGCTCAACACGGGTTTTCACGATATGGCAGATGAGCTTGGGCTGGAGGCAGACAACTCGCTTGAAGGTTCTGTCATAACAAGAGAGATTGTGAAGGATTGGCTGTCGAACCCCCGTGGAAAAGTGGCAAAGGAGCCACAAAAGCGAGATTCGGATATTACGTGGCTGCTTGTTTTCGACAACGCAGACGATCCTGATATCATTCACGACTTTTGGCCCACGGGCCGAGCTGGCTCGGTGCTTGTCACTAGAAGATATCCTTTTGCAAAAGAGGGAGCTTTCGGCAGATTTGCAGGGTTGGATCTGCCACCTCTGCCGGTGGAGGAAGCCGGTCGCTTTCTTCAAATGCTGTCCCAAAGGGAGGAAGAGGAAGGAAGTCTGGATACCTGCAGAAAAATCGTTACGAATTTAGGCTGTCTACCTGCTACTGTCGTGCTGATTGGCTACGAAATTCGTAGCACACAGCTCACGCTCAAAGAGAATGAGGAATATTTTCGCGGACATGCGAAATACTTTCATGAAGTCGTAGTGCCTGATTTGACCGAACCTCGACCCGTAGCTGCGACCTCGAATATCGACAGCTTGTCGGACCCTGCTTACGCTCTTCTCCGTGTGCTCTCGGTTCTTGATGCCGATAAGGTACCCGAGGAGATTCTCACCACTGGAGGACCCATGCTCGATCTCGAACATTATCCAAGGACCAATATCGACTATGTGGAGGCTCGGGAAGAGTTGATCGAGTCGTCGCGAATAGTACACAACGTCAAACCTGCCTTCGTCAGGATCCACCGCCGTGTTCAATACGTTGTTGGATGTAAGATGTCCATAGAGGAGCTACAGGCTGTTTATGATGCGGGTGTCACGCTTGTCACGAGCGTGTGGCCTTTTGCCAACAGCTCGAATCTGAACCAAGTCGATCGACTGCGCAAGGTTCAAAAGTATCTGCCTCACCTGTATCGTCTGCGTGGGTTGATCGAGCAGCAGTACACGTTGGCAGCTCTGCAACCACACATTGGGGTCAGCGCTCTGTTCAATGAGGCTTCGTGGTAGGTGGATATTCTACTATCGAATGAGGAGTACCACTAATTCTCAACTCAGGTACTTCATCCTTCAACCCACCGGCTACGGTATGCTAGAGGCACAGAGGTTCGCCAGACTGTCGCAACAAGTCCTAGATAGAAGTACTAGAGAGCCCAAGGATGAAAAGCTTTCAAGCAAGCTCTTAGCCGATAGTTACCGCTATCAGGGCATCTCCGGCATACACAGAGACGATCCCTCCGCAATCTCAAACTGCACAAAGTGGTTAGAGATTCTAGTAGATCGTATTGCCAAATACGGCCTTGAAGAAGACAAGAGAACGCTGCCTATCGCCTACAATGAGATCGGGATGGCTCTTATGCGCATACCCGATGAGGCTGAAGCGGTCAAGTCTTGGACCATGTCCTGCGATGCTCTGGTGGCGAATACTCCGCCAGATGCACTGGTGTTTCCCTTCCCTTGGGTACACAGGGGTATAGTCGCCGCTCAAGCCGGAGACGCAGATGCGGCAGAAGCGCTGGTCGCTCCTATCCTTGCGGCGCGGGAAGAGAAATTAGGGATCGATGATACAACCTCCATCGAGTGAGTCAGGAGTTCCCAGGTTGCTCTTTGCGGGTACTAATCGGGGCAGGACCGGTGTCATTCTTGTCTTCATGGGCAACATTAGACTCATCCAAGGACGAAAAGCGGAGGCTTACGAGTACCACAAGAGAGCTGTTTCCATACTTGAGGTCACATGTGGGGAAAATTCAGTGCAAGCCTCTCTGGGATACTATCGGTTGGCAGTCGACCAATTTGACCGTGGAGAGTTCGAAGCAGCCGCGTGAGTCAACAATTGCCATCCACAGCTGCCTCGCACGTACTAATTCAGATAAAAAGTGACAACCTCAAAAAGAAGATCATCGTCTATGGCGATAGCCCATGGTTCGAACCCCAGAGAGCACGCTTGGCGTGGAAGCGTGGACGAGCCCTCCTCGCTCTAGGGAGAGACAACGACAAAGAGGAAGCAGACTATCTGTTGGAGAAGGCCATGGAAATGAGAAGAGAACTGGCACCGGGAGACGATCGGGACGAGCAGGAGCTCGTGGATGAGGATTGGGATCGCCTTGTCTACTACTTCTGGCGGTGAAACAGGTGACTCCCGTCATGCGCAGGACTGGTCTCAAGGGAAGAGGAGCTCGCTGTTTGACTGTAGCACACTTGATCTGGAAAACCATAACTCTTTACGAGATCTAGCTATGAATTTGTTGCGTGGGGCATGGTCAGGATGTTGATCCTTGGTACTAATGCGCTTCAAAATGGCCTTGTTCTTGCCGTTGTGCATTGTTGTACAGACCGATGTTACACATATCACAATTTACTCAAGGCTACGAACTTCCAATATCGGAACACAAATGACGTACCTGCTAGCAAGTAGATTGTACATGGAAAACAGCTTCCGGTGACCTGTGGCTCGGCCTTGTCTCAACATTGATGCGCTCAGAGTGCTGTGTTATTTCCATCCAGATTAATTCTAGCGTGCCCCAAGCCTCTATAATCTTGAATTCAACCATTAGTATATCATTGAGGGGCCATATAATTACTTGACTTCCACTGCCTTGCAGTGGAGATGGGTGGCTCACCCTACATCAGGCCAGGACATTTCATGTGGTAAGGATATGATCCGCCAATATATAGTCGCCAGCCTTTCGTCTACAAATCCATAGGTTACATTTCCATCTCGAGATACAGCTGTCTCTGGTACACACTACGTCATATCCTCCCAAGTACCAGACGAGATGCAGGACTTGGAGCAAGAGGCAGAAGTAAGGAGTACAAGCAACGGAGCAAAGACCACAGACTGCAGTACCCTCTGCGATAAAGATTCACATTTTCAACAGATGACTACGAGCCCGTCCTGTACTGCAACTAAATCGACTTCTGAAAGCCACAGTGAGTCCACGACAAGGCAGCCGGGTAAGGTTTCACAAGCTTCATCTAGTATATGATTCTGACTTGCCAGCTGATGTGCGATACTCAAGGGTCTTGTACTCTTTCGCGTCATTGTCACGGCGCGGCCATCTCTATACTGGACAGCACTACAACTCGCTAGCACAGTTCTTGATTCCGAGCTTCAATCGCCCAACACTACCACCTGGGAATGAAGGTATCTTCGTGATTGGCCGGAATGTGTCAGGAGGCTCTGAAACAAGCCATACATTCCTACAGTCACCAGAGGATCTTGGCGTATTCTTGAGAGAGCAGGCAGAAGGTCGTATACTATTCCTACGAGGCTATCCGTCATCAGAGTGGCTGTCGTATCTAGGAGCACGTCTCAACTTGGATTATGAATACCTTTTCCAACACTTCGCTCACTCGTCACACCTCGAGAGTGGTGATCTTCTATGCTTACCTCCGTTGTCTCTCATAGCTACAAACACTATACAGCTCTACTTCACCACCCTCGGAGTATGGGATAATCACCAGTCTGAAATTGGCGTCACCGAGGCACGATCTAAACTGGCACTTTCATTCAAGTCCTACATGGACGACATGATTCATGGAAAGGGTACCAAACTTTGTGACTCCATTGTCCGGTCATTCCACGTACACGACCTGAAGCATTTCTCCATGGATCAGCAAATCACAATCAAGCTCTTGCGTGTGGAGAAATCTTGGACAAGTTAGTCAATCTCTGACCATGTGGTCTCAAGATACTAACAGCCTTCAGTAATCATCTGGAGTGATGCTGGGACTTCTCTTGAATCGAGTCACCGGGGCCCGTGGCTGGATATGACGGCTGACCATTCTTCTTCGATCAGATTTATACCCATGGTACTACAGCTACAGAATGGCCAAATAAAAGACTTTCTGACAACAACCATGGGCAAGACACAGAGTTCGCAGACCTCATCAATCGCAACATCTGAGCAACTAGCACAGAATCTGTGTGCGCTACCTCATGATTTCCTCAGGCCCCTCAATGACTTCACGATACAGGCACACCCTTTCTACGCCTTGCACGAGATATTCAGACTTAACGCCGCCTCGGAGCATCAGTTTCTCAATCTGATGGAAACCAAAGCCCACACACACGGCCGTATGGACAACGATCGACAGCGCAGCATCGCCGAAATCCAGGCCATCAAGCAGCTCATAGACCAGGATCACGAAAAGATAACGGATGTTCTCGAAACAATCCGCACTCGAGGCGGATGCCACTGGAATCCTGAACCGCAGACTCGCGAGGCGGACGAGGCCAGAGAAGCCGCCGAGACGCTGCATCGCACGTTCCGCAAGCTGGAGCGCCGGGCGCACGCTGTCTCGGAGGCTTGCCGGGATGCCATATCGATGCTCAGCAGCGATGCTATGGTTCGAGAGGCTCAGAAGAGCATGAAGACAGCCGAAGGAATTGCGAAGGTGACTTTCATCGCGTTTGTCTTCGTGCCGCTGTCCTTTACCACGTCGTTCTTCGGCATGAATTTCGCCGAATTCAATGGTAAGAATCTGGGCATTTGGGTCTGGTTCATGGTCTCGGTTCCTGTACTCATGCTATCGCTGCTTGTCTGGTGGTTGGATGGCCAGAAGTGCCGCCGAGCTGTAAGCTGGATCAGAAGGCTTTCTGGTGGCCGGGATTGAGATGAAGGCTTTCTAGAGGCATAGCTAGAAGGGATTTCAGACTCCCCACGAACTTGCTCCTGCTGCTAGACTGGTGTTAACGTATCATCGATTACTATGATTGGTTGACTCTCCGTAGCGACCTTACGTGCCATACGAAGCAGGTATATATATATGCCGCGACGATTGAGTATCCATATAGGACATTCCGGTGACAATGGAGCTTATAAGAACCATACAGTCAGTAGAAGGATGTATAGGGGTTGTCCGTACTCTATACTCCACCTGCTTCCCAATCTTCCTCACTCACACACGAAACATACGACAACCGCAACCCCACCCTCACACCCTTCTCCCAAAAAACCCCCCCATCCTCGCCATCACCGGCACCATCTCTCCCATCCCCTCCATCCCCTCCATCCCATCACAACGCGCCCTCCACAGCAGCTGCGCCTGTTCACACCATCGAAAATGCCCCAGAAACCCGTCCCGCGTATAAACCTTGTCGCGAGCCTCATACGCCCAGTCCTCGCCCTCAGTGCCGATGATGTCCTCCTCGATCGCGAGTTGACAGCCTGCGCAGCATATGCCGTGCTCGAGGGTGGCGGATAGCGGGTTGTAGTAGGGGAGGGCACAGGAGCCCATGGACGTGTATTTTGGTGTGTGGGGTAGGGCATGGGGTAAGGGGTGTTGGGGGTGCTGGGTCTGTGTATGTGTATGTGTAGAGGAGAGATGAGCGTGGTGAGTTGAAACAAGCGTAACGCGGGTCTTGAGTACAGATTCCGCCAACGTGTACACTCCCGGCAGACTCCTGAGCGATCTCAAGCCCTCTGATTCGCGTTTAGTCAGTCGGAACTGCTTCCGGACGGCGGCACGGGCGTGCAGTTGAAGGGGGGGAGCAGCACGCTGGAGACACGCAAAGCAGCAGCGTATCCAAGCGACCCGCGACACAAACCCGGCGAACTCACCACAGAGACTACATGTCTCGGTACATAGCGCGGCGTAGGCGTCGCGGAGAGAGACGTGCATGGCAAGGCGTGTTCGAAGTAGTGCGCAGAGAAGGTTGAGGCCGTGCTGGACGACGATGCGGTATTGCTTGAGCGAGTCGACGATGTCGCGCGCTCGGAGGTTGGTTTGTCGGATGTAGAAGAGGGAGTGCATGTCTAGATGGAGTAGTATGTCGTGTAGAAGCTCGAGGGGTAGTTGATCGAGGGAGCCGAGATCCGTTTTCGACGACCGTGGAAAGGGCGCTGCTATGGACTGACGAACGGCGACGTGCTCACGAGGCGGGAACCAGATGACGGAGAGAGCAAAGTCTTTGCGGTGGTAGGCGGCGGTTCGAATGATGGCGTCGGCCTGGTCTGTGGTGAATTGGAATTCGGTGACGGAGCGATATCTGGGAGGCATAGGGGTAGCCATTCTCGACGTTGATCGTTGCGCTGGGATGGGATAGACGCCGTTGGCACGGCCACGATGTCGATAAGGCGTGTAGTCGGGTTTATCTACTAATCATTATTCTATATCCGACATATATCGTCGTCGAACTCGGCACGGATTCTAGTGGCTACGGGCGCCGCGTCTAGACTAGCGTGTTTAACTCCCTAGCTCTAGAATACTCGGCTAGTTAATCGTAAAACAAATTCGTCGCTTGCCTAGAACCTAACTCTCTTAGTATTTTTTATTTCCACACCTGTATTTATATACCTAATCTTTATGGTTATTTTACCTCTCTACCTCTCTACAGAGACTTGAAAAGTAGAGTAAGGTAATTAATTCTATATCCTTTCTAAGCTCTAGACTGTCTAGTTTACTCTATAACAAGAGGATTTAGTTTCTTATGGGAGAAAACTTAAAGAAGGTAGGTTTCCTAGAATCTAAACTACTTCTTTTACACCGGCTCTCTTCTAAGAATGTTTAAAAATACTTCTCTATTTCGTTAACGAGACTTTATAAGGATAAAATAAACTTATAGAAGGATAAAGATGTATCTAATAATCTATTATATCTACTTATGCTCTTATATACTAGTATTTGTTTACTATAACCGCTCTCTAGGATAAGAATATATATTTAATTAATTAAGACAAGTAAGTATATTGTACAAGTAAGTTATATAGATTATTGTCTCCTCTTTTAAGATTCACTCTGCTTATGAAAGAGAAGATATACAAATCCTAGTCAGTTCCAAGAGCTTTTGGCCTGAAAATCCTCCCAAGATCAATCACTATCGTCCACGAAATCGAAACCCCCACCGCGTCCCGATTCGTTCACCAATTCGGCACGTAAATTCTCAAACTCCTTGCGCATCGACTCAGGGCTCGCATGCTCGACAAAGTATTCAAAGTCAAGCAGTTTCACGCCCTCCTCTCCTTCCTCGCTGACGAGAAAGTTATACCGATTGACATCCCCATGCACAAATCCCAATTCATGGAATTTCGCGAGAGCGGCCTCGCAGATGCCCAGATCGGCGAGCGCGGCGGGGCGTCCCTGCAGCTTTTCCACGAGGAAGCCCATGATCCGTCCGTTCTCGTGGACGTGGCCGAGGAAGCGCGGGGCTAGGCCGGTGCCCTGGAGGAGTTGGTATGCTCTTGTTTCCTGCTCGATGCGGGGGAGTTCCCATTCGAAGCGGGCGATTTTGGCGATGACGGTGGTGGCGGCGGGGGAGTTGGGGGTGGTGGTTGGCGGGATTGAAGGGGGGGAGAGGGCTTCGAAGGCTGTTGCTGTGAGCTGTTCGGTCTTCTGTAGCTCTAGGCAGTTGATTCGAGTTTGATGCCATGGACGGCTGATGCCGGCTAGGGTTCTGTTCGTGATGGAACTTTGTAAGGCGCCGCTGGATTTGTCTCTCCAGATGTGGGCTACGGTCCATTCCTCGTCGTAGGGGAGGTTGGGTAGGGACTGGAGAGGGAAGGAAAGCGTGGCTCTGTCGAAGGTTCCGGGGGAGATGGTAAGATATCTAATCTGGTTACCGATTTGCAGTCGGTATTCACTTTCATGAGAATCGTCATCGTCTACTTCCATGGACAGGATGACGGGGTGTATTGACGGGTTTGTGGTTTGATCGTGAGACATTGTTACCGTAAGACCGCCTTCGCTGTGGGATCGCTAGTTGAATGAGGTGGGAGGAAAGTGGCGCTTGCACGTTTATGCTTCGACTTTTCCTTTATCGCTGCTATGGCTCCTTCTTTTCCTTTCATCATTATTTTTAGAAGAACACGTCTCGTGAAGGCACTTTAGGGATTCAATGAGATGGGCTCCTTGGCAACCGAACCCGCTTAGCATTCGTCGGGCGGTTGATCAGGCCAATGAAGGGGGTCCCTACAGTACTCTGATCACTTTTCTAAAACATTGTAGACGCAGCGGCTAAAACTAGTCTACAAGTCACCGATTGGTCCAAATTTCCTTGCTGCCTAAATCAAAAGGAGGCGGCGGTGTTGGGCTGGCGACAACGACTGCAGTGATAGGCTAGGCAGTCGTTTATACCATCGCCCGAGTCCTTGGGTAGTGCGTCCAAGGCGTGCGGCTGGGTTTGTGTATCAACCGTTATTCTATGTCCGACATGTGTCGTCGAACTCGGCACGGATTCTCGTGGTTGCGGCGGCGTGTTTAGAACTAGCGTAGGATGCTCGGCTAGTTGATCGCAAGACAAATGCTATTTTTAGATACACCTACTATAAAGTAGATTCCTCATAGTAACAATACTAGAATATACCACAAATAATCTCATTAGAATATACATATATACAGTACTAGAGCTTTAGTCTAGAGACATTTCAGGTATATTTTAGGTAGCGAAGTGTCCGTAGACTCGGGCCTTTTGTCTAGCGCCCGCTAGCGCCCTCAGAAAAAACCACGTCGAAATTCCACCTTTTGCGACATAATTAATTATTTAGATCCTTAATCGAAATCTGGCTTAGCTAGTTCTAGATATGGCTGCGTTGTATAATTCTAAATACTTTTTATAACCTGTAGCGCCGTCGTCGCAGACGAGCAGGCTTTACAAGCTTAAGAACTCGCACGTCTCGGCCTGGAGTATTGTTTATCCGGGCGTGCCTTACAAGCTTATATTCAAGACTGCCTGTAGTCTGCCGGCCGTAGGCCACCCTAGTTATACTAATAAAGACATATAGTAATAATCTTAGTAAGACACTAGTAGTTATATACTACAGCGGCATTACTTAGTAGTATAGGAGTCTAGACAACTAAGCCCCTAATACCACCTCTACAAGCGATAACCCATACCAGACTATACCACACACCCAAGACCCCAAAACCACCACCCCGACACCCTCACACGCAAACCACACCCAAACATGCAAGGACTCCCACCAAGATCCCACCAATCCCCTCATTCTCCAGGATAGGTAGGTAGCAGTAGAACCCATCAGCCAAACCGCCCCAGCCCCGAAGGCCTCCTCGGAAACCCTATCCCAAAAGAAAACCAGTCAGCACAAGCACAAAATCCAACACAAGCACCTCAGAGCCCAGAGCTCGAGAGACCAAAAGAGCAAGAAGAAAGAAAGAAAACAAACTCACCAGCAAACCCCCACCCAACCGCCCTCCAAACCTCATACCCGCCTCCCCCCTCCTCCAGGCCCCCTTCCTCAGCCCAAGCCTCCGCCAAACCCCCCCTCAACAAACCACCCGACCCACCGCGCGCTCACCCCCGGCCCATCCTCCCGAAACACCCGTATCCCACGCCCCGCCAAACCAGCGCAGCAAAAGCACAATATCAAACGCATCGCCCGCCCGCTTCGCCGCACTCACCCGCCTGCCCATCACACGGCATTTATCCGCCTGCAGCCCGCACGGGGTGCAGCACGCGTGCCTGTGCACCTGCGTGCTCGACTATCAGCGTGGGTGTGTCTGCGGAGAAGGGACCGTGGAAGAGGGCGGGGGGCGTGAGGAGGGTGATGGCGACCGGGGGCGTGCTGGGGGTGGATGTGTGGAGTTTGGGGTGAGGAGGATGTCGAGGGCGGGGGGAGAGGAGGAGGGAGAGGGCGGCGCCGCCGACGATGGCGTGGGGGATGGAGGAGGAGGTGAGGAGGGTGGAGAGGAGGGTTGCGGCGGTGTGGATGGGGGGGGGGGGGGGGGGGGGTTGCGGGTTGGGGGGGATGGTGGGTGGTTGGGAGAGAGTTGGTTTGGAGAGTTCGGTTGCGGAGGGTTTGGATGGTTGTGGTGTTGTGGGTTGTGGGTTGTTGGTGTTGGCTTGAGGGCTTGGTGCGGTGGCGGCGGAGGAGGAGGATGGTGTGTTACTGGACTGTTCGGCGGGTGCTGGGGTGTTTGGAGATGCGGCGGTAGGAGCCTGGATAGGTTCTAGTTGGTAGCTGAATGGGACATGCTTGCCGTCGTCTGTGGAGGTGTTGTTATTGTTACTCTCCGCTGAAGCATCCGACATGACGGGCTGGCGTGACAAAGGAATATTTCGCTGATTTCGGTTGTCGTAGGGGTAGAATGAGCAGTTCAGAATGCGAACAGTAGAATGATAATTTAGAGTGACGATCAGAGAGGGGGACAGTAGATTCAAACCAAGCGAGGTTTATAAGATAGTTGGCTGCCTAAAACATGTCGCTCTTGGCACTTGAGTTTACGTACCTCTCTTCCTTCTCAGGCTAATTAACTCTAGCTAGCTCTTTGGCAGCCCTAATTATCTACTATACCAAACATAGGTTGATAAGAGTCGGACAAGGTCGTGGATTCCACATTCTCCTCCACCCCGAAATCCTCTAATGTAGTTTCTAATAGAAGCTTTACGTTTCACGATAGACCTCCTAAAATTACATCTCCTATCTAGAACACCTCCTATCTAGAATACCTCCAAGACCACTTATTTTTTTTCAAGACCGAGCGCTTCGGATCGAATTGGCCAAATAGTATAGACTGTCTGCTAAAGCTGTTGCCTAATCTTAAATAGCGCGTCTAGGCTGGCCCCTTTTACAACCATGGATAGCATTTCTTATAGGTAGATGTAATAGTAAGTAAGCTAGCGCGTATCCGAGTCTAGGGGTACCCATCTACCCACCTACTTTACCTAACCTTTATCTTTACCTTACCTCTACCTTCCCTCCGAGCATGAGACTAGCGAACAGCTACCCTTTTACCAGGTCCTTAAGTATATACAGTACTGCCATGCTACTACAAACAAAGGAGTGTGTTTCCGCATGGTCATGGTCATGGTATAGAACAATACGCCCTCCTCGTAATCTCCCTGCATCTCTCTATGAATAAACGTGACTAGACGGACATGTATACATATCCAAACTACCACACCCCCCCCCCTAGATCCGGTTTAAATAACCTCTTACTCTCCCTCTAGTTCTTGAGCGTTCTAAAGTACCCCTCTTGGCACACCTGAATGCGCTCTCTGTTTATTTGGCTGTTTATCTTGTCTTGAGAGTGTAAGCTGTGGAATGCGGTGCTGGGGGTGGGATGCGGGGCTGTGTACTGTATACTATATATATATACGTACATACGTACATACATACATACATACATACATACATACATACATACATACATACATACATACATACATACATACATACATAAAGACATACACACATCCATACAAACCATTCACTCTCTTACTTACCCACTTAGCCAGACTACCCTCCTATAACCCCCCGCCCCGGCGTAGCGGCATATAGATATATAACCCTACCCAATCCATTCCTATATCTAAACATCTAGTCAAAGTAGAAACACCGATAGGGAGGGGAAGGGGGGGTTATATACCGGGGATGGTGTGTGATATCTGTTGAGGGTGGAGATTGTAGGTTGGCGGGATAATCAGCATGGCTTTAATTACTGGTCGTGTTGACTTAGGCTGGTTCTGCCGGCGGTTTTGAAGCTTCGAACTCTGAATCCGCCTTCTACCGTGCTGGGTGCTGGGTGCTGGGTGCTATATACCGGATCCATGCACCGGCTATACCAAGACGATTGCGTATACATATAATAAGCTCATGTGGAAAATTGGAGTTTGGATTAGATTGGGCATGTTAGGTGTATACCGTGTATATATGCCTGACTATATCAAACCGAGCGAAACATAGGAGTTAGGGTTTAGGGGGGGAAGGGGGGGAAGAGTTTTGATGGTTGTGTATATTTCATATCTTATATCTTATATCTTATATCTTTTATATGCCATATATTTCTAGGACGCGGAGATGTGGGAGAATAGGCTGATAGATGGAGTTTAGTAGACAAAGTACGCCTGGGTAAGGGGCAATTCGGTCGCGGGCTCGGCCGCGCATACGACGCCGTCTGCCTCGACGATCTGTTGTTCGAATGTTAGTCAGTCGGTTTAACGAGAGTGTCAGAGTGTCGGAGTGAGATAGGGGATGTGCGTGCGTGCGTGCGTGTGTACAGAGTGAATAGGGGGGGAGTACGTGGGATGAAACACCCCTCCCCCTCCCAACAGAAGAAGACGACAAACTCACATATCGCTCCGGATCAACCCGCATAACAGGCATCCTATCATTAAACTTCATATCCCGCTTCCCAACGACCCGACACCCCCTCACCGCCTCCACGCGCTTCCGCAACCCATACCCCGCCACCACCCCGCTCTCCAAACTCGCAGCCGACACGAATGTTACCGACGACCCCGGCGTCAACGGCGCAAACATCGGCCTCATGAGCACCGGCTCGACGGTCGGAATCGAGGCATTCGCGTCGCCCATCTGCGCATAGGCAATCATGCCGCTCTTAATCACCGTCGCAGGCTTGACGCCGAAATTCGCGGGGGTCCAGAGGCACAGATCGGCGAGTTTGCCGGGTTCGATGGAGCCGATGAGGTGGGCCATGCCCTGTGCGATGGCGGGGTTGATTGTGATTTTGCTAATGTAGCGCTTGACGCGGAAGTTGTCTGCGTGCGAGCCAGCGTCTTCGGGGAGCGGGCCGCGCTGGAGCTTGTTTTTGTGGGCGGTGTTCCAGGTGCGGGTTATGACTTCGCCGCAGCGGCCCATGGCCTGGGAGTCGCTGGACATCATGCTTATGGCGCCGAGGTCGTGGAGGACGTCTTCGGCCGCGATGGTCTCGGCGCGGATGCGCGACTCGGCAAAGGCAATGTCTTCGGGGATGTCGCGGTTGAGGTGGTGGCAGACCATGAGCATGTCGAGGTGTTCGTCGAGGGTGTTGCGGGTGTAGGGGCGGGTGGGGTTTGTGCTGGAGGGGAGGACGTTTGGGTGCTGGACGACGGAGATGATGTCGGGGGCGTGGCCGCCGCCGGCGCCCTCGGTGTGGTAGGTGTGGATGACGCGGTTTTTGAAAGCGGCGACGGTGCTTTCGACGAAGCCGGATTCGTTGAGGGTGTCGGTGTGGATGAGGGTTTGGATGTCGTGCTCGTCGCAGACGGTGAGGCAGGCGTCGATGGCGGCGGGCGTGGTGCCCCAGTCTTCGTGGAGCTTGAGGCCGACGACGCCGGCGAGGGCCTGTTCGCGGAGGGGCTCGGGGGAGGAGTCGTTGCCTTTGCCGGTGATGCCGAAGTTGAGCGGGAGGGAGTCGACGGCTTGGAGCATTTGGCGGATGTGCGTGGCGCCGGGGGTGCATGTTGTTGCGTTGGTGCCGGTGCTGGGGGGGGCGTGGGAGGTGAGTGTTCGTTCAGGGGGAAGGTAAATGGGGAGTTTGCTTACCTTGGGCCTGTGCCGCCACCGAGCATGGTCGTGACTCCGGATGCAATGGCCTCGTAGGCTTGTTGAGGGCAGATGAAGTGGATGTGGGTGTCAAAGGCGCCGGCGGTGATGATCTTGCCCTCGCCGGCAATGACATCTGTACACGCGCCGACAACGAGGTTAGGGTCCACGTTGTCCATGATATCAGGATTTCCAGCCTTGCCAATACCAACTATGATTCCATCCCTGATTCCAATGTCGGCCTTGAAGATGCCAGTCCAGTCGACAATCAGCGCGTTCGTGATGACGGTATCCAAAGTCTCCTTGTCTAATCGTCCGCCAGCCTGGCCCATCCCCTCGCGAAGAGTCTTGCCACCGCCAAAAGTACATTCGTCACCGTAGTTTGTGTAGTCCTTCTCGACCTTGATCCACAAATCGGTGGCGCCGAGTCGCACCAGGTCGCCTGTCGTCGGGCCAAACATGCTGACATATGACTCCCGCTCCATGGTATATGCATCCAGCTGCATATCCGCAGCCGGCTCAGGGGTATGCAGGAAGCCACCGTCCAGCAGCTTCTGCACGATCCCATCGGCAATACTCGTGTCCCCAATATAGCCCGACGCGATATTGTTCCCACCGCGGATGATCTGGTTGCCCGCAATCTGCACCAGCGTCACCGTCTTCGAATCGCCCGGCTCGAAGCGAACCGAGGTGCCGGCCGGAATATCCAAGCGGTAGCCATGCGCACGCACACGGTCGAAATTGAGCTGCGGATTCGTCTCGATGAAGTGATAATGCGAACCGACCTAGCCCCCCCACCCCTTTTTCAGCCGCTCGCCCCTCATTCTCATTCGTACAACACCAAGTTCAAAGAAACATACCTGAATCGGCCTATCCCCCATACTCACCACCCTCAAGCAAATCCTCTTCCGCCCCTCATTCAGCACCACCCGCCCCTTGACCGCCACCACGGCACCCGGCTGCCGCTCCCGCTCATACACGCCCGGATCCGGCAGCGGAAACACATCCTGGCTCGGCACGGGCAGGAAACTGCCGTACAGCGCCCTGTCCAGATCGCCGTCGTCGGAGCTGATCGGGTGGTGGACGGTGACGAGATAGGTTCCCGTGGGAAAGGTGCCTTCGATCTGCAGCTCGGCGAGCGAGTGGACGACGCTGGGCAGGACGTGGCGGCGGCCGAGCATGGTTTTGCCGAGGGACATGAGGTCGGCGACGGTGTGGTTGCCGTCGCGGACGAGCTGGGGGAGGGGGGAGTTAGTATATATGTGTGGGATATGGATGGTGGAGGTTCAACATACTTCTTGCAGATTGTTCGCAATCAGGGCCTGTGTCACATCAAGTCAATCAGTTCCATCTGTCTCCGTGTCAAGGGAAAGACACATGTTCATGCATATCAATTACCGTGGCTTCAGCATGGTTCAGCTTCACGCCCCTAGCCAGGCGTCGCTGGGCGAGGAGTCCGAGCTGTGTGATGACGAGCTTGTCGAGCTGGACGAACGGACTGGGGCATTAGCAGTATTCTTGTCGTGGTATATAAAAAAGTGTCGTACCTCTTTCGGTGCCAGCTGCATCTTGGTTGATTATTATCCAAAGGTCCAGAATTGCAGCGCCCACACCGTGTATGCTAAGAATGCTTGAGGATAGTTATATTTATATGGTGTGAGACCTAAGGTCGGCCGATGGATGGCCTGGGGAGAGGGACGAGGAGTGGGAGAGAGCCCCGCTGATAAGGGAGTTATCAATCTCATCTCGCATCCATGGTTCCGGGACCGGATGGGCGAGGAATTGTGGGGGAGGGGTAGTTACCTAGACAGGTAGCGGGTGTGAATCTGTAGTTTGGTAAAACGTAGCGCGGGCTTACGGCGGCGGCGGCGGCAGCGGCGGCGTGAATATAGGCTCGTTCAGCCCTACGATACAACAATAGAAGCTGTCAAGGTTGAAGCTTTCCAGCTTGTATATAGAGTGCATTGAAATATAAGAAGCCCGCCGCCATACCTAAAAGGCCAGCGAAATACCCCATGACTGACCACATTGCGAGCTGCTTCTTCTGCAAAGTCCACGACTGTAGTCTACATTCATCCACCGTCCGCAGCATGAACAACGCGGTATCAGTTTTTACCCTTCCCTCCCTTATACGCCCCAGCCAGCTGCCACTCAGATAAGAGCCCCGGCGCCACCATTTGACGATACAAACAACTGCGGTACAATCATAAGCAAAAAGCAGAGGGGAAAAAAAGCAAATAAGAAAAATGAACAACAGCCCGTACGCCATCTCATCTACACGTGCGCGCGCACACGCTCACGCCTCTGCGGCTTTGCGCTTGCGCTTTCCACCGGCAGCAGGCGTCTCTGGCTTCTCGTCGGCTTTGGCGCCCTTCTTGGCTCGGCTCTTTGTGGCGACGGGGCTGTCTGATTTGGGAGGAGCAGCAGCAGCAGCCTTCTTGCCTGCCTTCTTCTTGTCAGTGGTGGGCGGGTCAATGGCGCCGGGGGGAGGGACGATTGTGGTGGATGGACGAGGCACCTCGATAGCAGCAGCAGGACTCGGCACAATCACACCGTTCTCCTTGCCAGTCTTGCGCCGTTTGGCACCCGCCTTGCCGGCAGACTGAGGGACGATTGGCATGGGCTCTGGGGCATCGTCTTCATCGCCCTCGGCGTCAGAGTCGGCGTCAAAGTCGGCAGCGATGATGTCGTCGTCAGCGACGGCATCGGCATCGGCGTCCTCGCCAATGGCCGCCTTGGTGGCATTGTACTTTTCGACATCTTCCTTGTAGGTGACGAGGTTTTTGCGGTACTCGATTCTCCACATCTGAAGTAGTTAGTGCATGTGTGATGCAGGGTGGACCAATTCGAGGGCAGATCAGTTTAGGGCGATGTGACAACAAACTTACCTCCTTCTGTTCTTCCGGAAGCTCATTCCAGCGACGAGTGACCTCTTCGTTGACGGCGTTTGGGCCAAGCTTCTCACCAGCCACAAGGTTCTTCTCAAGATCACCCTTGACAATTGGACGCGCCTTCATGCTGAAGAGAAAGGCGGCGGTGAGAGGACGCTTGGGCGCGAGAGGATCTCTAATCTTCTTCTCCTTCTTCTTCTTGCCGCCCTTGGTGAGGCCGGTAGTATCGATCAGTGGCTGTTGGCCGAGCGGGTTGCCAAACATGTTGGCGTCAAACTGAGGATTGGGGTAGGCATCGCCGGCGACGAGCTTGCAATGCTCGAGATAGGCATTGAGGAGACTGGCGATGGCGACTTGGAGGGAGCTGAGACCGTTGACGACCTGTAGGTAGACTGTGTTAGCGATGCGCGGCGCGTGATTGCTTTAGGTAGTGGGTTGTTTATACAATCGCATCGGGTGGAGGAGACGCGCAAGTCGAGGAAGCGCGTCCTCGAGTCGAAGCGCGTGCAGAGAAGGCAGCGTTGATGTGCAGTCGAGAAAAAACACGATGCAGTGAATTGTGGGCGATGGTTGGCGGCGAGAATCAACAAAGCGACGGCAGGGCAGAGGGTAGACAGACTCGAGAGCGAAGGGATTCGTGTAGACGTGTCGCAGAAAAGAGGATGGACAGGAAAACAGAAAACTTACACGATCGCGAGTGGTGATGAATTCCTGGATAGAGACAGTTTGTGGAATTGCGGTGGCAGCAGGCGTTGGCAGAGGCTCATCTGGTTTGTCTTTGCGGGGCGCCATGATATCTGGATGATGGTTGATGGAAGGGCTTCTTCTCGGGGGGGGAGGCAGTGTTTGTGTGGTGAGGTGGTTGGTGGTGGTAGTTGGTAGAGGAGGAGGAGTGTGATGAAGGTGGGAAGAAGGGGAGGTGGTAGTAGGCGAGGGAGCAAGAAATGGGCGAGTCGGGGCTGGCGAACGGGGGCATGGGCGGGTATCCCTAATCCCCAATCGCTCAATCCCACACACCCACACGCGCACGCAAAAAGCGACCGCCCACCACCCCCCTCGCCTGGACGAAAAGTCTGTCGCGCACCGCCCGTAGCCGACATGCCCTCTATTTTCACTTGCTATTATCCACACTATTATCTAGTTGCTGTACCCATACACATCCTCACACACGCGTGCATCGCGCTCTCTCTGGCTACCTACTAGCACTTTTGCTTGAGGTGCTCGATGTAAACGCGTCTAAAGATCTATACTAGCACAAGCGACTCACAGTCGTTTATATATATACATATACATCTATCTTACAACCTCTATGTGCTTCAATCAGCAGTCGCTGCCAACGTAGCGTGCACTGTCTGTCCTGTCCACCGCCATATACGACATACCTGGCCACCACCCGGGAAGCTCAAGTAGAGAGGCTCCCAGTCAGTTAATTAGCGCCTCACGCGCAGAGCCTGCACCCTCACCCTCTTCTGCGCACCACCAATGCCCGACAATCTGCAGTAATTATTAGTCCAAGTCAAGTTACTGCTACCTTTTTACTGCACCTTGTCCTCTAAGCTCTAATGACTGATAACTGATGCAAGCACCAGCCTGGTCAGTCGAGCCTTTAGCTGAGCCTGTGAGCCTGTGAGCCAGTGAGCCTAGCTTGCTCGCTCTCTCTCCACGCCTGGCTTGGCTGTCACTCGCCTGCATTTTGTCGCCAAGCTCGTCCTGTAAACTGTCCACCTAGCCCGCACCATGTCTAGTTAGATGCCCGCAAACCCCTTCTCTCTCATTTCCGCTCTCACCATAATTAACTGCCATGTTGCACCCGGTAATACCACGCCTAGCATCAAGATCACTTGGTGCCTGCTGCTGCCGCCTTTCCTGTCCACTTCACTCCCTCTGGCTGGCGGCCTCTTGCCTGCACTCCCTGCACTCACTGCGTCCACGTAATTACTGCAGCCGAGGGACCGTATCTGGGCACTGCACGCTAAATGCTTGGGCTGCCTACCTACCTACACTACCTACACTACCTACACTACCTACCTAACATCCATCCATCCATCCATCGTATGACTTCTAGCTGCTCAACTCGCGCGTTCTTACGTCGGAACCCACCAGAGGAGATAGCCTACTGTAGGTACGCACTACCTACCACACCCATCTACCATGCCCTCTGCCCTGCCTGCTCTGCTCGTGAGTGCGTATTACTGCACAAGCTCATCTATGCACCCACGTCCGCGTCCAGCAAGCACTTTTGTTGCGAACTAATCTGCTCTCATACTCACCACATCATCCATTAGCCGCCGTATTGCCTGGTGCGCCTTGTATATGCGTGTAGAGAGCGCGATCGTGAAGTCTTTTATATATACTTGAGCCACTGCACACACATCTTTCATTCATCAACGACCATCAGCTACCGAAAGAGGAATTTGCTATTCCTTTAATTCTTTATTCCGGCTGATCCTGGAGCCATGTACTGTGCTTCTATGATAGCCGAAAACTAAAGGCTCGATAATCTACCTCGAGTCGAGCATCCATTCTTGGTATCGTGTCGTGTCGCCTCCCGTTTTCTTCTTCTTCTACTACTACTCCCACTACTCCAACTGCGCCTTTACACCAAGAGCCCCCCCCAAAGCCTACCAGGCAGGTCATGCAATCATATGCCCGTCACGTATGCACACGTCCCCCCTCCACACCCAGAATCTGCCGTACCCAGCCCTACCACCCAAACCCATCAAACACAACCGGACACTCCCAGTCTACTTGTACTGGTGTTGTTCCGGCGGAGCTGCAGCTGCAGCAGCACCGGCGGGATGTTGCGCCCCATACCCATTCATCGGAATCTGCCCGTGATTCGCCTCCACGTCGGGTCGGTATCTGCATGCCACACACCCGTCATTAGTTGATCGCGCCGCCAGACACACTTCGCTATGCGACAACGACATGGACATACTTGATATCCTGGAAGAATCTGCAGATGTGGCATCCTACTTCCTGCGCGCCCTTTGTTAGCGGTCGTTGTCCCTCTCTCTTTCGTCGGATACGCACATGGTACGGCTTGAACGAGAATGGTATTATAGGCTATTGTCGCGACACGGGTGTTGTCGTGTTAGCAAAGCACCCCGAATGGTCGCGCGCGAGGATCTTCTGCGTACAACAAAGCAAAGCGTGAACCATTGCCTGCGAAAAAGCAACTGTCAGCCAAAACCGCAGCACCTCAAGTCTGCTTTCAAAAGGCGGCTCTTGCGAAAAAACGCACCATCGCTTGAAAACGTGTGCGCTGACATTCCCGCAGTTCATGCATTGCACCGTGACGTCCTCGTAGCCCTTGAGTCGGGATGTGAATGCTGATAATTAGAGCATGAGCGCATTATTCCTCCGAAAGAGAGTCGCGCGCGCGTGTTGTGTGTCTGTCTGTCGCTCGCGCGCTAATGGACTTACTATGTTCTCCACACGTAAAGAAGAAGAATACCATTGTCGGTACTTTGGTAGAGGAGAGTGATTATCGATGCGCCAATAGAGATCAGGGAAGGGTTGGGAAGTTATATGGATAGAGCAAAGGAAGAGGTAGGAATGTTGGAAAGGTTGTCGCAAGTAGCACAGGGCAATATCCTTTTTGTTTGATTGCGCAGCGCGCCCTTTTGCCTTCATGGCGAGAGGGTGTGACGACGACTATGCGCATGCCTCATGCCTCACAGCCACAACTGGGAGGAGCTATGGCCTCGACCCACTGTATCTGCGTGGCGCCTCAGGCCTCAATGTTTCCGCTTGTTAGTCTCGGGAGCCATAGACTGCTCATCAGTCCTGAGGATCGTCACTTGTGGAATCGTTTTGCATTTTACTGAAATACAATTTCACTACCCAGTCTTCTGGCTCTATCGACGGTTCATAAACAAGTCAACCCTACATGTACCTAGTCCTGTCACGCAAGCGAAGCCAAGTCTTGCTCGAGCTCTCAATTACTTCTTGTTCCCATGTGCGCTGAATTCTGGCTACCAAATTCACTAGCGCTGCTGCTGCCTCTAGATGATATATACTTCAGTAGTGGTAATTATGGAAGAGTGTGTGACAGGTACTATGACATGCAACTTTAACCGCTCACGACATGGCGTGCTCGTAAACATTCCCACCCACATACCAGCCCCCAACTTGGAATAATCGTATACTTGCAGGCGCATCATTGAGTCTTGAACAGGAGGATTGCGCAGTGGCCGAGATAGAAATAGATGAAATGCTTCGTCTCTGCCCGCCTGTCAGCATCACAACAAGGCCGAACCATGCTCCCGTCTGCATACCATGAGTGACGAAGCTGCCGAAATTCCGCCCAACGATGCAGTGCCATGTCGCTCCTTTCTTGTTGTCGAACTTGTCGAAGAATTAGTGTCTACATAAATGTCGTTGCGTGAACATTCCCAGACCTGTTGCTTAATATACTTGGCAATGTCCTGATCAGTGCAATCAGCTTCATGAGATCTTCTTCATTTCTGCGGACACACCTTCTCGATGTTGAACTTTGACATTGCGTCCTCGGCTTGCATATGTTAGAGACCCTGTGCTGGCAGCTTTCCGCAGTCACATGTAAGCTCACCGACTTCAATCGCTTCCTGCTGCATTTCTTCGCTCTGGCACTCGGTCAGTTGAAGACAGTCAAGACCATCTACCTCTAATCACCATGTCTGCAGACTTGATTTGCGCTGCAACAACCTGTTAGCTTGCTTCAGCACCTGCGCGTGACGCCGACACACCTTCGAGCTTTTCGGCGGTCTTCTGGTCCGCAAGAATCTTCTGGTCTGCCATCTTGATCGTTCAAGCTGATTATAGATAGATTGCAGAGGGCGGGCAAAACAAAGTCAGACGTCTTGACCGAGCGGCGCGTGAAGGAGTCGTTGTTGATATGAAGCAAATTGCAAGTCAGATGGAAACCTAAAACCCTCCAGGTCTGGGCACGCTCTCAGGCCGGTCCTAGCGCCCTCCCCCGGAAGATCGGCGCCAATCAGAACGAGCGCTGCCCCACTCCAACGACTGACTGCACCAAAGCTTTTTTTTGTTCGAATTTCTTGCCCTTGAAACTTTTCCAACCACGTCGTCGCATCCCTTGCCTGAACCTCCACGTCGTCTCTCATCTCCCAGGACGCCTCCTCCTCGCTACTTTCTGCTCATTGTTTACCATCATGGCCTCGTCGCGTATCTTCGTTCGCGGCTTGCCCCCAACGCTGACCGACGAAGAGTTCAAGAAGCATTTCTCCAGCCTATCTGCCACGACCGACACAAAGCTGTTTCAGCAACGCCGAATCGGCTATGTCGGGTACCGGACGCCGGAAGAGGCCGCCAAGGCAGTCAAGTACTTCAATCGGACCTTCATCCGCATGTCGAAAATACACGTAGAGTCAGCACGACCTGTAGGAGAGAAACTCCGAATGGACGGCTGATGAGACGACTGACACCAGCACAGATAAGCGAGAGTAATCCACGAGCTCGCGTCCAGAATCCAGCCCACGCTTCGACAGACTCCGACATCCGCAAACATTCCCACGACGATGTCAACGCAAATCCATTGAAACGCAAGCGAGGCGAGGTCAAAGGTTCTACAGAGGATCCCAAACTCCAAGAGTTCCTGGAAGTCATGCAGCGCCCTTCCAAACCCAAGAACATCCTCGGCGGAAGCAGCAACGTTGATGACGTACCCGAAGCTGCTCCCAAAATAGCCGGAGAGGAGGCTGAGAGTGACGACGAGTATCAGGAAGTGCGCAAGAAGAGCAAGGGTAATGATATTTCGCCAGCAAATCACCAACATTCTCTGGACAAGGGCCGCACTGCGTCAAACAATGAACCTCCCATAGAGCAAATCTCGCCCCCGGAAGATGTTGATATGACTCGCGTGGAAAGTGTTGCACCACCTGCTACTGATGCAGACTGGCTTAGATCAAGGACGAGTCGCTTGCTGGACATTGAAAGTGACGAAGATGACGCACCTACCGAGTCCCGTCCTGTGGTGTCTCATTCTGACTCGGCTGAAGAAGATTCAAGGACGAGTAGGGTTGCTCAAGATACCACCCAAAACGATGACGAGTCTCGTGAGACGGCGGAAGAAGCAGCTCAAGCCGAAGAGGAAGTAGCCGAGCCGCCCCAGCATGCAGGCGGACGGCTATTCATTCGCAACTTGCCATACGATTCTACGGAGGACAGTTTACAAAAACATTTCGAGCCTTATGGCCGGATTGACGAGGTAGGCTCTCTGATATTCCCTTCTTTCCCAAGTGCAAAATATTATGATGAACACAGATAGGGACAACTGATGCTTCGGCATTGAGGATATCCTGGGAGACTATTTTAGTAGATGCGTCTCATTTTCTGATAACACATCTTCCATGACAAACAACAAGCATAGTATATTCGAACTCCGCTAATGTCTTGTCCCAGGTACACGTACCGGTCAGTAAGAAGACTGGCAGCAGCAAAGGTTTTGCGTACATCCAGTATGTGGATGCCGAAAGTGCATCGAAAGCACTGGAAGAGCTTGATGGCACCACGTTTGCAGGTCGCCTACTTCACATTTTACCCGCGGCTGCAAAAAAGGAGACCAAGTTGGACGAATTCGCGCTGTCCAAGCTACCCCTGAAAAAGCAACAGCAGATTAGAAGAAAAGCAGATGCGTCAACGTCAACGTTCAACTGGAACTCTTTATATATGAATGTTCGTTTCTTTTCCAGCTTGCGGAAGGTCCCCACTAACATTATATGCAGACAGATGCAGTGCTATCGTCTGTTGCAGACAGGCTCGGCCTCGATAAATCCGAGGTGCTAGATCCAACCTCCTCTGATGCTGCCATCAAGCAGGCTCACGCGGAAACTCACGTCATCAACGAGACGAAATCTTACTTTGCCGAGAACGGTGTCGATTTAGAGGCATTCCGTAAACGTGAGAGAGGAGATACTGCTATCCTGGTCAAGAATTTCCCTTATGACACGAAAAGAGACGAGCTGAAGGACTTGTTCGAACAATATGGTACAGTCACCCGTCTACTCATACCTCCAACAGGCACGATAGCTGTCGTTCAGTACGCTCAACCAACAGAGGCTCGGACAGCGTTCGGCAGTCTTGCGTATCGCAAATTCCGAGACTCTGTGCTCTTCCTTGAGAAGGCGCCAAAAGATTTGTTCACGACCGCGACTGGCCCCACCAAGGCTATCACTTCGCGAGACGCCATCTCCTCCGCAAAAGACCCGAAGCTTTCTGCCGCGGACTTGCTCCAAAAGGATCAAAATGTCGAGGTCGTAGATACGTCAACGCTGTTCGTTCGGAACTTGAGCTTTGCCACCTCCGGCCAGAAGCTTACACAGGTGTTCAAGCCGCTCGACGGTTTCGTTTCTGCGACCGTGAAGACCAAGGTCAATCCCAAAAACCCAAGCGAGAAGCTCAGTATGGGCTTTGGCTTCCTGGAATTCCGCTCGAAAGAACAAGCCCAAGCCGCTGCCTCGGCGATGAATGGATACGAGCTTGACGGGCACCGACTCTTGCTCCGGGCTTCACACAAGGGACTCGATGCAGCCGAGGAGCGACGCCGAGAAGACAAAGCTAAAAGAGCTGCCAGCAAAAGCACAAAGATCATCATCAAGAATCTTCCCTTCGAGACGAACAAGAAGGATGTACGTACTCTATTCGGAGCGTACGGACAACTACGGTCGGTTCGCGTGCCAAAGAAATTCGACAACTCGACGCGAGGCTTTGCTTTTGCAGAATTCACCACACCCAGAGAAGCAGAGAATGCACTGGAAGCACTTCGCAACACCCACATTCTCGGCAGAAAACTGGTCTTGGAGTTTGCTACCCAAGCCGCTGAAGATGCAGAGGAAGAGCTCGAGCGAATGCAGAAGAAGGTCGGGTCACAGGTCAACAAAGTGGCTCTCCAGAATCTGACCGGCGCTGGGAGAAAGAAATTTAATGTCGCAGGTGACGACGGCGAGGAGTAGGCGGGCAGGGCAGTAAGGGTTTAGACAAAGGCGTCGGTGTCCCTTGCTTCGCACCACCACCACCAACACCTCATCACGCCCCCTCCGGCCCCTCTGCCTCACCCTTCACTTGACGTAGCAATCTACAAAAGCAACTTGCTCGATCCCCTCGCAGAACAAATCCTGACTAGACTGCGGGGACGAATTAACATCGACCCAGGGCCGTCTTACCAGTGTATCTGCGCATCCCTTCAAACATTACTGACTTGCATATCCTGGGCAGAGCGGACTACCGCTAACCGAGAACACCACAGGCCTCAGCATTCTTCGCATAGATGTTTAAAAGACATTCCTGTCTTCGTCGCCAGGGAGGAGGGACCCTTTCGCCACCAGATAGCCAGGAACCATCGCCGGAAGCGTCTGCCTTGCATTCTTCCACCTAAGTAATCTCTGTCTGACATTCCCAGCATTGAAACCGGCAACAAGCGATATGATGTAACGGGAGGTCTTGGGCCTTGTTACTGAGTATGGCTAGATCATTGCCAAAAGGCGACGCGAGCTTGCTCTCAGCAGGATATGTACGAAGGGCAGCTTGATTGCCCAGGGGTCCTATAAACAAAGATTACATTCCCGTCCACACCATCAGCATTCCTCTTCTCTGCCCGTGTGTTCGCTTCCTTCTTTCCGACACATCGCGTTGCCACTCATTGTCTGTTCACTTCTCACCGTACGTGCCTTGCTGACGCTCATTCATTCTTATCCTTCGATATTTTCGTCTCCAATCTGGCATTCCAAATCTACATCGCTCCCATGGAGCCGTGTGGTCATATCTCGCCACCTGTATTGCCGTCAAACGCGCCAGCTCTCTCTCCTCCCATTTACGGGGGCCATTCGTCGAGGGCGTTGCAAGAGAGGTCGAGTAATGCACAACGTGACGGGTATGAGCAAGACCTGAGGAAGATATCGGATGCGTCGTCGACAGAGAACCGCTATGGCAAGATGTCACCAAGTCTTGCATCACATGAGCATCCTGCGGATCAGGAAAAGAAGAAAAGCGACAGCCCGGCCGAGAGAGAGTTTGCTGCTCTATGGCGCCGACTTGAGAGCTCCGAGGCGTACAAGAAGTATCGTGCAAGACAGCCTCGAGATGCCAACGAGCAAGATCAGAAGTGGCCGGAGCATATGGAGGCTGCCTTCTTTCGGGGTATGTATTCAAACAGTCATAGACAGCTATACCTTCACCTAATCAATCGTGCGTAGCTCTAGTCAAGTACGAGCCCATGGGTCGACGAAAGCAAACGCTGAACGGGACATTGCGTGGCCGCAATGAACTCATCGCAGACGAGATCTTGAAGCTCACAAAAGAGAAACGTAACCGCAAGCAAGTGTCGAGTCATCTCCAAGTTCTTAAGACGCTCCTCAAGAACGACCCCATGAGTAAGCCTTCAGCTCTGGTAGCATTCCACACGACTAATGCTCTGGCGTAGTCATGAGATATTTGTCCAAGGAAGACTTTCAAGATCGCAAGCGACGGCCCTCTTGTGCGCACTTGTCCCGTCGTCGTCGTCGCCCACATACCGCGCAGGCGGCCGCTATATCCAACGCAACTTATCAAGCGCTCTCCTTACCTTGGCAAACGGAGTCCCTAGCAGAAACTCCGTGTTTAGCATCGCCCGACTCCCCCATCCCCGCTCCGCTCTGGTCAGGCACTCTCATGCCTTCACACTTTGACGTATATGTCCGCGACTCATACATGCGCGCTATCCACACGCACACGTCATTCTCCGCAAGCCCACAAGGCGATGACGTCCGCCTCGAGTCTCTGCCGAATCTAGCTTCCGCCTACCCTCCGCTCGCCGAGCTTGTTTCCCAGACGAACCTCGCCGACGAAGCCACGTCGCTCCCGAATGTTGTTCTCATGCACGCCAGCTTCGACATCCACACCGATCCCCTCCCCGGCAACGCCGAGATCTGTATTCGCGAAGAGTTTGACGCCCAGCCGGGTCTCGGCGTCTTTGAGCACTTTGAGTGTCGCACAACGTTCCTGCTCGACGGCGTCGAAACAGAAAAGGTCAGCGGCGAGATCAAAGAACACGACATTGAAGCGGGACGTCTGAGTGGCACGCCGTTTGGGAGCATGTTCTGGGCCTATCGGTTCACGCAGTTGGCCAAGAAGCTTCGTGATACTGGCACCGGCGATGGCGAGGGCAATCGTGCCGAAGTCGCGGGGATCCTGTCGCGCATGTCCGCCGTCCAGGAGATCTTTGCCAGCGGAGACAAGTGGCAGCGAAGCCAGCGCATCCTGCTTGTGGCGTGGCGGTTCAGTCTCGCGCCCCTGGGTCTGCCGGGCACTTCGACGTGGCATCGTGTGCGCGTGCCGAGCGCGGATGAGGTTGCGTGTCTGACGGCGTCGGCGGCCGATCTGGAGATGCTGTATGCCGGCCAGGCAAACCTCGATCGCTACGCAGGCCACGGGCACGATGATCTATATTCGGCTACGGCTGCGGCTGCACCACCACCAACAACAACAGCAGGCGGCGAATGTTCAAACTACGCAGAGAGCTTCCGCAGTGCCCTCACGACACCGCACACCGGCACGCCCGTCGACGAACGAACATATTTCGACGCAAGCACCACCGCCCATGAAATAACCACCCTCTCCGGCGCCGCCCTCGCAGATCTATCAACAACCACCGCAACCCTCGCGGAAATGGCCTCTTGCGGCGGCGCACAGCTCGAGCACACACACGTCCATCCACACAACGACGACGACGACGACACCATCCAACCCGGCATCGAAGACAGCGAGCCCCACACCCACACCCACCCCGCAAGCCTCTCCACATCCACCTCCGCCCCCTCCCTCTCCCGCAGCACAAGCACAGACCACCTCCGCGCCTCCCCAGACTTCCCCCTCCAGCCCAGCATCCAGGAATTCTGCATTGCCCCGAGCGCCGTCTACCATGCTATCCAGCAGCACGTCAGTCCGTCGCAGCTCACGCATCATGACGGTGATGGTTGTGGCATGGGCACGGCTGGGCATGGGCATGGGCATGGACACGGGGGGGATACGCATCATGCGGGTGCGTATCATCATCATTTTCATCATCATCACGCGCAGCGCTGGGCGGGAATATATGATGAGTTGCTTGTGGGGCCGGATGGTGTGGAGGTTGAGGGTGGGGAGGGCGGGTTCGAGGGGTTCGAGGGGTTGTGTGCTGGTGGTGGGGCGGTTGGAGGGGGGGTGGGGAGTGGGAATGGGAATGGGAATGGGAAGGTTGAGGGGTGGGTTGGGGGGTTTTGAGAGAGGGGGAGAGGGGGAGGGAGAAAGAGCATGGACTTGATGGGATGGGATGGGATGGGGAAAGAGGATCAAGGTTTTTGTGTCTTGCTGTTTGTTCTGCGTGCGGTGGTGGTGGGTACTGTGGCTTTTGCTTGCGTGGTGGGTGTATAATAGGGGTGTCAGGGGGCGAGAATGGCAGAGAGGAGAGAAGAAAGGAGGAGAGGAGAGGAGAGGAGAGAAGAAAAGAGAGAAAGAAAGAGAGGAGAGCAAGGCCTCTGCTGGTATCTGTCCGAGCAAGCACTTTACCCGCCCCCTCTCGCGGTCCGCAGGTTTTCAATCTTCTTTTATACCACACACACACATCATGTATAATCTAGCTTTAAAACCGTAATAATTGTTAATTCCTAAAATAATCCCCCTCGTTTGTAGTAGTAGTCTGTATTATTCATATAATAACATCAGCTTCACCGACACCGACACCGACACTCTTGGAAGCCCTAGAAATCCCTAAGAAAGGTCATGTCTGCGTGTGTTTGTGTGTGTGTGTGTGTGTGTGTGTGTGTGTGTGTGTGTGTGTGTGTGTTCCGCGTGTGATTGTTTGTTTGTTTTGGGTTTGTTTGTTTGTTTTGGGTTTGTTTGTTGGCGGTGTATGGCTGAATAGCTAGGTAGCTAGCTGGCTCGTTCTGCGCGTCTGTTCTTGCTGTGTTTATGTTTATGTTTTGTGTGTTTATGTTTTATGTGTTTATGTGTTTATGTGTTTATGTTCTTCTTTCTTTCGAGGAAGGCATGTCATGGAATGGAATGGCGGAATGGCGGAGCGCGGAATGGGGAATGCGATTGGGGGAATACGATTGGGGGGGGAAACATGAAACGCAGATTGTGAAACGGAGCAGAACAGAGAGAGTTAGTTTAGAGAAGTCCGGGGGTGACGCGGCGCC